GAAGGAACTTTTGGAAATGCTTCAAGGTGCACACATTTGGGAGCCCAGTCAACATAATGGTCACCAAAGTTATTCACAAACAATCAACTTGCTGGAAAGTAAAATAGCTTCTATCCGACAGGATGTAAATGATATTTTAACCACATATGGAGAACAACGCAAATTCCGAAAGTCTTCCAAAGAAAAAGAAAACTTGAATATGAACTAAAAATGTATAACGAAAAGTAAACTTTGGTAACTGGAATTCTCTTTTCTTCGTTCACTTTATTTCTCACGAGTGAGGCAATTCTTATCAAGTGCCTTTACCAAGTTTCGGTTGACTTTTCGAAACAACCAATGCACAATCATTTCAACTAGAATTCCCTTGTGATTAGTTATCGTGTTTGTGCATGATTCTTTAAAAGACTGTCCAAGTTCTACTGAAATTTTACTGAGGAATTGGCATTGCGTGTGCTCACCATTCATCTCCCAATTGAGTACAATCTCCATTGAATCTTAGAAGATTGGCAAACCTATAACCTGACCACTTTTTATTTTTCAAATATGGCATTTCTTAGCATAACTTTCATTAAAGGTAGCTTGAGTTCAGGAACTTCTCTTTTAAACCGTCAACATCGTAACTACGTGAACCCATGTATATCTAAAGTTTCGTGGAGTATGACTGCCTCAAACGGAAGCGAATCAGCCAGTCGAAAATCCAGTGCATCGGACAAACAACCCTCAAAAAGCGAATCTTCGCATAAAGAGAGTCGACAAGAGATTTCTAAAGCTCAAGAAGTCAAAGCAGAATCCGCTAAAACCACAACTTCGGATTCAGGAAAGGCTGTAACTCAGAAACCTCCTGTTGATAAGGGAGTCGCGAAGGAGCCAGTAGAACAGAAAAAGACTGTTTCCAATAAACCAAAATGGTCCAAAGCTCTACCTTTTATGTTATGGCCACAGAATTTAGACGGTGAGTAGATCTATCTCATGAGCTTGAATATCATAATATACTAACGAAGATCAGGTACTATGGCGGGTGACGGTAAGATAAGTTGACTTGTTCAATTGTGTTAAATTTCTCCTTTGCTTTTCATAAGTTGGCTTTGATCCTTTTGGTTTCACAAATGTATTTGATGTCAAATGGTACAATAGATATTCCATTTTAACAGTCTTTGAGCAACTTGATGTATTGAAAAGTTGAATAGGATGCGTGAGGCAGAGTTGAAACATTGCCGTATCGCCATGTTAGCAGCTCTTGGATTTATTGTACAAGAGTTGTGGACATTTCCTTATCCATATTTCTCCAAAGTTCCCCCTGTTTTGGCACATGGCAAGCAATCATTTTCTTCTATTCGTAGTTTGTTGTAATATTTATATTTAGATGTCTATGTCAAAACCGGTGGCATGTCACAAATTCTATTATTTGTGATATTTTTCGAAGTTATTAGTTTGTTTGCAGTTTCTCAAATGATGGAAGGAAAGAGAGAACCTGGCGTATTTCATTTTGATCCATTGGGCTTGGCCAAGGATCCGGATACTTTTCGTAAGTATGAATGGTCGGAACTTAGAAATGGTAGATTGGCTATGATAGCTGTGGGTAAGTGGAGCTGGTTCTATTGAGATTTGTAAATAGAGTTGAAATCTATGTGTTCTTTTAGGTGGTTTCATACATCAATATTGGGTAACGAAACAAGGTATTTTCGAGCAACTGGCCAACTTTCGTCCATTATCTCCATGAAACCAGTATTCTCCTATAATAATGTTGTTTTCCCGTGGTTGCTAATAAAAGTAGTTTTTATAGAAAGAACAATTCATCTTCAATGTTGAGTTCAAATCTCAATCCAAAGAAAAATGCTTAAAGCCAAATTGGGATCGATCCAATGAAGGAAAAATGTTGTCCATATTGCTTTTCCATCAAAGACTCTCTCTTCTCTCCTTAGATTTCCATTAACGCCTCTCTTCTTGGTGTTATCAACAACAAGTTGCAATAGGCAAGTATCTATTATTTTTTTCTTGTTTGCTAAAATTTCACAGAAACAGGGTCTTTTCATAGGGTATGAAGCATCTATCGACCATCTTTGGAATATTGTTCTGTATCTGCACCTTGTTCGACACCAGTGCAGCATATGGATATCCATCGCAAAGTACTTACTCCACTGAATACACTCCAATTAGTTACAATCAGTACTCTCCTTATCAGTATTCTTATATTCCATATCCAACATCTACTCCTTCTTATAAAGAATATGAATATCTGCCACTTTGTGCATTGGTATGTGAAGACTGTCTTCAATGTTATCAACAAGTAAGTATTTTGCTTTTATGCATCAACATCGTTTTCATGGCTCACATCTTCCTTCCAATCTAGTATGAGTTCATTTATCCTTGGGGACTCGACATCTTGTACTGTAAGAACTACGGGAAATACTGTTCTTCTGCAACGACGTCGGACTATTCACGTGGAATGTATTCCATGTCTCAAGCTTATTCTACAGTATCTCCCATGCAATATCCACAACCTCCAATGACATATACATATCCACCATGGTAAGTATCTCACTCGTTTCTACTTGTTCTATTATGAACAACAACTAGGTATGTGGATTGTCATATTACTTGCTTTGATTGCCTTTTGGTAAGTTGAATGTGTTGCTTTGTTTCCAAGTAATCATATCGTTCATCTAGTGTCTTTGGGAGTTTGGTTTCATCTATGAGTCACCCAAGCAAATAACGAACGAATATCAAAACTATGGCTATGGTTTAATGCTCTATTCTCAACCTTCCCTCCAATCATACATGCCAAGCAGTTCTATGGCTAGTTCAGATACTTCTTCAACAACAACACTAGTCACAAGTCAAGACGCTCCTTCTAGTCCAAGTGCTAGTGCGATATCTTCATCTTCTCCTTCTCCTTCTAGTCTGATATCATTTTCTCCAACAACTAACGATCAACTGGCGAATTCTGACGTAAGCACTACCCAATTGCCCTTTAACGTCTTTGTAGTTCCATGCAACGGCTGTGCAACTCCAGTTCCTACCGAAGCTCCAATCCCAACTGAAGCCCCGATACCAACAGAAGCTCCAGAACCTGTTTCAACAGCAATTCCTCTGACAACGGTTCAACCACTTCCTACTGGTATTGTCATCTCAAGTAACGTTCCTGAGTCTTCCCAAATTCCCAGTCTTTCAACCAGTTCGACGCCCTCATCGTTTTCAACTCCGACTATATTTGCTCAACCAACTTTATCACCCATAAGTTTCAGTTCGAACCCAACTTCTCAGCCAATCTTTGGAGCTGTTCCAACGACTAGCATCAGTCAACCTACAGCCGTGGTGTTCAATGGGCCTATTTTCACTCCATCTCCATCTTTCAATTCTATTACATCTGCTACAGCGATTCCAACCTTCACTTCAGGTGATGTTGTCAATGGATCGCCATCTTTTTCCACAAACCCAACAACGAGTTCTAGTGTCGTGAGTGGCGGTATCTCTTCATTTTCAGCGTTCCCTGTACCTACTTCAAGTATTCCAGTAGAAACTACCATTTTCTTTTAAGAAGTAAGGATCGATGGACGTGCACAGTCAAAAAGGTTATATCATACAACTGATTGTGTTATAATAAGCAGAAAACAATCATTGATGTTGCAAGGTCAAAGGACTTTGAATAAAGCAAAAAGGTTGCATTTATTTTTGAAATTATCGAGTATACAATAGGCACGTCTTTTTATGACACAAATATTCATAGTGTAACAAAGAACAATGTATAGCGTATATAAACGAAACCACAGAAATTTTGCTGTTTTATTCAAGTTGTAATAGCCGCACCCTCAGTAGAGTCCAATGGAATGTCATAAATAGAAAAATGCAAAATTGGCTTTGAAAATAAAAATTGCCGTTGAACCCATTAGTATCCAGTTGGTTCTATTCTGTCCTGTAGAAAAGAAAAATGCTATATCATGTGTTGGCTTTGGGGTTGCAAAATAACGCTAAATCATATATAAGAGGAATTTCTTTCTATAATCATTTTTGGCATTGTGATTTGGAACATTTTGTAACATCCATCATGAACAAAGTTTCTCTAGTTTCTTTTCTGTTATTTGGAGTTGTGATCTATGCAGTTGCAGGACCTCTCAAAGACTCCAATATAGCCTCAAAAGTCAGAGGATATAGTAGCGCTTATAGTCCTGTCTATTCATCACCGATGTATTCCACTCCTTATGAAAGTCCTTCTTATCCCTCTTACACTACCTATCCTTGGATTGAGCCTTGTGCTGAAGCTTGTGCTGGATGTCTCTATTGCTATCAACAAGTAAGTTTATCTTAAAATTTTCAATTGTCATGTTGCTAATGTCTCCAAGTACAATTTCTATTATCCCTACGGTCTTGATATCCTTTACTGCAACAACTTTGACAAATATTGTCCATCTGGATACGTTCGACCAACTCCTTATCAGTCTTCCTCTTATTCTCGTGGAGCTTATAGTTCATCATCATCTTCCTATGCAACTCCAACATACTCATCTTCTTCTTATTCGACTCCAATGTATACATCTTCCTATTCAACCAATACCTACACTTCTTATGAAACTCCTCCTATGACTTATTACTATCCAGAATGGTATTTGGAATGTTATCAATGGTGCTTCGAATGTCTTTTGTGCAACTTGGAATATGGTTTTTACTACATTCAAGAACCAACTCCTACTCCTTATTATCCAAGTTACTCCAGTTCTTATCCGATGTATAGTAGCAGTTACAGCAGCTACAGCAGTTATCCATCTTATACAACTAGTGCGTATAGCTCATAAAATGGAGATGGATTCTCAGACAAAGGATGGCCTTGAGCATAGTCTCACATGGCTTCAGCTTTGGAAATAAAAATTGGTCTCGACTATCGTTTCTTATAACTTGAAGTCTAACAAATATGATTTTTTATACTTCATAAATGGCTGCTGTTTTGTAAGTTTCTCCACGTGGCATGTAGTATACGCTTTTCACCAAGACGTTGCCTTATAGCCATCCTTTGATTTTTTTCAAGCGTTTGAAACATTGCTCTGTCACGAATAATCTTTTCATCGTCTTCAAGAGATGTTGGATACTTTCTTAGCTGATCAACAATATAATTCAATAATTTGTCTAATGCGCTCTCCTCATTGCTTGCAGAGACAATCGTACCAAAATCTGCTTGTAAATCTGTTTCTGTATCTATACAACAGAATCTCAAAAACTCTGCCATTTCAACCGGGTATCGATCCATATAGAGTGGAAACGATTGTAGTGGAGACTTTCCGTATGATTCCAACATGCGACATTTTTCCAAGTATAGAGGATCTGTTTTGTCTAAACCGATCGTAATTTCCACACAGTCAAATGGATTTCGTTCCAATGAAAAGCCATACAGAAGCAAGAGTTCCTGGTTGCTTCTAGGTCCATAGCTCACATAAACTTGCTCATAAGGTTCATACAATCGATCCACATACACTACAGCTTCTGTCACACCATTGCCAAAGGGAATTTTCTCTTCATCAATGAAGGCAGAGCAAAAAGGGCTATGATTCAACAGATCTGCATACGGTACCAATGCAATTCTCTTGGAACTAGGAAAACAAATAGCTCTAGAGAAGAGAATACCAAATGCCCATTGAAACTGTTTAAAATCTATTGGCTTTGAGGCAAAGTTTGGAATCTGAGGAATAATATTCTTTCCAAGATACGTATATTCTCGTAAAAGTTTGTCTCTCAACTGCTCGCAGGCAGATAACGTTGGACTGCCCTGTAAAAGATCCAAATCTTTGTTCGACCATAAAAACAAAGGATTGAGTTCATCAAGGGTAGGCAATATATCCAAGTATGGTTTAAAGAAAGAGTCAAAGCCTTTGGCCTTTTCATAAAGTAAAAGTAACCCAATAGAAACATACTCGTCTTCTATTGAAGCTATTATAGAAGTTGGAAAAGTTTCCAATGCTAACTTCCTGGTAAACATTAGCTTTTCGGGAATCTCCAATACCTTTTCACCTAAATTCACACTTCGAGAGGACAACAGTCCTCTCCCAGAATACTCCCCTTCATCCTTAGTCTCTTCAGCGATAACAAGTCTATGAGGAGCGTGAGTCCACGAAGCTTTCTCTGAAAGATATACTCCATTCTCTTTCAGCCAATCATAAAATGCGGAAATTTCCGAGCTCCAACCCTTTTGAACTGCAGGGTCCCCCGAAGTGAAAGAAAAGGCATCAGAACTCTATAAAACAAACGTCACAACCACTCAAAGAATGGAAAGTTACACAAACCCTTCTTCTGGGTGATTGAAACAAACAAAGTATTCCACCAGATGAGCAGCCCTTTCGTTCTTTATTCCTACACGACCTCCTCAAAAGTCTCTGTCGAAAACTTTTAGTCGGTTTCTTTCCAGCACTACGAGAAACCAACGGCGGCCTATCCAACAGAAACAATAATGAGCTCATCAATAATCTCAACATTATAGCATTCCATTTTCAAATTGATTTCTTTATTCGACAAATGCAAACCAACTCATCGCCACAAAGGACGAAACATCCTTATTAGGCAAGATAACAAAAACACAACTTCATGCACACTATCAACATTATCTCAAGTGGATAACTACTCCTCATTTAAGCATTATTGGATCCCGTATTTTGTTGCTTTCCAGAGGAAGAAGTTCGATCCCCAACCAACAGACCGTCGACTACCGACACTCCACAAAGGAATAAACTAAAAGCGAAGTTAATCCAAGACAAACCTTCTATCGTATTGATATCTTTCGTCAGACTAAGGGCGTCCATAACTGAACTCGATGGCCTCTTGACTGTTACGACGATGGCACCAATTAACCTATTATTTACTCGAATCAATATCTAAATGAGAAACAGTATTCAAATGACATACCACCACAGTGTCTGAAATACATTAACTCCAAGTTCAACAAACCAAAACTTTGTGAGAACTGGGTAAAGTGCATCAACAAATGTGAATAACCAGAGAAAGAAGACTAGAATCAAACTAATAGAAGCCAATGCCATGACATATTTACAGGCACCATGGTCACCACCTTCTACAACAGAAGAAGCTGAATAGGCACAGAAGTCAATTATTTTGCCTTTATAGTTCAGAGCGTCATTCCATATGTTATCTCCTTTTCTTCCGTCGAGCCCAACAATAGTGGCAGAGAATGCTATAAAAATCAGTTATCTACCACAACGACTGGCTACAATGTCCTTACCTAGAATAACTATGTAAAGGAAGAACCTACAAGTCCATAGAGCTGCACTAGCACCGTCTTGAAGTTTCGTATCAACCATGTTCTTCGCAACACTAAATTTCAAATACAAATTACAATAATGGATAACAGGGTTTGACCGTTCTTTTATAGAAACGTTTCGGGCTTCCAGAAAATTCCGTTTTATGGAATTGAAATGCCACGTGCCGAACACTCTGCTGGAATGTTATCGATGACAATTCAAACAAGGTTATTAATTACATATGTCCTCTGTAACTTCGAAATATAAAACTGAGATCAACACGTTATTTTTCTCAACTTCTTCAACAAGTTGCTCCACTGTTTTGTGGTACAAAGGGAGTCAGAAGTGTGGCTATTTAACAAGATAGCTATATCTTTTTCGCGAGGAGATTGAATACCTTCGAGGGAATGGCTTTACAGTCTACTGCAAACACTAAGTATATACACACACATATATATCTATTATTTCAAGTTTCTTCCTCCCGACTACCCAAACCAGCTCTGGGTGGTCGAATAACAACTGACAAAGGATGCTTCAAGCCAGTTTCTTCACGATGGGGATGTCCAAGACTTTGGCCTTTTGACCATCCCATTGTTTGCAACATTCTAAATGTAGTGAGAAAAGTGACCAAGTTATATCCGTTTCGTGCTCACCGATGACCGATATTATCTTCCGTTATAGTAGCAGCCAAGGATTTTTCCAATTCCTTACGTCCACGAGCAGAATAAGTAGTTGCTGCTGCCATTGCTAAGGTTGTAATATTCAGATAGCCAAGTCAGTGTTCTTTTTAAGCAAAGTAAAACTCAAAGGGTTCTTACCTTTCTGGGAATCCTTTCTAAGGCTTCCATTCTTCTTCTTCTGCTTCTGCTTCTGCTTCGTATCGCTTCCTAGTCCAATCTCTTCCAAAATTGAGTCCTCTATCTCTTCGTTAGGTATCTTCCAGCGGGATCGTCGCGTAAGCGTAATGGCTCGCTTGCCTTCTCTTCCATGACTACGACTATGTATTCCACAAGCTTCCTGTTACAACTCGGATAAGTTCTCTAGCAATCAATGCACGTGACACCCTACCGCGTATCTGTGTATTGCAAACCGTACATGTCTACTCAAAGAAGGAAATGTATAAGTTCTACCACAATCTGCTTCGAGAAAAGTACGTATTTGCTGAAAAGTCCGTAAAACAGAACCTCGTTTGCCTTTCTCACGAGCATTCGATTGCTTTTTCCTTCTGGGCTTCCTAAAGTAGACAGATTTAAAAAATAAGGACTCTTTATGAGAGTCTGATAAAAACATTTCCATACTTGGATGCTGTTAGACTCATGGCGTAGTCAAACCCATCGTCTACCAGATTATAACGAGAACGAATTCTATGTTTCCTTAAATGGCTCTGAAAGAATGCTTGTGACGAATTGTTTGTAACAATAGAACTCTCCTTGGAATTTCTTTTTGAACGCTTACTTGATTTACTTCTTCCACAAGCTTCTTCCTCTTCATATTCCGAATTCTCTTCAGCAACAGTCTTAGAGCCAAGGTTTTTTTTGGAATCTGAATTCTTTTTCTGTCCTCTTAAAGAACTAGAGCCTGACCGAACTTGCAAAACTTGTTCAATCCTTTGAATCTTTCGCTTTAAATACTGAATATAGTCCAAAGCTTCCTCTTCACTCATCTGTTGAATTTTATGGGAGCTTAGACTATCCATACTGTCGGAACTTTCATAATCTACCAATGCTTCCATAGGGTTTAGAATCTGACTGGAAGAAGCTTCGCTTTCGTCTTCCGAGCTATTACTTCTCGAAGAACTTTGCGAATCCATAGCAACAAAAGCATCCTTTGAAACCTTTGTGGTCGAAGATTGGTTTACTTCTTCTTTAATATTGTCTGTATACGTCAGTTGAGGAAAACTTCCTCCACACAACTCCAAGTTTTCCAAGTCGTTAGCTATAAAGTACAAGTCAAGAGAAGGGTCAACCTCGGAACGATCAGTTGAAAAATTGTGTTTGAAAGAAGTTTCAAGCCGTGTTGGCTTTTTATTCGAGTTTTCATTCACCACATCCTTATTCTGGTTCTTGGAAAGCTTATGTGAATAGCGATGCTTCCCGCCACTTCTCTTCTTATCTGACATTGATCAATTTTCATATGTCTTCTGTGGCTGTTGATACGCACTCTGAAACACAAGATACTCGACGTACAAATGCACTTAAAGAGTATCAGCGAGTACTTTCGCAACATAGAGATATTGAACATAGAGTACGAAGGCTCCGAGAGGAAGTTAAAGGTCTGAAGCAACAAGTATGTGTTAGACTAAGGTCTTATGACGTGGGTCTCATATTTGTTCGTAGTTTGATAAGACGGAAGACGATTTGAAAGCGTTGCAAAGTGTCGGTCAAATAATAGGTGAAGTTCTTCGAGCTATTGATCAAGAAAAGTATATTGTGAAAGTAAGTAACTTTGGCTGAGTCAGTTTCGTGTCAACAACTCTTTTCAGGCTTCTAGCGGCCCACGTTATGTGGTTGGCTGTAGAAATAAAATTGATAGAGATAAACTTATACAAGGAGCACGTGTAAGGGAAATTCAGTTTTGCGCTTCTCTATTCTCTCTTATGAAGGCTGTTTGTTTCAGGTCTCATTAGATATGACTACGTTGACAATTATGCGTATACTCCCTAGAGAGGTAGATCCTCTTGTGTATAATATGTTGACGGAAGATCCTGGTCACGTTCCCTATTCAGATGTTGGCGGTCTTTCGGAGCAGCTGAGAGAACTTCGAGAAGTTGTAGAACTACCTCTCACGAATCCTGAACTATTTCAACGTAATGAAGACTTTCCAGTCTCAGATATTATTTATTGAATATATGTAGGAGTTGGAATCAAGACTCCTAAAGGGGTACTATTGTATGGGCCACCAGGAACTGGGAAGACCTTATTGGCCAGAGCGATTGCTTCCAATATGGATTGTAGTTTCCTGAAAGTGGTAGCGAGTGCTATTGTTGATAAATATATAGGTTTTTATAGGTTTTGTAGTGTTTGGTATGAAACTAATATTCTTTTTAGGAGAAAGTGCCCGTATTATTCGAGAAATGTTTCAATATGCAAAGGCACACGAACCTTGTATTATCTTTATGGATGAAATTGATGCTATTGGTGGTCGTCGTTTTTCGGAAGGAACTTCAGCAGATCGAGAGATCCAAAGAACCTTGATGGAACTCTTAAATCAGCTGGATGGCTTTGATGAAATTGGAAAGGTCAAACTTGTAATGGCCACGAATCGTCCAGTAATGTGATTTTTAGAAAAAAGCAGTATATATGTTGACTTTAAATTGAAAGGATGTGTTAGATCCTGCATTGCTTAGACCCGGTCGATTGGATAGGAAGATAGAAATACCGCTACCCAATGAGCAAGGACGTTTGGATATTTTGAGAATTCATTCCAGTAAGAATTTCTAGTTTTTTTATGAGTAAATATTTATTTTATGTTTAGAGAAACTTAATTTGGGAGGTGAAATTGATTACGAAGCAGTAGTTAGCCTTGCAGAAGGCTTTAATGGGGCTGATTTGCGAAATATTTGTACCGAGGCTGGTAAGGATCGACAGTTTTGAATAGAGAGAAAGTTTCTTATTGCCGTATTAGGTTTATTTGCTCTTCGTGCGGATAGAGACTATGTTATACATGAAGACTTTATGAAGGCAGTGCGAAAAATTGCGGATAATAAGAAGTTGGAATCTAAAGTTGATTATTCTAGTAGTTTTAAACAAAGCGAATAAACAAGCGTTCGCAATAGATTACATGGCTTTGTGAAATTCCCCCAAAAATTGCATTAGACAGCGCCTCATTTGTCCCATTTCTTTTTTTTTATTCAATTGCGCGCCTTATTCAAATTCAACGTGTCTTTCTTTGTCTGGGATCGTAGCCACCTCATACAAACCTTTCTGTTTTAGCCAGCAGTCATTTCAGAGTCTCTGTCTTTCGATTTTTCGATTTTCGTGTGAGTATATTGACAGACAAGGTAGGTTCAATAACTCCTTTCGGATATACATCTTTGTCTCATTGAAGTGCTAAGAATTATGCGTGAAATTGTACACGTTCAAGCCGGACAGTGTGGAAATCAAATTGGTACCAAGTTCTGGGAAGTCATTTGCGACGAGCATGGTCTCTCTCCAGATGGATACTATGTAGGAGATACCAACTCTCAATTGGACAGGATAAACGTATATTATTCAGAAGCTTCCGATAAACATTATGTACCTCGCGCAGTTCTTGTGGACTTGGAACCAGGAACTATGGATGCTATAAGAAGTGGAAAGTTGGGCAAAATGTTTCGCCCAGATAACTTTATCTACGGTCAAAGTGGTGCAGGAAATAATTGGGCCAAAGGTCATTATACAGAAGGTGCCGAATTGGTAGATGCAGTTTTAGATGTCGTCCGAAAAGAGGCAGAAGCTTGTGACTGTTTGCAAGGTTTTCAAGTAACTCATTCGTTGGGTGGAGGCACAGGTTCGGGAATGGGAACTTTATTAATTTCCAAAATAAGAGAAGAATATCCCGATCGAATGATGGGAACGTATTCCGTATTACCTTCTCCCAAAGTATCCGACACTGTTGTTGAGCCTTACAACTGTATTCTTTCAGTTCATCAGTTGGTAGAAAATGGAGATGAAGTATTCTGTATAGATAATGAAGCACTTTACAATATTTGTCACAACACTTTGAAAATGAACAATCCTTCCTATAACGATCTCAATCAGTTAGTAACTGCAGTGATGTCAGGTATTACCTGTTCTCTCCGTTTCCCAGGACAGCTGAATGCAGACTTGCGCAAGTTGGCTACCAATCTTATTCCATTCCCTCGTTTACATTTCTTCATGATTGGATTTGCTCCATTAGCAGCACCTGGAACGCAGCAATACAAGTCGAGTTCTGTGGCTGATTTGTGCCAACAAATCTTTGATTCTCGTAACATGATGGCAGCATGTGACCCTCGACATGGCCGTTATCTTACTGCAGCAGCATATTTCCGAGGAAAAGTGCCTACCAACGAAATTGACGATCAGCTTATGACTGTCCAAAATAAGAATGCCGCTTCCTTTGTGGAATGGATACCTAACAATATTAAAAGTTCTCTTTGTGATATTCCTCCAAAGGGAATGCAACGTTCTGCCACATTTATTGGCAATTCTACAGCCATTCAGGAGTTGTTCAAACGAGTTGGTGAACAGTTTGCAGCCATGTTCCGACGAAAAGCATTTCTTCACTGGTATACTGGAGAAGGAATGGATGAAATGGAATTTACTGAGGCAGAGAGCAACATGAGTGATTTAGTGTCAGAGTATCAACAATATCAAGAGGCGACTATAGATGATGACTTTGGAGAAGATGGTGATGGTGATGAAGAGGATTATTGAGTGAATGGAGTCAGAATAGTAAAATCTATTTCTCCTGATATTGTTTGTGTGGATTTTCTCATAAATAGCTTTGACCCATATTGAATGAAATGGAATCGTGTTTGACATTGGAAGCCAATTGAAAATGATTCTGTCTCGTAAAAATCTTTGTCACACTTCTTCGCCATCATGAGAACCATTAGACTATTGAAAAGAGTACCAGGAGAATTTGAGAAACTCAGCAACTGGGACTCTTATTATAGATTGATAGATAGTAATAGCATCTTGTCTACAATTAGTCAGCCGTACCAAGTGTCCATCAATTCAAACCAAACTTAAAAGAATAGAAATATGTTACAAGTAACTTAATGGTCTCATCGTGGATTGGATAGAATTGAAATATGAGTCAGTTTAACGGTGCTGATGGTGGCTTTCAGTTTGACTTGTTGGAAAGAAATGAAAGACTAAAGGAAAAGTTAGTTTTAAGTTTATCGAATATTCTGTTTTACCTATTTTCTAGGGGTTATCAAGTTCCTGTCGCAAGAAAGACAGGTACCACCATAGTTGGGTTAGTCTTTCGAGATGGAGTTGTTTTGGGAGCTGATACAAGGTGAGACTATTTATTTTCTATCCAAGAAACTTTTATTGATTACCTTTTAGAGCCACATCAGATACTACAGTTTTTGATAAAAATTGTGAAAAGATTCATTATATTGCGCCCAATATCTATTGTTGTGGAGCTGGTACAGCTGCGGATACCGAAAACACAACAGCGCTTGTTTCTTCACAGTTGGAACTACACCGACTCAATTCTGTAAGTTGAGCAATGAAAGCGTCGTTTTTGCTAATATGCCGTTGATATAGGGTCGTGAATCGAGGGTGACTACAGCTCTCACTTTATTGAAAAGGATGCTATTTCGGTACCAAGGATATGTATCAGCAGCTCTTGTTTTGGGTGGTGTTGACTTTTATGGACCTCATTTATACACCGTCTATCCACATGGCTCAACTGATAGGCTACCGTAAGTTTTCATATTGGGTTTGTTTTATAGCGAATGATTTTGTCTGTTTAGCTTTGTGACTATGGGCTCTGGATCGTTAGCAGCAATGTCTGTGTTCGAGTCAAAATATATGGACGATATGTCACGTGAAGAAGCTGAGAAGTTAGTCTATGAAGCTATCTCGGCAGGAATTTATAACGACTTAGGCTCAGGAGTAGGTCTTCTCTTATGAGTGTTTGCAAATACTTAACTCTTATAGGGTAACGTGGATCTTTGTGTGATTACGCGAGGACAGACGGAATATTTGCGTGGATATGCAAAGGAAAATGAAAGAAAGTTCAGGAAACCACAAGGCTATTCATTTCCTATAGGAACGACGGTATGTGTTTATCAACTCATTATCGGTTGACTAAGTTTCTGTTATTGAATAGAGCATTTTATCTAGCCGTTTTGAAAGGTCTTTTGTACCAACTCCATTTGTTTCAGATCCTGAAAATAGTTCGACTATGGCAGTTGATTGAGAATAAAGGAAACTCTATTCTTTCCTTTATATGTCTTTGAGTAATGGACCAACTTTTTATTTTGTTGTTTATTTCGTATATGTATTGTTGAACATTATCCATTTCAGAATTCTAATACAGGAATGGATATGAACTGCAAGAGCTTCTTACACCAGGAATTTGTAACATGAAAAGAGAACCACCCTGAGAGTTGAAACCTGGAGACAGCATAGTTTCTCTGGCAGTTGTCACAAAAAGAATATCCAAATGAGGACCTCCAAAACATACCGAAGTAGGATATTTACAACCAACCGATATTCTCATCAATTCCTTTCCAGTTGCAGCATCGATTTGTAACACAACTCCAGCTCCACATAACGCTACCCATAACTTGTCTTGTATATCACAACACATTCCATCAAAAACAAAAAACTCATCACTTGCTTTTTTATCCAATCGAACAAGAGTCTGTTTACTGTCCTTGTCTATTTTGCCCGTTTGTATGTCGTAAGGATAACAAAGGATCTCGTATTTTCCAGAGTCGATATAAAAAAGATGTCGATAGTCACTCAACCAAGTAAGACCATTGCTGCAACATATTTTAGATAAAACTTCTTGTGACTTTATCTTGTCGAGTTGTTTCCTTTTCACCGGTTTCTTGGAATCAGCTTTGCGAAGCCGTTGCGAACTTTCAAAGGAATAAAACTTTCCTTGTGCTTCACTGTATGACTTTTCTTGCCATTGATAATCCATCAATCCAGCAAAAAGACGGCCACTACTATCACACTTTCCATCGTTGAAGCGCACTATATGAGTATCCATATTATGGCTCCATATTTGCTCTTCGACACAATCTTCTGTAGATGACAAATCCAACCAATAAAGACCATCTTCAAGACCACCCATAACAGTATCCACTTGAGGACTAGACGAGACAGGACAAATAAAACCAACTCGTTGGTTCGTTTTCCAACTCCTATGTTTCTCTGTATCCAACTTGTACTGGTGAATCTTCTTACCATCGATATCCACGTAGAATAGTGAGTTAGTTGCGGTGCTCCAAAAAGGACTTTCTAGCAAATCACCACCACTTTCTTGAGCTACTTGTATAACTGGATGCAAACCAGACGACATGAAGCTACTCGTGGATTCCACCGATCCAAAGAAAAATGGCTATGACTATTGAAACTATACGATTCTATATATATATATATATATATATATATGCAGATATTTATGGATTGAATAAAAACTCTACCTTTCAATGTTTATGAAATATAGGTTCCTTCATCGAGCTCTAGGGTTCTTTGGACAATGAATTGCCTTATGTTCAGAACTTAAACAAATATAACAAGCAGTACACTCTCTTGCTAAATGACCACGTTGACCACATTTGTAACAACCATCGGGAGCAGCATCTACAGGCTTCTCAGGACAGTCCCTCGTCCAATGTCCATATTTACCACAACGAAAACATCTGCCATGATTCACTTTATTCTTCATAGCATAAGAAGAAGCCCCAACTGCACCAAGTTGATGCTCTGTCAACGCAGAATGATTGTTCAATGTTGCCCAACTATCCAAGTGCATAGTTGGAGAACGATTCCATCCTTCCCATCGAATTCTACTTCCTCTCGCACGTTGAGGACTTGAAGTGAGCGGATAAAGTGGCACATGAACTGGCATAACAGGAACGGTTCCAACCCATGATGGACCAACTTGCCAACCTTCATAACTGGGAACAAAAACACGAGGTGAAGAGACGAAAATATAAGGACATTCCTTGATCAAATGCCCTTGATTACCACAATGATAACATATTCTAGTTTCATGCTTTCCAGAAGCTAAAGAATGTTCTTTACGACTGGTATCAACATACTGTGAATGATGGGTTGAAACCAATTGTTCTGAGCTAGTGCAATGAATAGATGAGTGACCCTTCCCTCCACAACGTTCACATACTTGATTGGCAACTAAAGGACACATTTTCTTGCACAAGTGTTCCTTGATCCCACCGTCTGTCCATTCCTCCTTTTCCTCCCTTGCTTTTCTTTTACACTTTTCTGGACTACATTCCACCTTATCTAATAATAAATCTCTGTCAGTACGACTATCACAGTTATTCTTTCCGTTCGCGGAATAGTTTTCTTCGTTTTTAGTGTCTAAACACTCCTCACTTTTACCTTCCGAGAATCCCTCTACTATCCTTTCCAAACTATCTTGCAAATATTCACTATCTTCCTTATGAGAAACTCTTTCTACAGTGGCAGTATCTTGTTCAATACTCTCTTCATCTCTACCACTCTCTGGGCTAGTTATATGTTCATATTCACTCTCTTCCACAATACTCATAACTATTTCAAACCAGTCTTTTCATAAATATTCTGAAAAGTCAACTTTCACATCTCATATACTCTCCAAACCAATGAAAACAAAACACAAAACTCACCTTTACTTGTCCCACCACGAAGTAAGTAAGAATGAATACACACATCGATATTTGGAGAGACTTGTGGGATATGAGAAAATTGTCACGAGTCAATAATCCTATGGAAGAACAACGACGCAATAGACAGTTGTTATTTGGAAACAACAATACTAGAAACGCAAGTAGTAATTCTACGGGTAGAGACCAAGCAGAGCAGTTATTTGAACAAGAGAACAATCAAGCGTGGGACCAACTACATGGAAAAGTGGGTTCTCTTAAGGACGTAGGTTGTCTCTGTGTGCGTGAAAACTCTCAATAAAAGCATTCTTTCAGATTGCACTTCAGATAGGTCAAGAAGTAAACTCCCAAAATCAGTTTTTGGGCAATATGACGACCTCTTTCGACTCTGTGGGAGAACTTTTGAGTGGTACAGTTAACCGTCTCCAAAGATTGGTTTCTGAAAGAACGGGAAGACATATGTGTTATCTTATTTTGTTTATATTTATTTTCTTTCTACTTGTCTATCTGTTTTTACGTAACTGAAAGTTTATATTATGCACAGCTGTTCAAAGTACCAAGTTGCGAAGGGATTTGAGAGTAATCTTTTCAACCTTGTGGTGCTATTGCAGTAACTTTTCATAGTATTGAAACAAGTTTTTTGTTGATGTGATTTTATAAACGAACATTAAAATATTTCTTACCGATCTTTTCATTGGATTGTTGGACGATGATTATTGTTTTGCACGCCATGGAAGGAAACCTTTGCTTTTTTGGCTCCATGTTGATTCCAACACTTTCGTACTCTTTCCAGCATCGTAGATGTATCCACTGTCGTTCAAGTTGTCAATTAGGTATAGGTTTTAGGGTAAAGTCTCCCAAATACAAGTCCTTTTACAAGAATATTCGAATGACAGTAAGTCAAACTTCTTTAAGAAGCTTTCTTATCCTTTTTGGAAAGGTGGATGATAAACAAGTGGTCACAGAATATTTCAATACAGTTGGATTTGAACGTTGGAGAAGGATCTATTCCCCAACTGAACGAGTCAATAGAGTCCAACAAGATATAAGACGAGGTCATCAGCAGACAGTAAATATAGTAAGCTTTGAAACTTTTTATTTTTTTTCACTAAGGCCTTTCAGATTCTTCGCTGGATAGAAGAAGATGGAGGAAACATTTCAGAACAATCTTTTTGTGATGCTGGTTGTGGAGTTGGTAGTCTCGCCATTCCTTTAGCAAAACTTGGAGCACGAGTAGCTGCTTCAGACATATCTCATTCTATGATCGAAGAAGCTCAGAAAAGAGCTAAAGAGGAATGGGTAAGTTCAAGAGGAACTTTTCAACATTTTCAGGGTTTTTATTGTTGTTAGGGTGTTATTCCATCTTCGTTATCATTTCAAGTCCAAGATTTATTGGAACTGCAAGGCTCATTTGATACGGTGTTATGTGTAGATGTGCTTATCCATTATTCCGATGCTCAATTAGTTTCTCTTCTTGATTCGTTATCAAGAGTGGCTAAGAGGAGAATGGTAAGTACCTTAGTTTGTACAATGAATATATTCAATATTGTAAGATTATTACTTTTGCACCTAAAACCTTCTATTATGTATTGCTCAAAAAGATCGGAGACTTTTTTCCTGGACCTAGCAAGGCAACTAGAGCTTATTTACATGAAGAGGTAAGAAACACTCCAATATATTATTCTTCAAATGAGTATATTTGGAATGATTGTATTAGAAAGACATACTCGACTCTTTACAACAACGTGGTTGGCAATGGATAAGAAAAGATTTGGTGAAAACAAATTTTTACTTTTGTCAAATTGTGCAGTTGGAAAAACGAAACAGAACATAAACTATGTCACTTGAAGATATGAGTTCTGTCTCTTATGCTGAAGAAGATATAATTAGTAAAACAAGTGGTTTTCATATACATACTTATCGTTGGATTCCTATTGCGATGCTCGACTTTTTACAGGGAAAAGACGCTTCCACTATACAACCGAAAGCTTGCGTATTTCTTATTCATGGTTTACACTCCAATACATTTTGTGAATACTTAGAACCAGACCCTTCTCAGAATAGTGCACGAAGACTATATCAAAATTCCATTCCACAACTTTTGAATGGACATGGTTTTGTGGTGTTTGCTCACGATCATCAAGGACACGGAAAGTCACAAGGAAAGTGCAAAGGCTATTTTAACTCTATGGATACTTTGGTGGCAGATACTTATCAGTATATGGAGTGGATTACGAAAGAAAAGTATCCAGTTTTGAAAGAAAAGCCCCTATTCCTTATAGGTTGTTCTATGGGAAGTTTGGTTTCGATATTGTTGGGTTTGAAATACGAGTCACTGTTACGTGGTGCCGTTCTAATTAGTCCTGCAGTATCTCAAGCTAGTAATCAGTTTGGTGTGATGGGTCGAATATTAAGACCATTATCAGGTATTGTATCTACATGGTATCCCACTTTACCTGTATTGCGACTTCCCAAGAATGAAAAGTTTCCAGAGTTACAGAAGAGTTGGGATAATGATGAACTCAATTATCATGGCAAGTTGAGAGCTCGAGTTGGTGAGCAATTTATGAAAACGTACGATGAGTTGTCAGAAAAGGCCACTCTGTTTTCAGTTCCATTCATTATGTATTATGGCTCAGAGGATACTTTAGTGGATCCCAAAGGAATGCAAAGCTTTTTTGATAAGGTAGCAAGTAGTGATAAGAAAGTAGTTTTATTGGAAGGAAGATGGCATATTCTTCATCATGAACCTGGAAAAGAGTCAGTCCGACAACAATTCTTGCAGTGGATGGAAGAACGTTGTTAAGAGAGAAAATCTCTTTTTTAAGGAATACATAAAACATAATAAGGAATTGATGATTATTCTTTCCATTTTTGTTTCTGAATAGAATGGTTGAACAAGGATGGAAGGAAGCTTTTGTGAATCAAAACTATTTTCGAGCAACACTATTCTGCTCTCGTCACTTATTATTCAAAAGACAATATAACCATTCGATAAGGCTCTTTGTAGTCAAGAAGAAGCGTTTGTTATTATTTTACCCTTTTTGTTGTCAACACCCTGATGATAGTCCACCCAACTCTACTCATTCCAGTCATAAAACTTGTGAACAAACCAAGGTCTCACCCAAAAACCCGTTGATATCTTATGCACAACGTTTACAGACTTTATGGTCAACTTTTATGAGCCAACCTTTGATAATTCCCAAGAATATTGCTATTCTGACTTCAACTTTATTTTTGGTGGTTGTCATCACATTGACGAGAGCACCTTCTTATGGAGATTGGGATCCTTTGGAACAAAAAGTCGCTCTCTTCAATATCATTTTAGAAGATATCCAACGTGCCTATGTTGAAAAGGTAGATGTAGATAAGCTATTCGAAACGGGAGTCAACGCAATGCTAGGTAATAGTATCATTTGGATTGAAACTGAATAAGGGACAACTGTATCTTAGGTTCTTTGGATCCTTATACTCAATTTGAAAACCATATAGAAGCACAAGAAATGAACGTCAAAGCAATGGGTCGTTACGGTGGAGTTGGACTTGTTATTGCTAAAGATATTCGAGATAAGGATCAAATCATTATTATTTCCTCTTTTGAGCGCTATGCTTTCGATGCTGGTTTGCGTCCAGGTGATAGATTACTTCAAGTAGATGGTCATTCAGGTAAGTGAAAGATATTATCTCTCGTTTCATGAATATTCAGATAGTTGGGTAGTTGTTGGACAAGATTTAGAAGGAATGACACAACTTCTTCGTGGAGATGCCGGGACCAAAGTGACTGTTCGTGTTTTAAGACCAGGAATATCCGAACCTTTTGATGTTACCTTGACGAGACAACTTATTCGAGTATCTGATGTACCTGCATATGGCTTTATTGGAAACCAACAAGATGGTAAGCATTCCCATTATCTCAAGTACACGTAAAGAATGTGTCTTGTGAAGGTGTTGGTTATATTCGTTTACAATCGTTTTCTTCCAACGCCTGTACTCAAGTTCGAAATGCTATCCAAGAGTTACAAAAAAGTGGTCAACTAAAATCTCTCGTATTGGATCTTCGTGATAATCCAGGTGGATTGCTATCTTCTGCTATCGATGTTTCTGAATTATTTGTGCCTAAAGGTTAGTATTATAGTTATATTAGATGGATAAATTACTTTTTCACTTGTGAAAATAGATTCTACAATAGTATCTGTAAAGGGGCGTCTTCTTCAAGAAAAACATTATCAGAGTAGAAGAATGGCAAGTTGTGTTATTCTTATAAAGTCTTCTCTTATATATATGTATATATATATATATGTATTCTACCTATTAGCCGTTGTTATCGCCCAATACTCGTTTAGGTGTTCTAGTCAATAGTCGTACTGCATCGGCTGCCGAAATTGTAGCAGGTGCTATTCAAGATAACGATTTAGGTAAGTCGTATTGTATTAGGTTATTGAATTGTTCTCAAAGAAGAATATGGCAGGAGTTGTATTTGGTTCTCAGACATTTGGAAAGGGCCTTGTGCAAAATGTAGATCAGCTTCCCTTTCAAACAGCATTGAAGTATACCGTTGGGAAATATTATACTCCAAGTGGTCGTTGTATTCAGTCATCGAGTTATTCATTGGATCATGAAAAGTTAAAAATCACAGTTATTGATCAAAATGAAAGAAAGGTCAATCATAGCAATTTTCATAGTTGTGCATATCTCTCATGCAATGTTTTTAGATATTCAAAACCAAAAATGGACGTTCTGTTTTCGATAGTGGTGGAATAGAACCCGATATCCAATGGGAAGAAACTCCTATTCATGAGTGGAGACGCTTATTACATCAACAAGGTTTGTTGTTCTATTTTGCAAATGACTATGCTGCCAAGGTAAGAAACATACTCCATATGGTGGATGGAAGGTTGAAATTGTCAAAGCATCCGGAAGGAATCCATTCCAACTTTCATGTAGATGATGCATTATATAGAAAGTTTAAAAATTATGTCAAGGACCAGATTGCTTCAGGTAGCTTTTCCATGGCTTCACGTTTTGAGGAACCTTTGGCCTCTCTTCGAAGTGACTTGGAGCAACAAGGTTATCGAGGTAAGTAGGAAGAATATAGGAGGATGTTACATGAAGAGGAATATGATGTGATATATTAGAAACCAGCAAAAATCTAGAAAAAGTTGCCGATTCATTGAAGCTTGAAATGGAAAATGAGTTGGAACATTTCGATCATACTATTCGTCATGATTTGGAAGATTCCATTCGTGCACGTTTTCAACCGGATTCCGCACGTATTATGGCTGGTCTATTAAGAGATGAAGAGATTTTGCAGGTAAGTGCAACATTTGGGTTGTAGATAGAATGGCATACTAAGATATGATGTATAGACAAAGCAAGTAATATCGGATGGAATACTTTATGCAAAGTTATTATCTCCTCAAAACAAAAAGGCTGCTGTATAGAATAAGGGAGTTTTTGGGGGTTGGTTGAAGAAGTGGGAGTGTTGAAAGCGAGTGTGCATACTACTTTCCTATAAATATCATTTCCAAGTAGCGACCATTTATTATTATATTTCTTTTCTATCAGAAACCAACTCGCTTTGTTGGGAGAAAATTATTTTATAGTTCAGCATTTTGAATAGGAACTGTTACTCCCGAACGTATTTGACCCCAACCAATAAGACGCCAATGTCTTTCAACTCTTCTTGAAAGCGCAATTTTTTCATCCTTTACATACTCAACACAACTACACAATAACAATCTCAATAAAATACTTACCACTTGTGTGCATACAGGACTAGTCAATGAAAGCTTTGCTAAATCTCCTTTGACTGCTAATACTCTTCCTCCAGTACTCGTAGAACCAATATTCAACATCAATACTTCTCCTTTAGCCAATTTTTGAACCTTTACAAGTTATTGGAATAAGACCCATACTAAGATCAACTAATTACCTTGGCTAATTTGCCTTGACCGTCTACTTTCACACCTAATAGTCTTCTCAACAGAAAGAAATTGACTTCCAATTCACAATACACATCAGGCAATCCTCCAAAAGAACCCAACACCTACAAAACTAAACATCCCAACAACTACATCACAGTTTCTATCACTTACCTGACCAACAAGACGGTCAGCTCTAGTTAAGGTGGGATCAATCGTGGTTCCAACTCCAATAAGACCTCCAGGAACAGCATACTGAAGTGAATTGGATTCCGCATTCATCGAATGAATGACAGAAATAATAGGAATACATATCAAATTGCCATTTTCATCTTTAGAAGGAATCCCTGGACGAATCTAAATACAGACACATTCCATTAGCAACCTGACAAAGCAAACATCGCAATCAACCGAACCTCAATCTTATCTCCTACTCGTAAAACTCCTTGCATAATGGAGCCTCCAGCAACACCTCCTTTCAAATCTTTCACTTCTTCTCCAGGACGATTCACATCAAATGAACGAATAATGATCATTCGAGGACTACTTTGGAAATCTCTTATAGGAACTGGAACTTTTTTAATGAGATATTCTACAACAACGTCGATATTGTACTTCAACTGGGCTGAAATAGGAATGACTGGAGCATCTTGTGCTACCGTTCCTTGAATAAAGTTTTGTATTTCTTGATACTGTGCTTCCGCCGCAGTTTCTCTCACCAAGTCTATCTTGTTCTGCAAAATAATAATATTTCTCAACTTCATTATTTCTACAGCTGCCAAGTGTTCCGATGTTTGAGGTTGAGGACAAGTTTCGTTGCCAGCAATCAACAACAAAGCTGCATCCATAACTGCAGCTCCATTCAACATAGTTGCCATAAGAATGTCGTGTCCAGGACAATCGACGAACGAAACGTGTCTCAATAACTTCATACGACTACCACAACCTGGTCTTTCACAGGGAGGTTCATCTTCTTTGTTAGACGAATAAGCTTTATAACACTCAGGTCGGGGACAATCCTATACAAAGTAAGAGACACTTCCAATCAGTCAAGTTATTCCTTACTGGATTTTCACACTTGTATAGTTTGGCGTTGGCGTACCCAAGTTTTATAGTAATATTCCTCTCTAGTTCGTTTTTAAAACGTACAGTTTGAACTCCTGATATTGCTTTGACTACTGTACTCTTTCCATGAGCGACATGGCCTATGGTTCCAATATTGATAGTGGCTTGACGTGAAATGACCTTGTCATTAGATTCGATCAATACATCTATAGTCCCTTCCACAAATACTTACTTCTGGTGTCAAAGGAGTTAGCTTTTTCACGTCCAAAGTACTCAAGTCTTGCTTGGCTAGACCGTTTTCTGTCATATCTATTGAAGTGAATACCTCAAACACAAAAAATCGTGGACGGTGAAATAATCAACCAACAACAATAATCGTGAAGAGAGTTGTATTGGAAATACTATGAAACTTGTGAGAAATGGTAACCAATACATCTCATTCCAATCATATTGGTCGATATGCTCAAGACAGGGTTTGTAAAAATATTTTATACTCAAAATAGGAGAAGACTAACAAAGTCATGATGTGAAATAAAACTCAAGAATATTCATATTGATAAAAAGCCATTGAATATTACATAGGGAGGTATTTTGAACATGTATTACAAAATAGATTTAAAAAATAACTTTGTAAACAAAGTCATTGCTTATAACTCTCATTTGTGTTTGAAAAGTGATGTTCTATTCTACTTGTCAACAAGTGGATTTCCATTCGGGTTATTCGACGAACATTCTGAATGGTCTGACGTTGAAACAATTCGGAATGTTCCTATTGTAACATATCACAGAAAAAACCTACATGGGTCGAGTAGAAAAGAAAAAGTATCCAAAGTATATATAGCTTGTTGTTCAAGTTACTGAAAAGAGAAAACCAAAGATTCCCCATTGGATCATTCTTTTCGCACCCTCATGATTACAGAACTATAAATATCCCACAGTGTCTCATTTCCGCCGAGTTGGATTGTTCTTTGTTGGTCACCTGGTCAGAGTCGGTAGTTTGTCGTATACCATTTGTGTGTAATGGCAGCAGTTGAAGATAACAGAGTTTTTGTGGGTGGTCTCCCCTGGTCAGTTGGTGAAGATGACCTTCGTGAAACCTTTTCCAAGTACGGAGAAGTTGTAGATGCAAGGGTGAATATCCGTGTTCCTTTTGTTTTGGGTTAAACTTGGCTCCCTAACGTCCTGCACCCATTCTCGAGGTTCCTTTTACTGGTCTTTTTAATACAACTTGTGCCATTTGACAAAGTCCCACAGAGTGTAGAGGGTAGTAGAGTTGCCAAGTGTAGTTTGTATATTTTGGTCCTTTTTCACGGTTGGGAACCCTCGAAAATAGTGTGAGGAACTGCAATTGGGTTGACTAGTGTACTCCAAAGTTATTGTTATTATTGAGTGCTTACAATTGTGTCTTTGTTTCTGCTATGGGAAGGTTGTCGTGGAACGTGAAACTGGTCGTTCACGTGGATTTGGATTTGTATCCTATGCAGAAGGCTCTTCGGTAGAGGAATGCATTGCAGCTTTGGATGGTCAGGTAAGTCGTGTTGTTTGTGTCTATGGAGTATTTTTTCGTTCTGACAACGGATAGGATATGCAAGGACGCACCATCCGTGTGAACAAAGCAATGTCCCGTGAACAACGAGAAGGTGGAGGGGATTTCTCTCGTCGTGGTGGTCGTGGACGTTACGGTGGTTTTCGTTCTGGCCCTTATGAGAGGCGTGACTTTGACCGCAGAAGGGACTATGAAAGGAGAGATAATGGACATGGACATGGTGGTAGAGGTGGTCGCAGTGGAGGTTTCCGTCGTCGCGAAGACTTTGAATGAAGTTGCATTTTGTTTCAGTTGCTTAAGTGTTTGTTGTTAGTCTCGTTGACTCTTTATTGTTCGTTTCATAGTAGAGCTTTGCTTGGAGTATTGCTTTTGTTTCGCTATACACGCACTTTAAAGCCGAGTAAAAATTTCTTTTTTAAGAATATGCTTTTTATTTTTAGTTAGTCTCCTTCCGTCGATGCTTGACTCGGTACAGGTTTCTCAAGATGCAAAGTATTTCTACTGGTGATATACAATACTGGAATGTGGTTTTGTTTCCTACAAAAGTGTATTAGCCTTTTATCACAAGTTGCAACAAAAATCTTTTTCTTCTGTCTTATGATGCTCTCGATACACTTGGACGCGTCCGTGTTCATTGGTTGTTGACTTTCGTGCTGACAGGGCAAGACTTGTAACCGTTTAGCAAGCAACGCTGCACCACGATGACTCTCTCCAAGAGCTTTCAATTCGCTACGAATACAGTTTGTCACCAAACACTTCACTTGACGTTTGCCAAATATGCTTTGCACAAGTTCCTTGATCACTAGCTTCCTAAAAAGTGTCTGATAAAGAAAAGTACCGTCCATCAAAATTTCAAAGGGTTCTTGAAATCCAAAGTGCTTTTGGTACTGATAAATTCTTCTCAAAGCACGTTTTTTCTCTTTACTTCTGGGCATCAACAGCTGCAATATATTTATTTTGTTGAGACAATCTATTCTTTCCCAGTTTCTTTTTTTATCCGACAAAGGATGGATGATGATGGGATGAACATGTGATCTTTTCCCTTAGTAGACAAAAGAGGCTCCTTGACATTGTGTTGACATACACTTCCAAGAGATTACAAGCACAGTCCAACATATTCCACAAGTGGATATTTGTCCATCATATCAGGCCATTGTACGAGAAACCGATGTACAAAAGGATACAAAACTCTGCCACTCAACGATAGGCTGCGTACTCTAGCTATGCTTTCTATAAAAACGATTCGGGTGCGTCTCTTTCGCTGTGCCAAGTTGTAAAACACGTTTCGAAAGAACATAATAAAAACAACAGGGACACAAGTACCAGGACCGTTACATACCAGAACATCTGGTTGCTCGCACAACCACAACTTCCAACTGGATACCACAAATGAATAGATGGTGGTAAATAGGGAAGAAAAATAGGACTGACCAACGTGTCTCGATCGTGGGATCCATAGTATCTGATAAGGAAACAAAGCCATGGCTCCATCTCTTTCGTGGAGACAACTTATCTTGTCCACGCTATGGTGGTCACTGGAGGCAACGATGTACAAGAATTGACAAGTTTTCTCCACAAAAGATAGACTATCGTCTTGACCAATAAAACGAGTGGAAAATATGTTTTGACCAAAAGTTCGAAGAATTTGTACCATTTCTGCAGTATGTCCACCTGAACCCAACACAACCATCAACGAATACTTTCTCTTTTCAACGATACAACTCTGACTTTTCAACCGTTCAAAATCCCGTTTATGCCAACTTGTCCAATTCTTATTGGTAGACAAGTTTTGACGATAAGTTTTTATACTACATTGCTCCTCATAAATACTCCAAAGCAATAGGATCCCAAAAATAATGCCAAACAATAGGAATAACAATCCTATCATTCTTTTGAATCCTCTGTGTGAGAGAACATTTTTTTTGGGGCGGTAGACTTATGCAACTCGGTTATTTGAGTCTCAACGCTACGTTTTATACGAATAAGATTAAACCACAACAGACTGTTGATATAGAGACTGAAAATTGTCGTATTAATGGAAGCAGGAACAAGAAAAGGCATCGCAATACGGGACTGTTTTTGGGAAAGACGCGTCAAATACCGTTTCGAATCTGCTTTGGTGGTGATTGGACGATGACTTTAGAAGAAGCAAAGAAGAACCCTCGAGGATTAGGAAATATATTCTTTCGATTTCTACGCTCAATAATACCGCGTAGTGAAAGCGTGGATTCTTCTGTGACGAGTACCGACGGAGATTCGGTTGAATGGCGCGATCAAAGCGGTGCTACACGTTCAAAAAGATATTCCAGTCGTCAAGTATCAAGTGTACCTATCAAAATAAGACATCTTCACAAAACTTTTGGTGAAGGTAGTGAGAGCTTTGTTGCATTGAGAGATATCAATCTGGACTTGGAAGCAGGCGCTTTGGTTGCACTTGTCGGTCCTTCTGGTTCGGGAAAATCCACACTTTTACGTATCATCGCCGGTCTAGAGACTTGCGATACGGGTCAGATACTTTTTGGTGATGAGGATGCTACTAATATTCGTGTGCAGGATAGAAGAATAGGTTTTGTATTCCAACACTATGCTCTTTTTCGTCATATGACAGTGGAACAAAACATCGAATTTGGATTAAAAATAAGAGGAGTCGATAAAAACACTCGTAAAAAGAAGGTTGCAGAATTGTTGGATTTGATGCAGTTGTCTGGTTTAGGTCATCGATATCCTTCCCAAATTTCTGGAGGACAACGACAACGTGTTGCTTTAGCACGTTCTTTAGCTCCAGATCCTAGTGTGTTATTATTGGATGAACCTTTCGCTGCTTTGGATGCAAAAGTGCGTAGAGGATTACGTGCATGGCTTAGAAGACTCCATGAGGAAGTCGGAGTGACAACTATTTTTGTGACGCATGACCAGTTAGAAGCTTTGGAAGTTGCTTCTACTTTAGTGGTTATGAATCGGGGTCGCGTGGAACAAGTAGGAACTCCATCGGAAGTGTACGATAGTCCACAAACACCTTTTGTAATGAGTTTTATGGGGGACGTCAACGTGTTAAAGAGAAGTAGAGCTTTAGGAGAGAATACTTTGCTTGACTTGGAAAACACACAAAAATTTCGGTCCCAACGAACACCTGAAACTTTTATGTTGCGACCACATGACATTCAAATTGACTCAGCTCCAAGTTTAGTAAGTATTCACATTGTTATGAGGTTGAAGCGTTTTGTTCAACGTTTTCACAGTTCACTACGGAAGCAACGGTAGTAAGTATTGTATTTCTTGGTTGGCAGGTCAATGTGGATGTCGAATTATCAGACGGACAAGTCTTACAAGCACACTTGACGAAGACAACGTTTGAAAAGTTAAACCTCTCTCGGGGTCAAACAGTCTATATTCGGTTTCCGGAAAAGACATTGTATCAAGTAGAAGATGACTATAGCATTTAGGTTGGCTTTTCTCTATCGCCCTTCAAACTCAAGAACTTTTAAGAGTAACCAATGCGAAATATTCAATAAAGCAACTTGGATGCTATTCAAAATGGAACGATAAAAGAACCTGAATAGCTGAGTGAACTGTTGTAGAGCAACTCCTGCGATAGTTTACAGTTTCTCATCCTCATCAAGCCTATCTTGGCTAGTATGATATCGTATGTCACTTTGTACTTTCCGTTCACTTAAAGGAGAATCCTCGAACAACTTTTCAAGCAGGTGGTTCATTTCTATCTGAATATTAACAGCCTACGCAGATTTCATGTTAAGTTCAAAAGACCAAGACTCAACTTACCTCCAAAGTTAAACTAGTCAAGTTTTGCGACAATCTTTTCGCTTCCTTCAACGTAGTCGATAGATGAAAATCTTCCGAGTCATTTTCGTTCGTCTCTTTGACGTCAGTAAATATAGACCATTTTTGGTGATTCAAAGTTGACAACTCCTTTGAAAACGAACAGCTTTCTCTGGAATTCGATACAGTCAAACTAGTCTCACTCTGAATACACTTCAACGTCGCTGTATGAGGTCGACAGTCAAACAAAAGCACATCAACTATCTGAATAATTGAGCTAGTGGAAGCTTTCAATCAATTCGACTTACGTCTTTCCGAATTGCCTCGAACGTGGAATTTCTCTCGCGCTAGCAAATACAATATATCCGCTAACCGCTTTGCAATCACTTCTTGCACTGCTGCATATGAGTCTATTGAATCGAGTAGGCTCAGCACAAGCCTATCGATATCTTCCTCCATCACTTCCCAACTATACTCTCTTTCTAGTCTGAGCAACTAACGACTAGGCTCATACCCACCATAACAATCTAATATGAACAAATCCTCAAGTGTCTTTTAGAAGATGTAATGGGAAAACTTGACCATTTGTTTTATTGTACTGGTTTTATCACGATGTTGCCAAAAGGAGTTTCTTGTTCGACTTGGATTTGTCGGAAAGTTTTGAGTACAAGTAGATAATAAAATATCCTCGCTGCACTAGATCTAGTGCCCCTAGAAACAGAGCTTCAACTTTTTTGCTATGCAAGGAGAAAAGTGTTTGGTACCCCTTAGCGACCTGTTGGAATGAAACAGCATCTGCTTGTGAAAAATACTCCCTTTGTAAGATATTCAAAGCTGCTAAGGTGAGAGAATCACTCAAGGCCTCTTGTTGAACTGCTTGTTTTTCCTGAAGAACTATGAGTTGTGCTGTGTCTCGGAAAAGTTGAATACGCACCGTAATAAGTGGCAGGCTAGTTAGGGATCCCAATTCTTCGAGGCTAGTTCTCTGCAATCCTGAATATTCCTCTTCGACTGGCAAGTATGTCTCTGGAATAAGTTCTTCTATAGATAGCGTTGAATGATAAGATCGAGTTTCTATAACAGTGATTAGTTTAATATATGCATGACTCAGTGTCAGTGGGAATTTGCTAATGATTACCTGTATGAAAGGTTCCAGCTGTAGAAACAGATACTTTCTTTCTTTTTGTTGTGGATGATCCATCTAGTCTGAGTATTTCAGGTTCTTCAGTCGACATCCGAAGATATCCTGGCACCATGGAAGTTTCGAGGAACGCTTCAGAATCACGTTTCCTTTTTTCAATGAAAGAATGACTTTTTGGATGTGTTTCAAAATGAAAAAGTTGGATGTTCGGAGGTTGTCTTAGAAGCGTCACATCGCAAACGTCTAGAAACAACGGCAAGATTGTGGTTTCTTCCAACAAGCCTTGAAAAACGTGTTTCCTAAAGATGTTTATTAGGAAAACCGTGTATTGGAAGATTCTTACCTTTCCTGATGCGATGGCACTACTGTATCTTTAGTATTATTTAGACATGCCTTGAGATATCTTGTCGTCAACTCGGTTTTGCTGTCTTGTCGAAATGGAGATTGTTTTTTGAGACCTATAATACGCATTGATTGGAACATGAGTAGTGTCACCAATTTTCAGAAACAAAGTATATCATACGCTCTCTTTCCATAGTAATTGGAGGTTTTGCTTCGTCATCTGCATTTTTCTGATTACTAGTCTCAACTTGTAAGTTTCCTTTAACATGAAGTTGCATTCTGTCGGTATCATGCAAAGAAATATAAGAGTAACGGCCTGATGTAGGCTCTGGTATTCTTCCTTCGGATGGTGGAGACCATATAGACATATCGAGACGTTGATGCAAGTCGTCATCTAGAAGGCAGCTCATGGAAAGATGAGAGGCTTCCGAATGATCCAATGAGCTGTCAAAATCATCCGTTTTTAAAGTAATGTCATTTGGATTGGCTTGAAGAAAAGAGAATGATCTCAGTCGTTGTATATCATAGGGCTCTGTATCCATTGCGAAAGGATGGGGAAACCTTGTAGGTTCGTCTGTATCTGGAGTGCTGTGTCTCCTTTCCTTGAATTCTGTCATTTTCTGTGATTCTAAACTGGAACCCAGTGTCATGTTGAGGAGTTCTTCTTCGAAAAGAATTGCATCTGGTCTTGTATCTATCAACAAGTTTTGTAGGAGTTTTTCATGCCCTAAAAATTGAATGTTATTTTCCACAGATTGAAGCAACCTCCCTATTTCAGGTGGATATGGCACTGTTCTAGTAGTCAAGGTTATGTTTTCCAGGTTTGCAGTTCCTTTGGTCAGGTTGATTTGACCACTGGATGAAACCGAGAAGATATCAGTTGTTTTTCGTGCACCACTATCAAGTCTTGATAATTGGTATATGGTGTCGTTTGCAGAAATGAAAACGATGCTGCATTTCTTCTCGAATATTCGACATATACCAATCATTAGCTGAGCAGATAGTCTTAGTGCATAAGGGTTTGTTGGACGCAACACCTCAGCACATAATGAAGAGATACTGACGTCCAATGCAAACTTTTTCTGTATTCTTTCTTTCCCAATAGTTGCTGCAAGCCATACCTAGAAGTGTAATTGAATGGATTGCTTTGATAATTCAGATACATTCATACTCTCCCTAAAGGACCTTTCTTTGTTAATATTTCTGTTGAATAAAACATGGAGTCACCCACAAAGAAATGAAATGAGATGAAATGGTTCCTAATTAAAGGGCTTTAGGATGATCAAATGGCGCCATTTCTTGGCGGTATTTTTTCTTTTGACAGTGCAAAATTTTCTGATTGGGGTGAGACAATGGCCGCAAGACAAAGTTGGGCCTTGAGATACATACTAAAGGATCATTTTCGTATATATCATGGCTCTTAAAAAGTGGAAAAATTTTCATGCGCCATTACAAGGAACAATAACCCCTTTAAAAGATGCCTTGGACTATCCCTTTTTAGTGGACAATAAGCTGTTTCATGGCAGAATAGAGAGTGTAGAAAGCATCTAGATGGTCCATTCTTACGCTCCCATATAACTGAAAAACTACATTTTGTGTGTCAAAGCGATGCATTTTAGCAGCGTATATTCGAGTTCCATTTGCAATACTTTTTCTTCGCAACTACTATGAATGACTGTTGTTCACTTTTTATACAATGATAAGATATTGTCATTAGTGAATGTCATTTGCTACATTTGTAGATATCTGAAAGACTGAATAATGGACATCATTAACATCCTGAATACTTTTCAAAATACAGTTCATAAACAAGTAAAATAATTTTATTTTTTAAAGAAATGTTTAAAAATAACAACTGTTCTCACAGCTATTACTTACACGGTCTTTGATGAAGTTGAAACCGTAGTCTCCAATTTTCCCCAACGGAATTAAGTTGTCATTGTTCTCCGCACAGCATTTGGGGTTGCTCTGTTTCAACTTATGTTCTTGAAAAGTTTAACTTCCACTTTGTTTAGTCGTATCTTCCTTCAGGCGACGGAAAGTAGCAATTGCACCGTTCCCGGATATTCTCGTGGCTTCAAAGTAGTTTCTTCAGTGAAAAGACGTTGCGAGTCTTGTGTGATCGTTCGTCGGGGAAAGCGGATCTATGTCTATTGTGACAAGCATCCAAAGCACAAACAAAGGCAAGGTGGAATGAATGCCTGGAAACGGTGAGAATTTCATCAACTATACACTATAGGTTTGTCACTTTTATTTGTCACTCTTGGAAGGGAATCATTTTTTCCGATTGTCCATAGGGGTTCTTCTGGAAAGACAAAGGATGGATGGTTCTTGCTGCATGATATTGTCAACTGTCTCTAGTTTAGTGAAAACTCATTTTGTAACGTTGTCTCGAGCAAATACAGCAGTTTCTCTTTGTTTGTTCTTCGTTACAAACTATATCAATGGAGCATAAGGTTTCGTTTCGAACTTTTCTGTGAAAAGCTTGCAAATTGAATATTTTGCTGACTATATGCCGATATAGCAATTTTGCTTGTTTTTAGCTCTTACAGTCATCAACTTCCTAAAACCAACTTTTTGGCTCTGTCTGTTCTCAACACGATTAATTCTGTGGAAGAATGTCGATTTCATTATTGGTAGCTTTTTTTCAATTCTTTTCAAGAAAAATCAGAGTTTCAAGGACATAATATAATATTCTACACACCACTATTTGAAAAGATATTTGTTTACCATTTCACATCACAGGACAAAATGAATCATAAGTTGGTAGTGGTAGTCCATAATATCGTCTTCCATGACGGATAACATCTTAACGAAGAGTCAAGTTACTTTCCAAAAACAATCTTGAAAACGAACCTCCATATACATAGAACTCCACAATATCAAGATGTCTTTGTAAAGGCAATACTCGCCTATCAGAAATTTCTTTGTAATACTTTTTGATATCCGTAGTTGGTTCTACGAGGCGGTCACCTTTGTGGCGGTTGGCTGTTGTTTGGAGAACCTTGTCACAAGAAATATGATGACTAACCATTCGAGTCTGCATAACAAAAGTACCTGACAATTGTCCAAGACGCTTTCGCCACCTTTACTCAAGGGTACAACGTGATCAAAATCCATGCAGAAAGGTCCTCTGCAACTTCAATAGGAGTAAGATAGTAAATGAATTTCTTCTACTTTACTTACCCTCTCAACTTTTTACAAATCACATTCCCTGCCAAGTCACGACGCCAACGACTTGGATCCCTGCCTCTCCTATGTTCGGACACAATTTTCAACAAGTAAGCCATAGAATGAAACTTTGATTCTCACACTGCGTCTGCTTTTAACCAACAGGCTTCTTTATCAATATGTTGAAACTGTTTAAGTACTTTTGCTTCTTTCTTTTCAATACCCGGTGACTTTAGCTTGGTCCCTTGCAAGGAAGACACAAGCGAGACTGGAAAAGCTTTTTCGTTAAAAACAAAAACACCGAAATCATTTAATTCTACTTCAGTACTTGAATGTAAGGCTGGAAGAACGTCACTCTGTTGTGACATTATACCTGACAAAACAGAGCACTTTCAACTCAAAAACAAAAATGATCTCATCAAAGAACTTTACTCCCACCAAAGCTTTGGTGAGGTTGGTAAACGTGCCGTTAGAATTTCAACAGAATTTTCTGTTACTAGCAAAGTATGCTCAAATTGAGCCGAGCACTTTCCATCAGCAGTTACAGCTGTCCATCCATCTGGCCACGTTATATCTCGGTAAGTTCCTTGATTAATCATAGGTTCAATAGTGAATACTTGACTTGGCTTACAGACTCCCATTGCCTTATTCTTTCGATAATGTGGAATATTTGGAGCCGTATGAAAGAGTCGATGAATACCATGGCCACAGTATGTTCTCACTACTTGATGTCCATTGCTTTGTGCAACTCGATCTATTACATTGCCAAATTCTCTATATAGGACTCCAGGTTTCACTTGAACGATATATCAGAACATATTGTAAATTGATAAAAGTAAAACGTTACTCACCACAAGCAATGGCTGCATGAAGCGAATCATATGCACTTTTTATGAGTTTCTTACTTTCTTCATCTACATTTCCAACGATATGAGTTTCATTCAAATCTCCATGAAAACCATTGTAATAAACTGTGACATCTAAATTGACAATATCGCCATCTTGAAGAGGTCTGTCATCAGGTATACCATGACATATAACTTCATTGACCGAAGTACAAACTGACTTTGGAAATCCATAGTAATTCAAAGGAGAAGGATATGCATTGTGTTCAATACAGGCCTTGTGTATGACTTTGTCGATTTTGTCGGTTGTAACTCCTACACCTATGGCACGCACTCCTTCATCCAACACCTCTCTTGCCACTCGACAAGCTTCTCGTACTCCTCGTATTTCCTCGTCACTAAGAATTTTCACTTCATTACTATCCTTTTCTTGTTCCTCAGAAACAGGAATGCCACTTTCCCAGTAGTCAGGTTTTGGAATATAATCTGGGACAGAAAGTTTCGAACTCACTACGCCAGGCCTTAGTTTTCCAGTGTAACGAAAATTTGAAAATCGACTCTGTCCCACTTTGTGATGCTTCAAGTTTCGAACGACGGTTTGAGAGCTTCGTTCACTGTTTCCTTTGACGTGTAACGCTTTGTGCTCTTTCCAAGCTGAACGGAAACACGTTTGTGAACAAAAATAGCTTTTCTCTGAGTTTATCTCGAGTTGTATACAAGTTGGACACCTTAGCGATGCTGAAGCAGAACAGTCACTATTGGAACAACAAATTCTAGAAGCCATGAATAACAAAATAATTCGGTAATTGAACGTCTTTAAGACTTTATGTATGCATACAACTCTATTTATTTTTACATATAAAATATGCAACTCGCTATTTTCCAAATGTTGAACCAAAGCACAACAACATCATCATCTTTGAAGATATTTTCATTCCACCCATTTTAAGCATCCTTCTAAAACTTCCATTGGGTCCATTTTTGGGTGGCAACACACACGAAAGAGTTTTGAATACTAGGTGGTCAGTTACTGTTTCACCTATCGTTCTGTCCGTTTCTTGTGTGCAATATGAACCTAAATAATGATGTACAGAGCATGTTGGCTACTCAACGAAACTTATCTCTAGAGAATAATAAACGAACCGGCTTTGTTATAGACCATCACAATTTCCTGCAAACTTGTGGAGAAACAAGAACTCGTTTTCTAAAGCAAATAAGTTTTCGTCACAGTGAATTTTATAACAGAAGAACTTGTAGAATTCTTTGTTGTGCCAAGACGGATACCCAATCAGTCTGTGCAGTTCCTATCAACTGGGACTTGTCTGCTTGGTTAAAGGGTTGGGACAGTGTAAGAGAAGAAGTTAGTGTCCAGATATCTCAACGAGATACAGAAACTATAAAGAATGTCCCAAGTAACTACTGTTCAGAACAGGGCTCCATTAGAGGAAAGATTCCCAAAGACCTGAGAGGAACACTATACAGGAATGGACCAGCGAAGTTTGAAGTTGGAAAAATTTTAGTGAAGCATCCTTGGGACGGTGATGGAATGATAACTGCAATATCTATATCAGATAATGGCGTATGGTTTAGGAACCGTTTTGTTCGCACAAAGGGCTACATGGCAGAACAAGCAGCAGGAAAAGTTCTATATAGAGGAACTTTTGGAACACAGAAACCTGGGGGTTGGATTGCTAATGCTTTCGATTTGTCCATGAAGAACGTAGCAAATACTGGAGTTGTTCACTGGGATAACAGACTTTTTGCTTTCTGGGAGGCTGGAGTTCCTTATCAGCTTAATCCATCCGTAAGAATATGTTAGATAATGGATGACTCTGCTAACAGTTAAACGATAGAATCTTGCAACTGCAGGTCCTACCCAGTTTCAAGGAGCAATACTCAAATCTGGAAATTTTACTGCACATCCCAAAATCGATCTTCAGACAGGTTGTCTCATTGGATTTAGTACGAAAGCTTATCCAAGAAGTGGAACAGAAATTACCTTTCATGAAATGAAACCCGGTTTCCAATGGAGAAAATCTATAAAGGCATTGATTCCTGGATTCGGATTCTATCATGATTTTGCAGTTACCGAAGACTATTATGTTCTCTTCCAGGGACCATTGGAGTTTAATCCTTTACCTTTTATTTTGGGTGTGAGACCCGTAGCAGATTGTATTCATTCATGTTTAGAGAAACCAGCAAAGATAATTCTTATTAGCAGAAATTCCGTTACTGAAGATGGATATGCTGCTCATGTTCATATTCTTTCCACAGAAACCGGTTTTGTGTTTCATTTTGCGAATGCTTATGAACAAGGCGAAGGAGCAAATAGAACTCTGATAGTGGATTTAGTTAAAGTACGCCGATATTATGCAGCAGAATTGAAAACGGACCGTAGTCAAGACCCTTGTTTGTACGAGAATTTGGAGGAAAGAGTTCCAAAATCATGTTTATATCGTTATATTGTTTCAATAGGGAAATCAGAGCCTTTTATTCTGGATCAACTTGCTTTAAGTAGTCGTCAAGTGGAATTTCCAGGAATACATCCATTCTTTATGTCCAAATGTCATTCCTTCATATATGCATCGACAAGTGGATTGTCAGACGGAGTTGCACCGTTTCAAGGAATAGCAAAAATTGATACGAACAAAGGTAGTCAAAAGGAACAGGTGTGGATACCCCAACCTTATGAGTTTGCAGGAGAGCCTTTATTTGTTCCTATTCCATCTTGGATAGGAGAAGACCAAGGCTATCTTCTAACAATAGTGTACGATGGCAGCAGACACCTTTCCTATTTAGCCATTTTGGACGCACAACATGTTTCAGGTATCTGTACTGTTTCTCAAAGTGAAGATTATGATGTTACTCATGAGCAACTTTAGATGGACCCATATGTCGAATCGACTTCCCGATTCATATTCCACATGGACTCCATGGTTGTTGGACAGATACTGTATATAACATGGAATCAATACAATGCGATTTCGTTGAATATGACTTTGAGACAACCCAATTATCAGCGACGAACAACTCTTGGGATAACCTGGTTGACTTAGGAACATAAACGGTTAAGGGGATAAATGGGTCTTGGGGAATCCTTGAAAGAGTCTTGAGAATATTTTACAGAGTTGAGTTTGCTTTTCATGAACAGTTATTAAAAAGTTGTGGAAAACTCATCGTTTCGCATATTCCTATGTGTGAGTCTCCATATACCTTTGTTGACTACTGCTTCATTTGTTGAAATATACGATTTCTGACATGTCTAAACAGAGACCTCCGTTACAACATTCTGAGGATATCTCAGCTCCATCTCCCTCTCTGATGTACTTTTATACTCCATAGAAGTCGTCCAAGTAAATATGGAAAGTAAAAAAATATCGAGACAAGGTACAAGCACCACCAACCAAGTGTCTTCAAAGATGGTACCAAGTGAAAATGCTGCAAAGTCCATAGTTCCATGAACTAGAACTGGCAACCATATCGCTGAAATATAAGACAAAGAGTCTCCAAGAATATCTACACGGGCACGACGTACACCAATAAAGAACCCCGTCAAACAATGTAACCAAAATGCAATAATAGCACGAAAGAAACCACTAAGGACCGCTGTTAGCCAATCTGAAGATAACAGGAAATTCAAACAATAAAAAAGATGCTCCATTCCAGCAAGACCTAACGCTCCACAAACTGAACAGCCTATAATGCCCTTTATTCCAGGGTTAATAACGAGCTTACGATGCCTCAAAGCCAGAATGTATTTCACGGTTTCCTCTACAAACGCAGCAACTACCATTGCATTTAAAAAATAAAATAATAACAACTGCCATAATTTCTCTCGAAGCGCCTCATCTATACTGAGAGGGTTGCGGAAGATCTGTTCCGAAGCCGACGACATATCGAATCCTAACAAAGATTGAAGACAGATGGATAGACCCACTTCAACAAAGAGAGCAAGAATAAAGGCGGGATAAGCACCTAGTCCCAACTGTTCAATAATAAAACTAAGTGACAAGGGTGGGTTTCCTTTAAAAGGAACAACAACCCATAAGTAAACTAAAAAGGTGGGAAGAACTGCAGCGCCTAACCATAACGAAACCAGCAAAGTAGGGATTGCAAGCAAGGCATATAGCGACATCATCAAAACCATAGTACCACCTAAAACGATCCAGGCTGCCATAGAGAGCTTGTTGTTTTGAGAAGCAACAAACTCTGGCTGGTGCGTAGAACCATTTTCCGTCACGGGTGTAATTTGTAACACTTCGCCTACCTGTACAGCTTCAAAAGTTGTTGTGGGTTCGGGTTCTCTTTGCGGCTCATATAGTTGCTCCGAAGAAAGATATTGTGCCATGCTAACCAAAATTATAAAACTCCACACAAGACACCTTACTAATTGGAATGTGTTGGGAAATGCGATGAGAACTGTCTTTCTACAAACTTTATAAAGAGCAAGAAACAGTGCTTTCTACAACTTTTTCTCAATATAGGTATCCTCTGCTCTTTTACACGTTTCACATTATATCTTGCTAGAGCAAAATTTTGTTCGACAAGTTTATGACAATAGGTAGTCCTCAATAACCTACGAGCATATATTCTCTTTTGTCCAATTCTGTTTCACTCTGCAGTTACCCCTGGTTGCAGCATCCATAGTTTCCGACCAACGGAAGAAACTTATCAGATACTATAGTCTTCCTCCTTAAGGGGCCAACCTAAGTCCTACTCAAAGTAAAATATGCGAATACTAAACGCATTAAAATAATAATTCACGACCGACAATGGCTTCATACAAGTTAAGATGGGAAATACCGCATATAAAAAACCTAAGAACTATTTCTTACAGGCTTCTACACAACCCTAGAATGGGCCGAGTATCCCAATCACAAGATTACCTGAGAATGTCTGTTCTTATGAGGGTCCACGAAGCAGCCTGCGATTGGCGCGAATTCTTTGCTTCCACTCAATATCACAGTCAAGAATCTTTCTTTAAATCCGGCCGAGCCGAGGAAGAGCTGTTTGAATCCTGTAATTATGATCATGACACCTACTGCGGGTGTCCATAATAGAAAGGAAGAAGTAGAGCAGCATATGAACGGCAACGGAGCAATAGTTGGCAGCAGAGACAGCTCCATGGCTCCGTCAGGTGCTGGTAGTGATGCAGGTTCCGACGGTAGTGAACCGTCGTCTCAAAATTCAAACCCCTTATCAGGTAGTAGTTCTCACGTTGACTTGAATCCTCCAGTTGTGGCCGACCCAACAGCTAATAATGGAAAGGGAGAAGTCATTGTGGTGAAAGTGGGAACCTCTACTATTATGAGAGGAGAAGAAGAGGAAGGTGACATAGCCCTAAGTACTCTAGCTCTGTTAGTGGATACTCTTGTAGCTTTGAGGAAGGCCGGTTTTCATGTCGTCTTGGTAACTTCTGGAGCTGTTGGACTTGGTTGCAAGCGTCTGGGCTTGAAGAAGAAACCAGAGTCGTTGGCAGGTCGACAAGCCATGGCCGCTATAGGCCAGTCTTCTCTGATGAGAACTTACGAAGAACTATTTGGATACGCAAACCAGCATGTCGCACAGGTTAGTGTTTAAAAATATGATTTATTTGGGATACTGAGGATAACTTGGTCAATAGCAGATTCTATTGGCAAGAGGAGATGTTGCAAAGAGCCATCAGTATTTTAACGCTCGTAATACACTCTTTGAGTTATTACGACTGGGTGTCATTCCTATCGTGAATGAAAATGACACCATAGCAACAGAAGAGTTGAGATTTGGTGATAATGATAGATTGTCAGCGATGGTTGCAGGTTTGCTTGATGCCAAGTGGCTATTTCTTCTCACAGATGTCGATCAAATGTATACAGCAGACCCGCGCTCTGATCCCTCTGCAGCACCCATTGATGTCGTCGAAGACATAGAGTCACTTATGGTCAACACTGGTGGTGATGGGAAAGGCGGCACTCAGTGGGGTACAGGTGGAATGGGGACAAAAGTTACTGCAGCACGTTTGGCAACTGCTGCAGAGGTTACTGTCTGTATTATGAACGGAGCAAAACCTGAGAATATTCTGAATTTTGTTCTACCCCATAAGGGTAAAGCTGTTGGCACTGTCTTTCTTCCTCAGAAAAAAGTAATTCGTGGAGGAAGAAAGCGTTGGATTGCACATGGGCTGAAACCAACCGGTACCATCTACGTAGACAGTGGTGCAGAGAAAGCAATTCTTAGAAAGAAGTCTCTTTTTGCTGCTGGAATTATTAGAGTAGAAGGAGAATTTGATGCCGAGGCTTGTGTACATGTTTGCAACTCTAGTGGAGAAGAAATTGCCCGAGGTCTTGTAAATTATTCGCATGAAGAAATTGAGAAGGTGAAGGGTTTACACAGTGATGTTCTTTTGGAAGTTTTGGGTTACGAAGGTCCTGAAGAAATCATTCATCGACACAATTTGGTGGATGTGCCATCAGGTTGCAATGACTAAGAATTTTTTTTGTAGTTTTATATGTGTGCAATATATAGCATTTCGTATTTTTATGTGGAAGCTATTTTTTTGTTTGTCGAAATGGCTAATAATTTTGTTGCTTTGTTGCGCGCTGCGTTTTTTTTGTGAAACAGTGTTCAGTTGAAGAAATATATATTTTATAGTACTTGATATCTTGAAGTTTTAGTTTTCTTGTGCATTGACGGCAGTATCACGCAGTCTAACTTGGAATCTCTCCATTCTATTTATTTTACATTCTGTATACATGTTATAAAACTGTTGAACTAGTGTCAATGATGTTCTGAGTCGTTTGACAAAAGTCGAAAGAAATGGCACGCTCACCATCATTTACGTTTTCAAGCGGTGGATGTCTACACAAAAGTTTTTATTTGAGAAGCCGTAGACTGAAGAGTTGCAGCAGACAGACAGGTTTTTGCAACTTTTTTCAAGTTTGTGTCTGCCTTGAACGAGGCTTGCAAACTTTCTGTTCCTCCACGAGCCCCTGGTGCAATCCGGGGATTCGGCCCAGAGTAACTGAAGGTTTCCGATACCGCCTGCGAGTTGCTTATGATGGTACAGATTTTAGTGGTTGGCAGTTTCAAGAAAAAAGGCGCAGTGTTCAAGGTGTCTTGGAACAAGTACTGTCGAAGCGGTTAAACAGGTCAATAAGGATAATAGGTGCCGGAAGAACCGACTCTGGTGTACACGCTAGAGGACAAGTCGCTCATTTTGACACTGTTTCTTTTAGTGATTGTCCGCATTTGGAATATACACTGAATAGAATGTTGAGTGGAGATATTCGAGTCTACGATTTGCAACAAAAAGAACCCATTTCTTCAGATCCGCGAAACAACTGGCACGCCATTTTTTCCGCGAGAAAGAAAGTCTATTCCTATCGCTTTTCCATAGCAAAGGAACTGGACCCGTTGGAACGACGTTTTCGTTTTCATTTTTATCGTCGCTGCAATTTGGAACGACTGTATGATGCAACTAAAGTGTTCCTGGGTACCCACGATTTTACCAGTTTTTGTTCGAGGAACACCGAAATGAAGGAAATGGAAAAGAATATGTGTCGTACCATTTATCGAATTGATCTTGTTCATGAAAGTGGTGATAGTTATCGTTTGGAATACGAGTTGAACGGTGCACTGTATCGGATGATCAGGAATATTACCTCTTCGCTATTTTTTGTTGCTTCAGATGAATTGACGTTGGATGACTTGAATGAAATTCTTCATGCAAAAGACAGAAGACGGGCACCCAAGGCAGCTCCAGCACATGGTCTTTGCCTAGAACGAGTTATTTACGATGACTATTGAATTCTAGCCAAACCTCTTTTTTGGGAACGACAGCTTAATGTTGCTATTATAGCTATTTTAAGAATTAGTAACTTTTGCTAAAATCCTACGGCGTACTTAAGACATTTCCATCGTTGAACGACAGCCTTTAGGAAAGAAAAAAATGCATCAAAATTGCGCCACATTTCTCATAACTCGGATGAGTTTTTTTGGTATGATTAGATAAATAATTTGCTTTATGATGGCAATTCTTTTCTCAATATGCATCATATTTATATCCGCCACCATTTGTTGCATCATTGTTCTTCGTCACCTCGTTGGGTTTGATAAAGAAAAAGAAGCCTTGTCTTCTTCTTCCTGGTTTCATCCCAATAATACCAAAATTGGTTATTTTATTGCAGCAAATCTGATGAACAGTGAAGATATCTTTCCTCATTTCTCTTACGAGATAGTAAACTTAGCAAAAATGTTGGAAAAGGCAGGTAATACATTCATCTCCATCTATGAAAACGGAAGCAGAGACAAGACCAAAAAATGGTTACGGCTACTTTCCAAAACGCTGTTAGAGAAGAATATTGCCTATAGAATAGTCTGTGATTCAGCAGTGTTTTCAAACCACATCGATGCAATCAACAGGTTAGCTCTCGTTCGTGATCGGGCATTGACCCCATTGTTCTTGTTACATTCGTACAACCAACTCCATAACCACACCAAAGTTATCTTTCTCAACGACATCTATTTGGATTCTCTAGCGATATATCGTCTTGTGAAGACAAGAGCAGAAAACTATGATTGGGTATGCGGTCTAGATTTCTATAGAGGTTTCTATGACAGGTGATTTGAACATTTTCTATCAATTCTATTGGAACTAATATGGCTTAGATTCGTTTCACGTGATATTCATGGTAGAATATTGAGTAGATGGTACCCTTACATAAGAGAAGAAAAAACCAAACGCCTACTCATCCAACAACTTCCCGTACCCGTACGTTCATGTTGGAATGGAGCTGCTGTATTTTGCGCTCAACCACTGATTCAATACAATTTAACCTTCCTTGGGTCTTTGAAGAATCAAAAAGATAGTCGTTGTGCCAATCCCCGATCAGAATGTCATATGCTTGCCTTGTCATTCCGAAAGTATAACTATACAAGCATGTGGATCAATCCAAATATACTCATTAGCTACGATTCCACACATTTAAAACTGCAACAATTGATTCAACAACATTTCCGACCTTTCTTTGGCCTTTTCAACGATATTTTGATGAAATGGTTCCAAAAGCCTTGGTTGGAGGACGAGGATGCTTGTCCTCGTTTGCCCATGCTGTGTTGTTAAAAGGAGATTAAAAGGGCGGGTTCTACCAAAATTTCAAAATTCCCGTTGAGTTACATTGAGTTGCTTCCGTTATGGAGGAATCCACCGTTCAAGCGCCTTCTAAGAGACGTTGCTCAGTTTATGAAGTAGATGGTTTTCGGTTTCGTAGAAAGAAAAAGAGAACAACGGAGTCATCCTTCGTTGAACCCATACAAAAAGAAGTATCTAATTCCGACTCTTGTGGCCATGTCAACGACGACTTGAACAATGAAGAAAAGGAAAACAAGCTAAATGTAGCAACTGTCCCTATTAAGTCACGTGAAACAGTTTCTCTTGCGAAACAGGAAGAAAAGACCAAAAAATTGTACTGTGAAAGCATATCAAAGGATCAAAGCGAAGAACAAAGGCTTAAAGCATTATGTGAAGCCGTTTGGACAGAAATCTACAAAGAAGCGATAGAGTATGTATTTATAGTATTACTCATGATTGCAAAGCTCATATTAGTATTAGAGAAAAGTTGCCAGAGAAGGGTACTTCACTTCGAGTGTTGGAAGACGTAAGAGTTGCATTTCTTGACCAGTTAACATGGTATTTGGATAATCCAGAACAAAGAAGCAAAACAGTTTCAGAAATCTCTCGACCCAATCCAATCAATTTAGAACTCGAAGTCAAAATCAAATCTTTGGAACATGACCTGAACTGCTATTGCAACGAACTTCTTGGTTGGAGTAATGCTAAATCTATTTTAGAGGAACCAGCTAAAGACAACAAGTCAAATGAAACTGCCTTTTCAATTGAAGAAAGAGCCAAGAAGATAGCAGTCAGTTTGTCCTCTCCATATCAGCCACAATTAACAAGACTGATCAAGGAAGCTACAGTTTGTTTGGACATCAATTTTACAGAGTTGTTGGAAATTTGTCGTATAGTTCTAACATTTAAGAACCAAACTGCAGAAAGGATAAAGGTAAGCTATAAACAGGAACTGTTCTCAAACCATTATCAACACGAAAATTCATAGAATCTGAACCAATGGATATATCATTGCTCCTTTGCAGGACTCCCAGATATGGGCAATCCTAAGAAGCTTCTCAAAACGATGTCTTTGCAATGACAAGATTATTATCGACTCAACTATAAAACGAATCCAAAAAAAGCCTATTTCGTTTATTTTTGTTCCACGAATAGCAAGTCATCCTTAAAATTCAAAAACTTTACCACCACTCAACAGCTGTGCCAAACAATCGTTCCTAGTATTTCTCCACTAAAAACCATTTCAAGAGTCAATAACTACAACTTATTCCATCGAGAGATTGGCGGTTTTCTGGGCAATCTTGTCAACGACTTTGTTCTCTCGTCTTCCTTTTTCTTTGTCAACTTTGTTAGGAGGCTCCCTTTTCATCAACTGCTTAACCGAAGCAGGTAATTCTTCTTTCAGTTCAAATCCTTTCTCATTTGCCTGCTCTTCTATTTCTCTCTTCTTCTTTTGTGCTGCCTTTTTCTTCCTCCTATTTCTATTCTGACTCTTGGACAAAGTTTCTTCTTCCTCATCTGATGGAATACCAACTACCGTCTTCCTTATAGGAGCAACGAACTTATCCTGAGACTGCTTTGTTTCTCTTAGCCAAGTTTTTGCATCCAATGGTCGTGGTGCTTCCTCTTCATGTAATGTCACCGAAGGTTTCTTTCCTCGAAGAGCTGGAGGTCTGTAAATATTATTTTGTGCATTATTACTCTGTGTGTTTACAGTTTCAAAAGGCTGAGAAGTTGCAGTTCTTGTCGATGGTGACGCAGGACGATCAGGATACCCAGTTGGATCTCTATAGAGAAATTCTATTTGGTAAAGTTCATCTTGTATCGGAAAGCTACCCACTAAAGTTCCTTGATAACGAAATATTTTGAACCCTATTCACAGTATTCTTTAGTTATGACATATATCGCTTATGTTCATTCTTACCATTATCGACTCTCAACCTCGGAAAAGTAGTGGCTGCCAAAAAATACTGCGAATCTGGAGACCACATAAACGATGTTGTACAAGGTGCTGATGCTCTACCTAACAACTTTCTTTCCCTTATATCCCAAAACTCCAAGTCACCTGGAAGATTTCCAAAACCTCCCAAACATAGAAATCGTCCGTGAGGTGAAAAAGAAATGGTATTTCTTGTACCCGTTCCAAAGTCAAACAAAGGCTCGCATAACCAGTTAAATAGTGTTGCTCGAGCTGGCATACTTCCATAAACTATAATAAATTGTTCTCCATCGGGACTCCACGAGACATCTTGAATAGGTCCTTTTCTAGGTAAATCCACTTGCTTAAGCTCCTTTCCCTTTTTGGGACATCCGTAGTATAGAAAGGATTCTCCGTAATAGCTCTTTCCACTGCTATCCGAATCTGAAGTTATCCAACACATGAGCGCAGTTCCATTTTTGTTCCAAAGAAACTGACAAGAGTCTGCTCGGAACATACTTTTAGCTAGGACGGGAGACGACTCACTCAACTTGTAGACTTCTATTCTCGCAGGCCTGTTACCTTTTGGAGGAACAAACGAAGCAACATAACAGGGATTAGATACAGGGCTAACAGCAAAATTCTTCAGGTCGTTTATGGCAATCTTCTTTATCGGAGACTGATTGAGTTCATGACCACCGTAAACCAGAACCTGGTTAGGAGTTGTCCGTATAGCAAGTGACTCATCACTAGTCCACTGAACACAAGGCCAGTTATCTAGACGGAAGTTCTTTGCGTCAAAAGAAGCAACTCTTTTTCCGTCAAAAGTCTTCCATATCGTAACACAACCTGGAGAATCTGGAGAGTCTGTGATCTGTTCTTTCTCTTGAAATCTCGACCAGGTTTGTATAAATGTTCCTTGTGGCGAGAAAGTCACATATGCTACATAATTTCCAACCTTCGTGATTTCCATTCCAGAATCTGTGTCACACACTACTGCGCAAACTTGATTTGATCCGTCGACACCATATACGGCTACAAGTCTCTTCCCATCGTGGCTAGTAGAAAAGTTTGACTTTGGTGGTTTCAACTCCGTCATCATATTCTGTACAATATTGGAGGACACGGCCGAAACCTTGTTCACTCCGTTGTTATTATTTGGGCCACTGGAAGGTTCAATAGGCTCATCACTTTTATGAATTTCAACTTGCTTCGAAGTGCACAGTTTTCCAATACCGCAGTAAGTTTTCCTTCTTATGAATATATGGTGTTCCATTCTTCTCACAAGTTGAACCTTTGAGTCGACCTCATTCTCTTACCCAATATCGGTCATTCATTCAACTTTACCCAACACTCGAAAGAGATGACTACCAAGTCTGTTGCTTTATTTCGTCCATTATATCGTTTGCAAGTAACAACTGCACGCTATATTTGTTCAAAGGCACTGGAAGATACTCCCAGCTGTTTTACAGCGAGGAAGACAGCAGAATCTGCACAGTCATTATCACAAGGGAACTATCCTGTTTTACAGCACTATGTCTATCCAGTCGTGGAGAATACTCGTATGAAGGCTTTAGTGAAAGCAGAAGCTGCACCAGGCTTAGTATTGCGTGATGATGTGGGCATTCCGTCCATTGGGAGTACCGAAGTGTTGATCAAGATCAAGAAGACGAGCATCTGTGGAACAGACTTGCACATATTTGTATGGGATGAGTGGAGTAAACGTACAGTTCCAGTTCCTCTTACTATTGGTTGGTATTATAGATTGAAACATTTGTGCTACTTTTTATGAAAGTACTATTAGGACATGAGTATGTTGGCCATATTGCTGCCGTAGGAAGTGAAGTGACAGGTTGGAAGGAGGGAGATCGAGTAACAGGAGAAGTAAGTGTTTCGCGGTGGACATAATGCTTATCATCACTCTATGTTTTAGGGACACATTACGTGTGGATATTGTCGAAATTGTCGTGCAGGCAAAAGGTAAAATAGAATGAATAATTTACAAAAGCTTGTTTGCTTGTGTGTCTATCAGTTGTTTACCAAAACTTGATATTTAGGCATCTTTGTCGAAATACTATTGGAGTGGGTGTCAATCGGCCTGGAGCGTTTGCAGAATATTTATCACTTCCTGCTGGAAATGTATTTCGTGTTCATCCAAGTATAACGGATGATATTGCTTCTTTTATGGATCCTCTTGGGAATGCAGTTCATTCCTGTCTTTCTTTTGATTTGGTCGGAGAAGATGGTATATTTTGTTTGCTATTATTGGATGATGTTGGTTTTCATGAATGTTTTGTTAGTATTGATTACGGGTGCAGGTCCCATTGGAATGATGTCTGCAGCTATATGCAAACATGTGGGTGCACGTTTTGTGGTAGTTACTGATATCAACGATTATCGTTTGGAATTGGCAAAGAGTTGTGGAGCAGATGTAGCTCTTAATATTTCGAAATGTGAAGATCCCGTTGAAGAACTTAAAAAAACGATGAAGCAGTTGGGAATGACGGAAGGTTTCGATATTGGTTTGGAAATGTCTGGAAATGCTCAAGCCTTTGCATCGATGCTAGAAACGATGAATCATGGTGGTAGAATTTCCCTTTTAGGTAAGAAACGGCTTATAAAAGAAAAATGGATTATCAAAAGTGAATGATGATTATGTTGAATAGGAATACCTCCATCGCCCTTTGCTATTGACTGGAACAAAGTCGTATTCAAGGGAATCGTAGTAAAGGGCATTTATGGGAGGAAAATGTTTGAAACTTGGTATAAAATGTCGAATATGTTGGTGGGGGGTTTGGATAAGAGAATACAGCAAGTAATGACCCATCAACTTCCATATGATGAGTTTGAAAAAGCGTTTGACTTTATTCGCGATGGAAAAAGTGGCAAAATTGTGTTGAATTGGGATGAATAAATTGATTTGTGTTTCCAGCGTCGTCGTCCTTTCGATTGGTGTATTTGGATAACAGCGAATGGTATGGTCTCTTTTCTTAAAGAATAGTTTCCAGTTCTGAGATGAGACTATTAGGCAAAGCAAATCAAGGATATCAAACAATTTCTACTTTTGGTACGACGAAAGGACGCCAGATCGATTACTATAAAGAAGAATAAGACCAACACGAAATTCAAAGTACGCTGCAGCAGATATTTATATACTTTGGTGGTGAAGGAAAAAGACAAGGCTAAGAAATTGGAACAAAGTCTTCCACCAGGTATGAAAAATAGAGTTTTTTTCATTGCGGTCGAATGAAAAGAATCTAACCACCATTGGAATATTTGTATTTAGGTCTTACTTTGAAGAAAATTGAGTAGAAATAAAAAATAGTTCGTTGCCCTTATACAGGCCAGTAAAACACACTCTTATCTCTTCGTAAGACTTCAAAGTAAGCGCATCTTCAGTACGTACAATCTGCCATTCCCTAAAGCGCGCCCCGTCACTCTTTCGGTTTCTGGTCGGCTTTTGTGTAGTTCTCCCTTTATGTCTCGTAAATATCAAAGTTGAGAATGGAAAAACCTCACCTGATTACTTACCTCTATACTAGAGCAATTCGTTTTTCTGGTTCTCGCAAGTCACCGAGTTGGTTGGGTGAAAAGTGTCGCAACTCCTTCTCTACAGCACCTTGGGTGCAAGATACCGCCAATGATGAATATTTGACTTTTCCTAGAGAGACCGAAAGAAATCAATATGCTGTAAACTGGGCTTTAGCAAAGATGGGTATACCTCCAAAAGGTCAAGTTTTTTACAACACATCGGCTAGAACCATTGTCGCCAACTCTCCTGGAAAGCTATCAAGTCGAGAAAAACACTTCCTTGTTCCAAATGAAACTACTGATTGTCAGCAGTTTATTTTGGGGAAAAACTTGAAACCTAGAGAATATGCAAAGGCACTGAAAGCTGTTACGAATAGCCTTTCACAAGCGAATAGTTTGTTTGTATTAGATGGCGCCATTGGATCGCACCCTCAAACAGAAGTCCGAATAAGAACAGTAACAGACAGGTAAGTACTTGTTTATTGTACTCAAGTGGTCTTAAGAAGAACAACTCTCTAGTCCTTCTGTTGCACTCTTTCTTCATCATATGTTGGAGCCTATTCCCATGAGGCCTATATCGCAGTTGAATGTTCAACTTTACAGTTATATTCATACGAATCATTTGGCAACATCAGGAATATTTTCCTCTCCGTGTTCTCTTTTAGCTACTGATCGAGGTCAGTGGATTATGGATGGTTCAAGCAGTTTATATCCTTTGCTTTCATCTTTGGCACAAATGGCTTCCCAACCTCTTTACCAGACAAGTGGAGCGTTTATTTTGAAAAGTGTTTTGAAGAATAGACGATTGATTTTGGGTCGTTTTGAAAACCCTACTAGTGGAAGTGTGGAGCCTGGATGGAGCGACTATGGTTATTATCATCACATTCTAAGTAATCAAGGATGTTGTAGAACTTGGAAGGGATATATTTTGTCCAATGAAGAAGCAAAGAAACATTCTGTAGAATATGCGATATCATTATCTGGCAAATATGTAGCTCAGTGTCTTTCACCGAGACCTCCCAACCTCATTTCCTTACCTCGATATTGCGTCATAGTCAATACGCACCAGAACAAAGGACCTTTGGAAGTTTTCTCCTTGACAGATGATTCAGCTGCTTTGACTTTTTTGGTAGCAAGTGAGTCATTGGTTACTCAAGGGGCAATACAACAACATGCACAATCCTTTTTATCACTTTTGCGACAACATCAAATACCTCTTTATCTTGTTTCTGGAGAAGGTGCATGGCAACAAGCAGCTATGATAGATTTTACAAACAAGACAGGTAAAGAGCAGCAAGTAAATACCAAAATGTTGGATGCTGCTAGGAAGTATGCACAACAAGTTTATGGCAATGAAGTTTTCGACATCTCCAACCAAGAACAGAACAAATCTCAATCCAATAAATAGATGATGGCTATTGTTGTTGTGAAATCGAACAAGTTGGATGATTTGCACATGTTGTGGTTTTCATGCTTCCACAGTTTCATATATATCAATAGTTGACAGTGGATCTTTAATAATACGATACTCCAAGTCATCCAAATGGTTTCTTTCTTATTTACGCAAGCAAGTTATTTTATTGGGACGCCTTCCAGCTGCTCACCAGAGTGTCATCGTCCAACGACCTTTTCGTTGTATGATACAACGGAAGCCAATAGCAACACAGCAATCTATAGTAGATTCTAGTCAACCTCAAGTGAGTGACTCTGTACATTTACTGCAAGTGAAGAAAAGTGGAGGTGAATGTCCTCTACCTCGTTCATCTACCAAGTGTTATTATGGTGGTGGTACGCCATCTTTTGAGTTGCTCGTTCCTCAACAAAAGCAAAACAAAGTGCGCGATGTCTTATTGCTTCGTGAGAAGAGAAAAAAGAAACGGAAACCTCGAGGTTATTGGAAAGACTATTCAAGTGTTCGCAAAGAGATAATACAATATGTGGAACAGAGAGACGGCGTCTCAGGACTTGATGAAAATAGCATTGCGCTCCATCGTATGCCAAGTGCCAATGAATTGAGAAAATCTGGACGTTATGCGTTGGCTTTGGCAATCAGCAGTCATCACGGTGGCTTTCATGCCGTAGCAAGAGAGATTGGATTGCAACCTAATCATCATTCTTCCGGTTATTGGGATCATTTTGAACACGTTGCCAAAGAAATTGCCGAATGGAGAACATTGTATATGCCTACCTATCATCAATTGTTGAAAGCACGTCGATTGGATTTAGCTAAAGCTATTCATAAATATGGAGGATTTCCAGCAGTGGCAGAGAAGCTTGGAAGAATACCCAATAAGAGAAGAAAATATTGGCACAATATGGATAATCTAAGAAATGAACTGCTTCAGTTTATGCAACAAAATGGATTAGAACAGTTACCGACGATGACTTTGTTGAGTACTTGTAAGAGATGGGATTTGATGGGTGCCATTCGCTTACATGGAGGACTTTATGAAGTATCACGTAAGACTCAAATTCCGTTATCTAAAAGTACTCGACAACCACGTGGATATTGGTCCAATATAGAAAATTTGAAAGAGGAATTGACTGCCTTTATCTCTTTCCAGGACCATTCCATGAATAATATTCCCTATTCGAGTAGGTATCTTGTATGGATGATAAGAGATTCATATTCATCTATTTGTGTTATAGTTCCTACCTTGTCCAATTTGAAAAGGAATCAACGTCAAGACCTTGTAGAGGCGATTAGGAAACATGGCGGTGTGCAGACAGTGGCAGCTAAACTATACATGTTGAGACAAAGTAAACGAAAGGCCAAAGGATATTGGAATGATTTTGCTATCCTTCGAGCAGAAATATCGGTATTTGTAAGTCTTCATGATGATACATTTTGTTTCGGCAACTAAAAGTATGGCTCTAGTTACGTCGTTATGGGACTCCAGGTGTGATGCCACTTGGTCATGAGTTGAGACGCCATCAACGACGTGATCTTTGTTATGCAATCCAGTTACATGGTGGATTTTCAGTAGTAGCTGGTAAACTTCATTTGAATTGGATAGGACCAATCAGTTTTTGGCGTAATTGGAGCAACCTAAGGAAGCGACTCTATGCAGATATGGAAAAGTGGGGATATCATAGAATGCCTACTTTGAATGATTTGGTTATACGTGGTAGAGTCGATTTAGCATTTGGTATTCGACTCCATCATGGTTTTCCTGCAGTTGCTAAAGCTTTTGGGTTGGAATGGACTATTCCTAGTCGACCTCGTATGTATTGGAATGATCCAGAAAATGTGATAACAGAGTTGAAAGAATTGATAGCCTTGTTATCGAATGAAGAGAAGAGGTATGTCTATAATTATGGAATATGATACTTAGTAGAAAAAATGATAACATTTAGATATATGCCAAGTAATGAGACTTTGTACCAACTGGGTAGAGGAGATTTGGCAGATGCAATAAGAGATACCAAAGGTTGGGTTTATTATGCCAAACGTCTTGGATTGGTACCTCATTATCGTTGCATTTCATCCCATAAGTAAGTAGAGAGAAAGTTTTTGGAACCCACCATTTCAAATGAATAGGTTATGGAAAGATGTTGGTTTTGTACGTCGACAGTTGCAACGATACTTATCCAATCGAGGTTTACCTCTTCGAGCAGTTGCTTCTGTAGAAGAATTGTATCGAGATGGAAGGGGTGATATTGCCTTTGCTATCATGAAATATCATCAAGGAGCTACTCAATTAGCACATCGACTAAAATGGAAAGCACCCCATATGCGACCTTTACCACCTGCTTATTATCGATATTGGTCCAACGTAATTAAACAACTAGTCTTATGGGTAGACAAATATGGAACTCCTGGATTGATGCCTAGCAAAAAGGAACTGTTTCAAACAGGTTATAGAGACTTGGTATTTGTGATTTATCGTCACGGAGGATTTCAGAAAGTAGCTTGTCGTATGGGTTGGACTATTCATGAAGATAATCCTCATTGGTTAACTCAATGGTTAGCTTCTCAAGCAGGATATTCCATGTTACAAAAACCTAAAAGAATGAAACCCTTTTCTAAATGGATGTCTTTTCCAGATGGATAAAACAATTTCATCTTTTCATTGTACAATGTGATGATAACCACTATGTTGAGCAAAACTTTCATAAAATGTCAATAAATGACTGTTGGTTCTCGGTTTCACTTGTTGTAAAGCTATTTCAAAATGATAATACTCCACTTGAGGATGTTGAGAAATTTCTGAATGACTATCAACTAACTGTTTCAAAGCATTTAAGGTGGCTTCTCGACAAAGCGATGCCAACTCTGCTCCCGTCATGCCTTGAGTCAACTCTACTAAACTTTTCCAATCCATGGAGGAGTCGTTCAATGGAATAGAACGACAATGAATCTTTAATATTTGTTCCCTCGCCTCCGAATCAGGTAGCCCAACATAAACAAGTCTATCAAATCTACCCGGTCGTATCAATGCCGGGTCCAATAAATCAGGTCGATTCGTGGCACCCAATACAAATATCCAAGACTCTTCCATCTCCTCATCAACACGACTCATCAATCCACTGGAAGCAATGCCATCCATTTCGGTTAATAATTGTGCCAATACTCGTTGTTCTGCATGTGAACTATTTTGCTCTTCTTGTCGACGTGAAGCTAAAGCATCGATTTCATCAAAAAATATAATACACGGTGCAACAGACTTGGCTTTTCGAAATAAATTGCGTACTGCTTTTTCTGACTCTCCAACCCACTTTTGAAATAATTCTGGGCCTTTGACAGATAAAAAATGGCAATTGGTTTCATTCGCCAACGCTTTTGCCATCAAAGTCTTACTACAACCAGGAGGGCCATATAATAAGATGCCTTTTATAGGAGAAATACCAAAACGTCGAAAATAATGAGCATACTTCTTAGGCCATTCAACTGCTTCCCTTAACTGCTGTTTCACTTGATGATAACCTCCAATGTCGTCCCAACAAACTTGAGCAACTTCAACCACTATCTCTCTCATCGCACTGGGAAATATTTCTTTACGAGCTTCTTGTAAATCTTCCTTCAGCACAGATATAGCGCGACATTCTAAAGCCTTGCCTTGTTTCCATCGTTTATATGCTAAGTAACAACTCTCTCTCCATAATGCTAGTATATCTGCTCCTACATAGCCATGCAAATCGTTGGCAACTTCCAACAAATCATCGTCTGTCAACTCAACTTGCCATGTCATCCCTTTCTCATCTCTTAAAGATGTGCTGCTTTTTATAATTTCACGCAAAATGGAACAACGTTGGCAACTGTTCGGAACAGAAACTTCCAACTCCATATCTAAACGTCCAGGTCTTCTCAATGCAGCATCTAAAGCATCCAGACGATGAGTAGTTCCAATCAATACCATTCTCTTTGGCATCTGATCAATACACCTCAACAAAGAACCAGTTAGTCTGAGCTCTGCCTCCGTTGCAAACTGACTATCTCGAGAAACACCTAAAGCATCTATTTCATCAATAATGAGAATCGATGGAACTCGATCTCCAACTTGTTGAAATATTTCCATCAAGGTGGATTCCGTTTCTCCAAATGTACTTGAAACTATCCAAGGCGCTCTCACTGTTCGTACGCAACGGACTTGCATGCTTGACGCTACTACTTGTGCCAATGTCGACTTGCCAGTTCCCGGTGGACCGTATAATAATATACCTCGACTAGGACGAATGCCCAAACGACTCAACTGTTCTCTGTATTCTTCACTTTCACAACAACTGGATAAAAATGATTTCATTTTGTTCATCTGTTCATCTAAACCTCCCAAAGCTATCAACTTTGTACGCTTGTTATCTGCTTGGACAAGTGGTAACCATTCTATTTGGGTATTCTTCACCACTTTCCAAACGGCATTTCTATCATTGTCTTCATTCCATTTTCGATCCTCAAAAGGCAGGATGCGATGACAAACCAAATAAAGATCCCGACCTTCCATACTCACACAAATCCAACAACCAGGTACGATATACCGCTTGGAAACAATATTTCTTATATATGACTCAAAATGTACATCATCGTACCATTTTTCTAAACGGTCCGAATCCACGGGTTCCAACTGGCCATCTACACTAGGTGGACCAAACCCTGCAATACAACAAAACACCGTAGCAGCAATTCGACCATGTTCCTCTTCACTGTAAACATGAGACATACATACACCAATAGAAATATTCTCTTCTTTATTCGGCTGCACTTTGGGTGATTTGTGCTTTTTCTTCCCAGATACAGGCGTAGAAGGTAACAAAGTTTTTCGACCCATTTCTTTCTTCACCCTCAGAGCTACTTCTAATGTGGTGTCTTTGATCACTTGTTTCTGATATGCAGTCATAAATAATAAGAAACAACTAAAAGAATCTAAAGCAATAACATTATCAGGCAAAAACGACAACGGCCAAGCTATCGACAATAAGAATTGCGGTGACGGGTATGTGGCACAAGAAATGTTCCTATCACTCGGCTCATCAAATAAGTGCACGCGCTCCAAAGCTACATTTAAGCTCTCCTCTTGCTCCACACTCGAAATAGTTGAGTCAATCGACGGAAGCTTTGTTAATCGTAACGGCTGTCCTAGACGAATATTAAAGTCCTTCATATATTTCGCCGATAACACAGCAACTCCTAAACGCTGTATACTTTCAGGGGGTGCGCCTTTTATAGCGATTTTGTCAAGCAATAAACTCAAGTCTATCACTTCCAAGACTTTGTCCATTGCGATGAACTACCAACAATGCCAAAACAAAAAACCAACCATATAGACAAGGCTGGCTTTGAATTTCTGCATTATGTATGAAAAGTCGAATTGTTTAAATACAAAAGAAATGCTGTTATGGTAAAAAACATTTAAAAGGTGTTTAAAACATATTAAATAAAAAATTGCAGAATTGCTAAGTTCAAGGAATGGCAAAAAAAAACATACTCTTCCAAAAACATTGAAGATAATAAATATATGTAAGAAGAGACCTAAAGAAATATTATGCTATTGTAAAAAATTTAAAAAAATATTTAAAACTTAAACAACCGCATTTTAAACAAATAAAGTTTGTTGCTATTTATAAAAATTTTGAGTCATTTTTGGAAAATTTGTATTAAGTGGTTTAATATCTACAAAAGAAATTTAATATCAAAGAAATAATTTTTTTAATTTTGTTATTTTATTTTGAACGTTGTTTTGCTAAAATTACGAGATGTTCTGGAATTTGTGATTTTTACTTATTATTTTTGCACATTTTTTTTGTTTAGGTTAGTAGGGTTAATATTTAAAAGCGTTTGCATAATGAGGAACCTGAAATATTTACCGAAAGATTAGAAACAAAGCAATGTAGGTGTTTCTTTTGCATTCAGTCATTAGAATGTTAAATGTTGGTGTTCGTTTACGATTGGGAGTTGGTAAGTGAAAATGTACTATAATGTCAAAAAAGGTTCTCGAATGCAGCCATTTGCTTTTTGAAAGCTACTTGGGAGAGAAAGGTACTGCTGTTGCAAGTTCTCCAGACGGTTCTTTGTTTGTTGTCGGCACTGCTGGTGGATGGTACTTTTTTGTTCAAGTTATTTTATATTTTTTTTTTGACTTGGCTGCTAGTTTATTTTTTTTTGGAAGGTTCGGGAGTGGTTGGAGGTCTTGTTTGCTTCCAAATGTTTGTGATGGAGAAATTTTGCGTGTAAAAGTGCTTTCAGAAAACGTTGTGTGTTTCATTGTCAACAACGATGAGTGTATTAATTTTGTTTCCTGGAAGGGCGATCTGTTTAGTGAAGATTCTGCTGCAACTATAGCGTCTCGTGTTACTGTCAAGAAGGAATTTGCTGCCAGGGATGTCTTGTTTTCAGAACGCTCGTTTGGTAATATTCATACTTTTGATGTTGCCCAGTATGGTCGTTTGTGTTGGTTAGGTTGTAGTGGCGTCCTTATTTTGGCTAAATTTTGTGGTGTAACTGAATCTAGTTGGGATTCCCTTTCTCTTTCTTGTTACAACTCATTCAACTGTTTTTCTGGAATGGTTTTTTCGTTAAATTCTCGCCTAGATGGGCAGAGAGTGATCTATTCCACTTCCGATAACACGAGCTTACATGTTTTGGATGTTGAGGCGTCCAAACTGCATTGTCACACATCCTATCATGGGCATGAAGATTGGATTACTTCTGTGAAAATTGGTGAAGCAAATGAAAATCTTTTTATATCTGGTGACTCCAGTGGACAAGTTTGCTTTTGGGATAGTCGCTGTGGGGAACCTTTAGTTGCTAGCTGGCCATTTTTTCGTTCCATAACTTTTGTTGATCTTTTGAGCAATCCTTTGCGAATGATGTTGGCGTTTGGACCTCACGAAGATTACATTATTGAAAATGAAGAACCGCATTATCGTGGTGTTTTGTTTTCTTACATTGACTTGCGTAAATGTCTATTTGATAGAGGTTGTTGTGAGCAACGACAAGTCAAGGATGATGAAACTTTCATGGGGCAAATCGTTTCATCTTGTATGGAAGGTGATCAAGTTGTTGCCATGGATATGGATGGACGAAAGAGTCGTATTATGTATACAACCAACGATGGTTATATTCGAGTTGCAAGTAGTAGATTATTGGAAGAACAGTTTACCCAGTTGTTACCTTGTTTGAGACAAAGAGAATTAGGTGTCTGATAGTCAAACTCCCAATAAATACTCTTCATTCCCTTTGAAATGGGGAAACGACATTTCTAGTCCCAAAGAAAAAGTGGCCAGTTGAAAGATTGTTATCTTAGGGGTTGAGGGACATAGAGTTACGAAGAAATGGAGTTGGAAGAAGGAGAGGTTCCAAAGGTGGATAATACGCTTTCTCAAGTATCGAAAGAAACGAGATTGTCGGATTCACCCTTTAGTGACCCCTCTCGTTCACTGAGTCGTAGCTCTTTGAAAGCGAATGGCGCGGTTGCAAAGTCGCAATTCGTTCGTAACCTTCCTGACGGAATATCTAGGTTAACCAATAGCGGTATAAACTTTGCAGTTTTCAACGGTAGAAGACCTGTGGAAAGAAAAACAGTAGTACCGAAAATGGAAAGCAGGAAGAATCAGGTTGTTCAAGGTAAGTTGTTTTGCTGAAAGTTTGGTTGGGTTTATCTACTCATTTTTAAAGAAACTGTAATTCCTCTCTTATCGAGTTACAAGAGCGAGTTGAGTGAGTTAGAAACCGAAAGAGAACGAAGGAGGAAGCAGTGGCAGTCAATCTTAGAGAAACGAAAGTCTTGTGATGAAGGTGACGTTGAATCAACTGGTTTGCCCAGTATTCAGTGTGTGAATAAGTCACGAAAGACAAGTGACCATTCGGGACAAGTTGACAATACTGTTGTGGAAGAGGAGTCAGAAGGAGAATCGAACGAAAGTAAAGTTTTGGGAGATACCAGAGACTATGAAAGTTTCAAGGAAGACAAAGAAATACGAGAGCGCCTTTTGAGAATTCGAGAAGACTCTGCAAAAGAAAGCGTTGAGGAGGGACATAAAGTTCTGCACTCTTCACTAAAGAAAGAAGAGGGGGCTACGAAGTTCTCAGTAGATATATTTTCGGACTCACCTGTTGAAGACTCGAGTAAAGAGTTTTTGGAGCCTCGACGTGTGGTAACTGAAAGAGTAGCTGATGATGCAGCTGATTTGGAAGGTTACTGTAAGTTGTTACCTGGTGATAGATTGGATAATGACCGGTAAGTTGAGAAATTTTCCTTTTCTAGCTCGAGTTGAGTTTGTGTAGCTACACTGTTTTAAACATCGCTGGAAAAGGAGTATTTTCAAGTGTTGTTCGCGCTTTGGAACAGACCAATGATACTACTAGGGAAGTTGCTATTAAAATTATTCGGAATAACGACGTCATGCTAAAAGCGGCTCAAAAAGAAATCTCAATTTTACGTAAACTGGAAGAGAATGACCGACAAGGGAAGCGACATTGTATTCAATTCCTTAGGTATATTTTTATTTTATTTTCGAATCATATTCATATCATAGTTATGTAGGCACTTCAACTTTGGCAGTCATATTTGTCTGGTATTTGAATCTATGCAAATGAATTTGAGGGAAGTACTAAAGAAGTACGGCGGAGATCGAGGTATCTCTATCAAGGCAGTGCAATTGTACACTCGACAGTTATTGAATGCTCTTTATGTTTTGTACAAAAGTAAAATGATTCACGCTGATTTGAAGCCTGACAATATTTTAGTGAATGAAGAAAAGAATATGGTGAGCTGGATTGATTGGAGTTGTTTTTACTAATTATTTGATATTAGGTCAAGATATGTGACTTTGGAAGTGCATGTTTCACGGACGAATGCGATATAACTCCATATCTAGTTAGTCGCTTTTATAGAGCTCCTGAAATAATATTAGGACTTTTATATGGTATGTATATTGGCCAATGGATTGAGATTATATTATTAAGAAATCGAAACAATAGGACCTCCAGTAGATATGTGGTCATTGGGTTGTTGTTTATTTGAATTGTATACTGGCAAGGTTGCATTTCCAGGCCGTAATAATAACGAAATGCTTCGTCTTTTTCAGGAGCTGAAAGGAAGTTTCTCGATGAAAATGATTCGCAAGTCACCGTTTCGTCACAAATATTTTGATTCTGCTGGCAACTTTCTTCAGGTAGAATTTATTGAATTGTTGTAGATTTGCATATTGAGAAATGGATTGTAGGGAGAATGGGATCCAGTTTCTCGTTCTGAAGTTTTCAAAGCCACCAACATACGCCCTAAAGTAGATTTAAAGTCTCGTTTATTACGTGTTGCAGAGACAGAAGAAAGAAAACTGGTTCCTCTTTTAGCTGATTTTTTGGACAAAATTTTTACGCTCGATCCCTTTAAAAGGTTATCAGTAATAGAAGCTTCTAAACATCCATTTGTTGCTACATAAGACAACTGTTGTGAAACTTTATGAAGAAATATATTTATTGAAAGTCTTTGAAGAAAAAGGATTCTTAGATGAGATAGCTACGAAAGAGTGATGAAGAAATGTTATCCATTCATTGATGGATGAATTGAAGATGAGAGAGACTTCCTGTTTTGTGATGCAAGTTGCCGCCTTCCAAAACCCAACACAAGTTTATCCAAACTACTTTCTCCATAGAAAACTGCCAAGTTGTTGCTTGACAAACTGTAGAACACCCACAAATGGTTGTTGGTTTCGTGGCAAGTCACTTGTCAGGCTACCTCAAGGACAATGGGTTCCCTGTCTTTCACCTTTTCGGAAACCATTAGACCATTCGTTTACATTCTTATGGAGAGCATCTCATAAAACTACTTTCTCTAACAAGGTGGGTTGGACAAAGAAAAGGGTTTTCGGTCACGAACGTCATAGGCAACTCATTATTTTCTCTCTATAGGACGACGACGAAGACAACTCCAACAATGACCAAAAGAATAATAATAATCAGGGTGGGGGATTTCCTTTTTCTATCTTTGGTAATTGGTCACCCTTTCGTTCTTCCCTTTCAGGAGGAGACAAGGAAGACAACTCAAGAAAAAGTCAAGAAGGATTTCCTTTACCAGGGTTGGGAAGAAATGCTTCGTTATCTACCGAAAATTTGGATATTTCATCAGCGTTGACAGCTTATGACAAGGAGAAACAGAATGAATTGCTCGAGTTCATTCAACAGGTACCACCTAGTGAGTTGGTTGCTAGGTTTATGAGAAAAACACCAAAAGACGTAAGTTTATTATATGGTTTATAATGAAACCGAATGACACAGTTTAGGTACAAAATGCTATTAAACTGAATTTGGTTCAATTGTTGGGTTCTTTGCCTCCAGGTTTATTTCAAACGAGTATTCGTACTGTTGGTATGCAATTGATGCAACTTATGGAGTCTTGTTTGATGACAGGATATATGTTACGAAATGCTCAATATCGTTATAGTCTTACTAAAAGTTTGGAGACTGTGGATGATAAGCGACATTTGTTGGAAGGACAAAAGCCGTCGGTACAAGGCAAAGTGACCTTTCAAAATGTGGATGGAAGCACTACAGAAATGGATGCTTCGGAGTACGTACAAGAGTTACGATCTCAAGTTATTCTGTTGGAGAAGGAATTAACAAAATATAAGAATGCATCGGGTAGTCAATTGTTGAGTTATATTCGAACTATGGAACAAGACCAATTGGAGTCTTTGACTAGAGATATGGGAGATGAAGTAATAGATGCTATGAAACGAATCATCCGTGCAGTCACTATGCAAACATCGATTGCACAGAATCCCATGTCTGTTGTAGAGACAAGTACAAGTGAACTTTCTCAAATGCTATTTTGGTTACTGGTTACTGGGTACTTTTTGAGAGAAGCAGAAGTACAACAAAATATTCAAAAGATGTTGAGCAATTAGTTTATCCTTTGGGTCCTTAATGAGAAAAATAACACATTCGTCCTTGTTGATATGTAAAAATGATGGGATGTTCTTCCACCCCAGATGAGGATAATATGCCTTTTTTGCATTGTTTTTCTATCATTTTTTTGATCGATCCACGTTGTTTTGAGCATGATTGAGTTGCATAGATATACCAATACGGATCTATTTTCTTTGTTTGTTCATGAACAGTACTTTTACCATTCTTTTCATTTGTCACAACTACGCTGCATTGTAAAACACCACCATTTCGTTTACTGCCCAACACAGAATTAGGTAAATGTGCCATTCGATAGATATTCGACACAGCATTCTTTTCAGTTATCACTTTGTTCCAAATCATGTGATAATAAAGCCATTCATGGATGCCTTCTCGACTATGCATACCAAGTAAATGATAATAAGTGTATAACCAAACGTTGGCATTTCCTCCATTGGGATGAAATACGGTTTGTATTTGTTTAATCAAACGAGCAATCAACTTGTCCATAGTAAAAAGTATGTAGCTGTTGGTACCCAATAAACTTCTACAACGGTCTTCATATTTGGAAGTTTCTAATGAACCATCCAATAAACTCTTCAATGAAGATAAATATTCTTCAAACAATTGTTCAGCTGTAGTCCCTGCAGTTGCAACAGGAGCACCCGAATCAAACGCATTGGATTGTATCCTACAAAATTAGTATAAGTTTATGAGTGATGATGGAATAGTGAATATTATACCGATTAAAAGTTTGAGAAGAGGTTGTATCGTGATTAAGTATCACGGAATGAGTACCCATTGGAACACCACCAGCAGTAGCATTATGATTATGGATAGAAGCTCTTTCTCTGGCTTGTTGTGCTTGTGATTGTGCCATTTGTTGTGCTGCTGCCAATCGATTATATAAAAGATGAAATAGACGAAATAAAATATACAAAGACTCGTCGCCATAAAATACGTTGCCTTGGAAAAATAAAGATGCGTCATCTTGTTCCATCAAAAGATGACTGGAAGAAAATGGTCCTTCTTCTTCACAACTACAACACGGAATCCATCGTCGTCCAACAAGTTGCCAATGAAAACCTAAAATAGGAGTAACGTCTTCACTCAATACATCATTAGGACAGGACAAATCCATCGAATCCGATAATCGAAAGAAACAAAGCATAAAATGAGAAAACAAATAATAAAGCAAATTGGCTTCTTTTCCTTCTCCACATTCCACATTCAATGAAAACATAACAATATCCAATACTTGTTCCATATCCTCCTTACACAATTCGCCCATACAAGGAGTGGATTGTTCTCGACTATTCTCAAACGGACATTCCAAACCACGAGATGTCCATAATCCTCCATTGGGTGCCCATTCATGACGAAAAGAATCCACGATTTGATAAGCAGGCAATGAATCATGATTTACTTGAGCAACTAATGACTTGGAATTGAGTGCTTTGCGATCCGTCTGCTTAAAGTAGAATGAACGATGATCAAGTGACTTGTAATAATTCTTTTCCACCGTTTCTCTCCACATTTTGTTCATCTCTAAACGAGTTCTTCTCCATTCCACATCTTTCTGTTTTAAACGAGATAATACAATGCCAACAGTAACTGAAGGACTTTGTTTCACTTGCTCTACAACACTTGGTCCATGTTCTCCATAGATGCGCTCAATAGCTTTCAAATGAATGGGACTCAAAATACCTTCCGCCAATGCATAACGAGACCTCTGTTCTAAAGTCATTTGTTGTACAGCTGCAGCAATAGGCTCCAACTTGGCTATTGTTGCGGCATTGGTTTCAATCACCATATCCAATTCGTATCGGTCATCTTCACAACGAAAGAGATTGTCTTCATATTGGTTCTTTCTCATATGCTTAAATGAAAAGTCTTCACTTCCAGTAGGTAATGAAACCCAAGAATCATTCAATACTGCATTTTCTAAAGGACCTCGACCAGAACATGAAGGACGAGGAAAGTTATCAGGTAATTTACGATATGAAACGGTACAAGTTTCTTCGCTTTCCAATGCAATTTCTGATAATGGTTTATAACTCCAACTTTTGGTGGCATCAAAACCTTCTACAGAAGCATTTCTGCCACTTTTCTTCTGTTGATATTCTTTTCTCCATTGAGAACTTTGTAAAATACTCATAGCTTCTTCAACTGCACCAGGACCAGCTGAACTGGATTGTAAGAAAGTTTGAAAGGCTTCATATAAAGCAGGTTTTTCAGCAAATAATTCTTGACACAACATGAGCAATTCGGCACGTGATATAATTCCTTGCGAAAATAACGAAAGACATTTGATAAACTCCGAATAGATATATTTCTGCTCAGGTCCCAACTCCTTGCGAATTTGTTCGAATAGAATCATACTATTCTTGGTTAATAAAGAAGCACGCGAAACTTGCGATTCGTGAGCTTTGTCTGTTGTAGTGGACTGTCTTTTCTTGGCTTCTTTTCTCTTTTCTTCCCTCTTGGGTTGTTTCGATGATGCTTTCCATTCCTGACTGGATACTTTCCTCGGATGCATTTCTTCATCGGATACGACAAAATAAGGTTGGCTACGTTGATTGGCGTTACCTGAAGAAGGATGAATTGACTTGTCCTGACTGGTGGCAAAAGATTTGGATGCTTTTGCTTGGCTAGCAGATTCAGGTAAGAAGTTGGTGAACTCTTCTAAAAGATCTACATGGTGTTGAAAAAGAGTGGCTACTTGTTCGTATACTTGCTTGATGCTCTTTTGCTCCTTTTGATAACTATGCAGTATATCTAGAAACTGACGATATACTTGTGGTTGCATAGCAAATCGTTGTTTAATCTTTTTCACGTAATGAATGGCTTGATCCAACTCCACTGGTTTGTTTGCAACGGCTGATGACAATGTTGCATTGGACATTCCAGCTGATGCTTGGCTCCATTGCTTGGCTTCTTCATCGGTCATGGCATTCGGTTTCTGTAACGATGGTGTTGGTTCCAATGCTTTGTTTTCAGAATAAGCTATTGGCATACGTGAATAAGTCATGCTTGAAGGTGAAGGTCGATAAGTTGAATAGTAACTTTCTGATTGTCCATATCCATAGGGTGTAGAAAGTAAAGGTTCCGAATAAGCCTATATACAAGGTCAGAAAAGGAACCATATTCCTCCAATACTTCATACCTTGTTAGAAGAAGAGACATAATAATTTTCGGTTACCTGCGCTTCGGGAACTTCAATCTTACACCCAGGAGGAAGAAAAGCATTGAATCCTAAAATAAGGTTGGGATGACCACGAAAGAGTTCGGAGACTCTGGCCATAACTCCATTGGTATCAATAGCTTGGGACTTGAAATCTTTCATAATATCAAGAAATTTGTTGTATACGTGTGGTTGATCATTGAACTGAGTTTTAACTTGTTCTAAATACGCCAAAGCATCTTCTACTTTTAATTTTCGGTTGGATGATGGTGCAGATTGTGAAGATGGTGAGGTTTCTTTGTTGGTCTTCTCATCCGAAGGACTGAGTGATGGATTCTCTGCGTTTAATGCTCCTGTTTTAGGTGGAGATATAGTAGTTGACCGAGACGCTTGTTCTTGATTATCCGCTTTCATAGGATTCATACTTGAAGATGCATTTTGTTCTGTTTGACTGGCGTCCTTCCATTGCTTATCACTACCTGTATATGCTATTGGGGTTTGAGAAGAACTACGATTTGGGTCATACATAGTAAAGCCTGAATAAGGTGGTGGCAATGAAAAGGTTGGATGACGAGACATTGCAAGCTGTCTAGTATCAGAATGCTCTAAAGGAGAAGACATTTCAGAAGAACTTGGATAGGAACTACCAACCATTGCCATGGATTGAGCACTACCACTCGCTGTCTTTGGGTTATCTTTGTCCGAGTTGTTTTCTGAGTCACCAGAACGTCTGTTATCCAACTATATTCCAAACATTCAGTTACTATTTCTTCATAGGAAAAGTATTCTTACTTTGGAAGATAATGGGAAGTCTGTGGGTTTCATAAAAGGTGCACGTCCAGTTGGATCAAATGATGGAAAAGGTGAATTCAGATACATAGGAATTCCTGAAACAGGTTCACTTGAATGAATATAAGGAGGGTACATTGTTAAAGGATTTAACTGTGCACTGGATCCATAAAGATGAGGTGGATAAGATCCTTCCGACTCCATATTGATGTTACTCGGCATAACACGAGAACCGGGAGATATTGTTGCCATACTCTAAAACAGTTGAGTAAAAACAAAAGACTGGAACAATGGTTACAATACCTGGTAGGGTGGCGGTAGGGAGTGAGGCACAAGCGGTGTACCATCCGGAGCAGTGTAAGGCGCCAAAGCGGGTTGATTAGAAGGATGCCCATAAGCTCCATACATCATGGGGGGTATAGGAAAAGGAATTCTTCTCATAGAAGCGGCTCCTTCCGCGTTTTGCGGCTGACTTGAAGTATTAGGTAGATGGCTTGTCATCACGGAAGCTAATAACAGAAAAGGTTAGTTTCGATACTCTCTACAACTTGAAGCAACCTACTTTTTGGTTTTTGTTCTTTTTTGGCATTCTCCTGTGTTTGTTTCGCACGTTGTTCTTTCACGGAACTTGACTCGGAACTTGTTTCTTGGTTGGTTGGTATCTCCATATCTTTTACCAATTTTCAATGGTGCTTCAATATATACCCTAGGTAAGGTGTGCAATGTTTCAATCGGGTGCTGCTTCACAGCAAAGTGGAACGGTGTTTGTACTTTACAAACAGCCAAACAACGTTTGCAACAAGACACTTGGCATGCCCTATTGCCAATTATCCAATGGATTGCCAATCCAAATCGATGACTATGTTCTTCCTTGAGTTGTTCAAGTTGGACTATCAACAAGGTTGTCTTTATTCTTTGGTTGAAAAAGATACGAAGAACAGTCACAACAAACAAAAATTACCATATACTAATGTATTCTACAACGACAACCCTTGAATTCACATACGGCTAGAGATAAGCTGTCTCTTCTCTATGTTGCAAAAAGGATTGTCCAATACGTTTGCTTTTCTGAATAGAATACAGAGGAGAAGGAAATGCCAAAACAAATATTTAACTGTACTTTTGTGTTTTTAGAAGGTTTCATCTGTTCCTCTCTGGAAATTTCCTTGTCTCTAGAAAAAAAAAGAGACAATTTCTAGAGTCTGAATGCTGAATGATGATTGGTTCATTCGAACCCTTCGAGGGCCCAAAGAAGTTTCGATGGCCATTACATAAGGCAACCGTTACCATCCTCACTCTCCCACATCGATTCTGTGTTGTTGTATTGTGATTGTCATTGTTGTTGGTTCGGTCAAGAAAGTGTGAGATATGGCACGAAGAATTCTCGGAGCATATATGGGAGACGCTACAGTAGCGTCTCTTTTTAGTGTAAAGATGTTATTCTATCTAACGATAATAGGTATGTAGTTATTACCGGAGAATAATTGATAATAGCTAACTCTTGTCTGTAAGCTTTCTCAATTACCATATTGGCATTGATGGGAAAGAGCTCAGATGGTATTTGGGTACACAGTGTACCAGCAGCGGATGAGTATTGTGCATACAAGTCATCGTTGCAAGTGAACCACCACGGCATTGCTTCTTATTGCAAATACATAGTAGCTGTTGCTGCCATTGGATTGGTTATCAGTTTCTTCGAGTTTTGCTATGCCTTTTTGGGAATTTTCTTCAAGTGGCAACAGAAACTATGGTATGTCGAAGGTGCTATCAACCTTTTCTTCTGGGCTTGGTGGTTGGTCGGTGCCATAGTTGCCACAGCGGCAAGACCTTCTACTGGAATGCTGAACCTGCACAATAATAGAACAGAGGTCAATGCAGTGGAAGCATTGCTCTGGGCCAATATGTGTCTCTATTTCTTTAACATTTTCTTTGCATTCTTTATCTACTGGGTTGGAGAAACGGGTGGTTGGATTCCAACGGTTGCCGACTATCGTGTCTTGACTTCCATCGAGAAAGATCAGAATTTGTCCAAGAGCGCGGAGATGCATCAAGAAGAGTCTGCATGAGAACGATAGTTTGTGTAAAGTTGAGTTGTTGAAACGAGTTGTGTCTGTTTTGTTGTAGATGTCGTTGTTATTGTGTTTTACGTCTTTGTGAGTGACCGCTCTTTGTAGTGTGATAAATCGCCACAAAGATGAAGGAGTTCAATAAAACTACGTATCGTTGATGAGTGTATATATATATATATATATGTATGTATGTTTGACAAATGGGCTATAAATACTGGTAATTGGACAGATGTAGTTTTAAAACATACAACAAACAACACAAAGAAATAAAACCCTCTTTAACAACACAAAACAAATATGCAAAAGAAACCCGAAATTGCTACAACTAAGCCTTATCTATTCCTCGAACACGACGTGCCATTTTCATCTCTGGATTGTAATCTGGTTTGGTTTGTGCAATATCATCAATTTTCTTCATCACTTCTGGAGTCAACTTGGGAACAATATCCATTGCCTTGAAGTTTTCTTCTAGTTGTTCTATTTTAGTGGCTCCTGTAATAACTGTAGATACGTGTGGATTGGCTGCACACCATGCAACTGCCAACTGAGCTACACTACAACCCAACTCTTGTGCTATAGGCTTCAACTGGTCGGTTCTTTCGATCTGCCACTCTCGTTCAGTGAAGGCAGCTTCCTTCAACCCTTTGTACTTCTCTAGAGATAATCTTGACCCTGCTGGAACGTTCTTTCCACTGTATTTCCCAGATAATATACCCCAAGCCAAAGGTGACCAAATAGTTGTGCCTAAACCAAATTCTCGATAAAGAGGCTCATACTCTATTTCAACTCTGTGACGATGGAATATGTTATATTGTGGTTGCTCACAAAGAGGACGAATGAGACCACTCACATCGGCAACTCGACAAGCTTCCGTAATTTCTTGTGCAGACCACTCACTAGTGCCCCAGTAAAAGGCATATCCACGGTCGATAACTATACACAGTCAAGTTTCCAATCCGTATAGCATATTTTAATACTTACCATGATTCATGGCACGTACTGTTTCTTCGATAGGCGTAAGTGGATCCGGACGATGACAAAACACCACATCCACATGTTCCAATTGCATACGTTTCAGCGAAGCTTGCAATCCTTCAACGATGTGTTTTCTGGAACAACCTTTGGAAGTATGGGTATCGCGTGCTCCTCTTCCACCGAAGAATATTTTGGTGGTCAACACCAAGTCTTCCCTTGTCCAAACGCCTTCCTTTACACCTCTATGAAAAGCTTCACCCATAATCGATTCAGCTGCTCCAGCTGCATAAGTTTCCGCGTTATCAAATAGGTTGCAACCCAACTCATAAGCTCTCTTCATCAGACTGTAGGCCAATTCAACGTCCACTTGTTCGTTGAAAGTGACCCAGGAACCAAAAGAAAGTTTGGATACCAATAAACCACTCTTACCAAGAGTATTGTACACCATATTCCCCGAAGACACTACTCCGTTCATGTTTTGGGTTTGCTGAATTCACCACAACAGGAACACAACTACTCGCCAACCAAAAATGGCACAAATGCCGTAGTTTCAGTGTCGATGATTGTGCACAAGGCAAGAGGCCTACTGTCTCGTGGACATTCCCATGGCTTTTATGGAATGCCAAGGAAGGAATAGGAAGTTCTCTTCATTGAATAAATGAATAATATAACATGATGACTCGTATACAATATTCCACATGGGTTGAGGATAATAATAGTATCCTTGGAGATAAGAAAGCGCGATAGACTCCATTTCACAACATTGTCATAGTTGTTAGTTTCCTTGTTCGATAGGAAGTGACTCCAATTTATATGCAATTGTAGAAATAGAAAGATGCAAGTTGTCTGTGATATTTAAGGAACATGTGAAAAAGCAACTCAACGACATAGTAAGACTATCATCTAACAAGAGAAAACTGTCAAGACCTCTAGACAAAACAAATATAAAGAGTATTCCGAGTAGCAATCGAGGTTTGAAAGGCTATTTTCACTCTTATGATTTGAACTGAAAACTTCTCTTATAAAAGTTTGTATATATATATATACAAGGAGTGAATGATTCATTGGGCCAGTCGTAAGCCTAGTGTGAGATCAAAATGAATGAATGGTGAGAGAAAAAGATGGCATTTTTCCTCCTTTTGAGGACGCTGGCGGATTTTGAAAAGACACGTCAGCCGAAATTCAAATAACGGAATATCACAGCCACACTCCTTTTACAGTTTCTCATTGAGCAAATATTCATGGGTAAAGTAGGCGTCGTTCCTAGTTGTATTGGAAATATCTCACAACCACTATAGTTGAAAGTAGGAGACGAAGCACCTGACTTTGAATTGAAGGATCAAGACGGTAATACCATAAAATTCAGTGACTTGAAAGGGAAGTATCCAGTAGTTCTTTTCTTTTATCCCAAGGTAAATTTTTGAGAAATCGTAAGTACGGGTCTGACTGGAATTATCTCTTTTCTAGGACAAGGTATGTTTTAAGCTAATGGAGATATTTTGAAACTCAAGATATTAGTCATATGGCTGTACACGTGAAGCTTGTACTTTCCGTGATAGTATGTCCGAGTTTAATGAGCTGAATGCAAAAGGTATAACTTCGCTTTTATGATATAGAGGTACGATAACTTACAACAGAGGATATTAGTTTTCGGTATCAGTTCTGATAGCGTAGAGACTCACAAGTCGTTTGCGGAACAACAAAAGTTGACTTTTCCTCTGCTATCTGATGTAGGTGGTAAAGTTCGAAAGCTCTACGGCGTACCAAGCACTATGTTTATAATGCCTGGTCGTTGTACTTACGTAATTGGTCCGGATGGTATCGTGCGCCATATTTACAGTAGTCAAGTGAATTTCGCCAATCACGTTTCCGAAGCAAAAACTGCGTTAGAAAAGATTCGAGCCAACGCAGAAACAGCGGAAGAATAGTAATCTGTTGCTCAATGAAATATATTGTGACGAGGAGAATACCAGTCATGTGTTTCGGCTGGGTTGAGAAATTGCTTGCTTCTCGTGTTGCTTTAGTTTGTTGGTAAAACGTTTGTTTTTCGTTGTGTTTGTAACTCTTTCAAATGTTCATTTTCTTCACATTATCTAGTCACTGAATATTTCTTGGATAGAATACATTCTGTGGGCTAGTTGTCATTCTTTTCAACCATCCACGTGTCACATACATTACAACTGATAATGATGATGATGATGATGACTGCAGATGAAAGAAACTCTTTGAAAGAAAAGAAGAAAAAACACTTTTCTTAAAAGTTGTGCTTGAGTCACAAAAATGGGATACATTTTACTCTTCATATGATAGTGTTATAACAAGTCAGTCTATGTTGATCATTTCAATCCACATTTTTTATATTGTCTAAAGTTGGGTTCTTTTGTTTCTAACAAGTAAAGGAAATGTATAAATCCATAAGGAATTGGGTGGATTGAGAGTTGTGTTTGGGTTGGAAGGTCGACATGCCTAAAAACAAAGGTTGAGAGATGTTGTTATTATGTGTGAAGCCTTTGTGAATTCTAACTATTTTCAGGAAAAGGTGGAAAGAATCGTCGTAGAGGGAAGAACGACAATGAAGAAGAGAAGCGGGAACTTGTGATGAAGGAAGAGGGTCAAGGTAGGTGTAATCATACGTTTTGTGGACAGCAAGAGACGGAGTACCATTCAAAACCGTTTTTGTTTTCAACTCCAAAGAAGATTGTTGAAAATTTTTCTTTTACAAGTATTTTATTTCTCACCCTGGGGTTCAATAGAATATGCACAAGTAACGCGAATGTTGGGAAATGGAAGGTGTGAAGCGTTATGTTTCGACGGTACTCGAAGACTTTGTCACATTCGAGGAAAAATGAGAAAGAAAGTGAGGTTGAAAGAAAGAAAGCTATTCGACGCCGCCGAGACTAAAGTTTTGTGATTAGGTCTGGATCAATTCGGGAGATATTGTTCTCATTGGTTTGAGAGATTATCAAGACGAGAAAGCGGATATTATTTTAAAGTACAATCCTGATGAAGCCAGAGCATTGAAGGCTCAAGGAGAGATTCCAGATACTACGAAAATTAACGAAGAAGAAGGAGAAGAAGGAGAAGAAGTTACTTTTGATTTTGACGATGTAGATGCAATATAATATATGCTTTTTGTTTTTATGAAATTTGCCATTATACTTTTTCACATTATTTTTTTTGAAAAGATAGCGCAATAGATTGGTTGGCCTCGGGTTCTACAAGCCATCTCCCTTTCTGTAGATATATGCCATGGATGACTGTCACTTTGCCATTGTTTCATAACAAACTGGTTGTTTTGAAATTTCTCGATAGCACTAAAATAGGTTTCCTCGACATCTGTTTGGATTAGTACTTCACTTTCATTAGGTAGATAATGAAACAGAGTTTGTACCAACTCGTCCGTCACCAAACGGCGTTTATGGTGACGTCTTTTGAAGTGAGGATCAGGAAACTGTATAGATACTCTTAACACCTTGCAGTCGACAATGTTCTCCAATATTTGTGCCAATGAGACGTTGATATTACAAAACATATAGTACAAGTTGGTCAACTGCCGTTGTTGAATCCACGTCAAAGCCTACAAGGAATAATCCTCGTTGTCAAGTGGAAAGAATCGTCAAGATACTTACTCGTTGTACCAAAGCTTCCCTTATTTCTAGCCCAAGTACGTTCCAATCTGGATAAGTCTCTGCATAACGGAGACAAAACCATCCCTTTCCCGAACCCAGATCTATGAGCAAAGGTTTAGTACTATCCCGATAGACTTGTTTATTCCAGCCACGATGTATAGTTAGTGGTTGTTGAAAATAAGGTGCCAAAGGATTGACGTGTTGTCTAACTTTTCCAAGTTTTCCAGTCGCAGTCACACAAGAACAAACTTGAACCATATGATTATAAACAGATAAAGAGTGACGAACCAACTTGGTTCTCCGACGGGGTTGTATTAATACAAGTGAACGGTGCAATGCAATAAACATGATTGACTCCACCAACACAAATAGCGTTTCACATAATTGTCGGTAGTAATTTATCTATGCATTCTTTTTCAACATGGAGTAAAGGAAATTTCTTATTTCATAGGAAAATGAGTTGTTTTGAATCGATAATCCAATCGCAATGGATTGTATAAGATGGCTTGAAGATGGTTCTATTTGCTTATGACAATGGCAAACGACAATTCTTCCAACTCAGAAAATACTGATTTCCTATACAAGCCTCAAAAGATTCCGTGCCTTCGACAGACCTTGCTATATGGTCTCACTGGTGGTTTGGTATTGGGTGCCTTGCGTTTCTATCGTACACGTAGGGACATATTCCTTTTGAGTCAACACAACTATTGGACGACTTAGTTGGATAGGTAATCCTTGGAAGACTACAGACGTTGCAGTATTTGGAACGGTACTTTTTTCTTCCATTTCTTGGTAAGTTTATATTTCAAAAAGCTTCTTCTTCCATTCAGGTACATCTTGCTTAGGGTGATATGCCGTTATGAATATCGTAGTTATCGAGAGCAGCTGAGAAAAAGTTTTGATTTGCAACAAGAGAAACTTCAATTTGATAAACGTAACGAGATAGAAACTCCCAATCATAGTGCTGTGGACGATTTCTATGAAAAGAAAACTTGAAATTTATTTAAAAACCATCTTTTGTATTCGCCACCAATACTTAAGCAGCTGCAGCTACTTCTGGAGCTTCATAGTCTTCGATTTCTATTTCGTTGGCATCTATTTTCTGGATCACGTCGTGAGGATGCATCCCATCTACTGTACATCCCACGCTGTGTGCAGTTCCCAATATTTCCTTTACTGTTCCAGACATTCTCTTGGCCATGGAACGAGCACGCATAGCTTTGGCAACTTTGATAACTTCGTCCAATGGCAAGTTGCCATTATGTTTGATATTCTTCACCTTTTTCCTGTCTCGTTCTGGCTCTTTCAACGCTTTTATTAACAAAGAGGCTGCAGAAGGTACTACCGTTGCTGTAGCTTGTCTGTTTTGTACCGTAAGCTTCACCATAACTTTCAATCCTTTCCAATCCTTGGTCGCTTGTGCAATTTGTTCACCTATCTTTTTGGGTGACTGTAGAACGGTGGAAATGAGTACAAAGAAGAGTCGATCATAACTATACTTACCAGTCCCAAGGGACCTATTTTGGGGGCTAATGAAGACACCGCACCAACTTCACCTCCAGTAACTCGAACATAGATAACATGTATAGCGTTGGGATCAAACTTGGGTGGCATCTCTTCTAAAGTTGGATAAGACCAGAGTCAATCGAGTGTGCTCACAAATCCAACGACGACGAAATGAGGAAATTGTGATGGCAAATGGATTTTTATGGATCGTTTGAACACAGCACACGGTTTTGTTGAACAAGGTATGAAGTCGAATATTGCAAGCAACTACTGTGACCATCGATTACCCAAGGATGTTGAGAAGAAGTATGTTTCGAGAAGAGTAGCTTAGATAAGGAATAAACAGTGAGAGGAATGGTTACTTCGCCATATGACTTGAAGACAAAATGCCACTATGCCATCGGGTTATATGGAAGATGATTGCGTAGTATGTCCTTATATATATATATATATATCCCAAGAATACAAGTTCAAAGTTGTTCGTCCGTAGTTGGTGTATATAATGTATTATTTATGAAACTTGTTTGCGCATTAAGCAAAAATACAGCACCGATTTATTAAGAGCGTTTCTTTCACCTTGTCACTTTCCTATGGCTAAGAAAAGCAGTCAACCTAGTAGAGACTTGATAAGAGATGCCAAAACATATTGTAAAGTCACACGAAATGGATAGATATGAAGTCGCTGTGTTGGCAAATATTCTATTCTTATTTGTCGAATGAAATAAACTTTCCAGAGAAATATACTGCATCGTTTTCCAAAATGGGTTACTTTTCAATGAGCTTATTAGTTGGTGACAGAAAATGGAATCATCATTACAAAAAGAACCAATGCCAAGTAGTTCTACGAGCGCTTCTTCTTCTTCTCCTCCTTTGGAATAATAAACTCTGCTAAAGAATGGGGATGTTCGAAAACCATTTCACCATCGGCATTCATATATCTTGAAAAAATGATACAAACTATTCCCAAATATGTTAAAAGACTTACCTTCTAGGCTTATCTCTTTGAATCGATGTTCCATCTGGATAACAATGTGCATAGAAACAGCCTACTCATCAATCAACGATTTCATTCAATATAAGCAACGTAAAATAATGTTACTCACTGGTTGAAAATGGACAAGTTCCCTTTCCATAATTGAAATATTTACAAGGAATAGTTGTCAATTTTGACTTGTACCTCTCAATGATTTCGTTCTTTCTTTGTACATCTCCAGGAACAACCAGACTAGTAAAAAACATGAGAATCAACTACAAATATACCCTACATTTTACCTTGGAATTACAAAAAAAGATGGAGTGCGACAAAGTGGACAAAAACGAACAACTTGTCCAAAATCTATGCTATGTTGTCGCCATTGACGAATACATTCCAAACAAAATACGTGATCGCAATTTTCAAGCAATCCAAAATATTTTCCACTCTTACGAGGGTAGTCCAAACAAATACCACATTCTTGGCTTTGAGAATTCAAAAACTAAAGAGAAACTTGTGTCAGCCATATTCAAAATAGTAACAAATACTTGCCTCTTCTGATGAGTGGTAAAATTGTCGACAATCTTCCAAATGTTGACGTTGAATGGAGCTATCCAAAGGGTGCAAAACATTTCTTCCACAATGCGGACACTCCAAACCATGTAAGTAGTGACAATTGTCACCATATTGACAAGAATTGTCCGCATGATACTTGCATAAGATGGGTACCTAAAACTGACATTCAACGAAAATATTCTCTCCAGAATATCTACAGTTCGCACTTTATGGGATACAGAATAGTTGGCAAGCTTTTCCATTTCACCAGCACTGCCTTGATTGGGTAGTTTATCTTGACTGTTCCGGTTAAGTAACCTTTCAGCATAAGAAGTTGGGCGAAGGTCTATACCAATACGAGGAAAGTTGTATTCTTTGGACTCCGAAAATAAAGATGCATACATATTGGAAAAAGAAAACACAGAATCTTCTTCTTCTTCTTCTTCCTTGGAACTTTCACTGCGTTTGTGCAAAAACTCGTCCAAAACCGGTTTGGAAAGTCGAGCGGAATTTCTAGCAGAAGGTTCTGACTGGTTCTCTTTCGTTGGTAACTTGTGTTGGAAACGACAACTAGTAAAAATCAAGACCTGAAAGATATATGAAGTTTGAAGTTTACTTACGCTTCGCCATGGACACAAAAGCCTTCCAAGTAATATTTACAAGGAACAGGTACTGGAGGCCCAGTACCAGGTCCTGCAACTGTATGCACTAATAAACGACTTTGCGTATTATGGATATTTTGTGTCGTTGTTGTTTCTTGGTTATTGGGGGTCTGTTCAGGTGTCTGGGTCATAATGAAACGACACTTGACGTGATCAAAAAATAACCGAATGCTGATGATCGTCGTTACGAATAAAAAGGATATCTAGTTGTTGACAGTCTTCCCGAAAAACTCAAATTTGTTCGTTGATCAACTCTATCATATCCTCGACAATAAGTTGACTCTAACATTCATTTCTTTGTTCAACAAATGGAAGATAAAATAGTACACAAGTTGAACATAAATATTCTTGTTGTAGTCCTTAGAACCATTTTTAAAATTGTTTTGCGAGTTTGTCAAAACATTCCATTCTTTACCATGACTTATATTCATTATTATGAACGTCAGCAAACACTCTTCCCCTAACTTTCGTTGGTGTTTGAAACTATTTTCAATTTGTCTTTAATATAAAATCTAATTGGATATTATAAAACTCAGTTGAAGAAATGTCATGAGAAGGATAAATGCGATAGACTTCATCTGCAATGCTGTCTCCAACAAAGGCAAGTGCACGGTGTCCAATGGGTCAGCTGAGAGAATAGCCTACGCTCTCCACATTCAATGATTTCCGTTCCTTGTCATATTCTTCCTCTGATTTGTGCACAATGGCATCGTCTTCTTCATCCTATGCAGAAGAATCAATACCTAGTAGTCCTTATAGTAGATTTTTCGCAAACATATCCAGTTATGCCTCTCGACTGCTTTTTGGTGAACAGAATTCAGTAGACGAAAACGGCATAGAGGAAGAATCTGGCGACTTGGTTAAAGGAACCCCTGAAAGCTGGGGAGAGGAAGGTGCTACCGACAATCTCTTTGTAGTTGACTCCGAAGACGCTGAAGATGACGAAAGAAGCCTCAAGTTGACACGAGAAAAAGGCCATGAATGGAAGGGAACCAGTAACCAGGTTCTTAAACCTGAGAAAACCTTTGTTGCAACTGAATGTCAAGCAGTTAGACCAGATATGGCTTTGGAAAGATTGAAATATCTGGAAAGGAAGGTGGAACAATTAGAAGCCTCTTATATCGCGACCGAGAGGAGACTGCAGCAACTGGAGAAAAATATCGATCTTTTCCCAAACCACTCACGACTTCACCTGAAGCCTTCATTCAGAGAAGGACTGTGGAGTGATAAAATTTTGAAAGGAATGAGTGTCTGGAGACCATTCTCCACAAAACGAAATTCAGCAACTAGAGGAAGTAGTGGAAGTTTTCGTTCTCGTCTGTTGGACGATATGAAAAGAGTGCGACACCATATTCCTTTGTTACATTGGTCGTCAGATGAAGCTCAAGATAGTTCGTCGTCGGAAAATTCAAGTGATATGCTCCGTAGCTCATCTAATCTATCTTCTTCTTTTGCTGAAGGAGAGAATGTGTCAGACTCGTCCCACAGGGATCAAGAAGGTTCTTCTCCGGATAAATTTGTCTCGAAAAATGAAACTAGCAGTGCAAGAGAACTCCAAGCACGTGACTCTTTCAGTTTTCAGAGTTTCTCAACGGCACGAGAGAAGTCCTTGCCTTTGGTCGATTCTATGAAATCTAAAGAGTCGAAAGGCACATCTCCGAGGAAGATTCCGGCTGATAAACAGTTTGAAAAGAAGAAAGCATTTCAAGCAGTCAGTGATGATCCGGCGTACTATGATTTGAACTCGTTCCAATATGGTAATTACTTGTTGTGGTCAGGAAAATTAACAGATGCAGCAAAATTTTTTCAAAAGAGAATAGAAAACAAGTGTGATTCCTCTTATAGAGGATGGCCCGGTCTCGCGCATCCTCGAGACTTGCTGTTATATGCGGAAAGTTACATGTTAAGGGTATGGTTTACTGGTAGCATTCAACAAGCTTCGGAAGCAAGTGAATTATTTGAACGTGCAATTGAAGCTGCTTGGAATGGTCAAAGAGTAAGAAATTCCACTTTTGAAATTAATATTCCTCTCATCATTTCTTCTTTCGTAGGTGTTAGAACGTGTACTAGATAAGGAAGTTGTGGCTAATGAAAGGGAACGTCAGTTGGCATCCTATGATTGGGAAGATTGCCGTCTTGTTATTGCAGATGGAAACTTGTTCAAAAGTATCATGTTAGCGTTAGCGGGACATACTCTCAAGGCTGGCATTACTTTAAGGAAGGGATGGAAAGCATATGCCTCAGAGTTGGATAACGTCATTCAGGAATTCGAACAGTTTCGAACATGCTATGTTTATACTGAACGATGGGAAGAAATGAGAGGAGAGGAAGAGTTCTCATGTATTGCGCCATTAAGGGCCATTGAAAAGGAGCTATGTTTGGGTAAAGTCCCTGTAAGGGAATATATTGGTTTGACAGAAGCTTGGATGTTTGGCTTGGGATTTTATTTATTATTGGTCTCATTGGCACCTCCTGGCTATTACAAGGTGAGAGTATCAAGACTTGTCTATGAAAGTGAAATTTATCGGAAACAGGTTTTGCAAGTACTGGGTTTTCAAGCTAATCGACCGTTGGGGCTTGCATTACTAGAAGCAGCATTCTCAAGAGCATTGATAAAGGACTCGCCTACAGTGGAAGGAATTTCTTGCAAAGTTCCACTTCCATTGTCTTCTCCTGTCGCAGCACATGCCATTGCTTGGGACTTGTTGGAATTTTATGCATTTTCTGCTTCGGAATATGAACTTCCGGAAGAGAAGAGGGTATGTTACATTGTTTCGAGTCGAGTACACTTTGCAACGCTGATTTATGCTTATGTTAGTTGCCACGTGCAAATATGGTTTGTCGTCGCTGTATAGAGCTGTTTCCAGACTCCCCTATTTGGTTGTGGTTGACTGGAGTTTATCAAAGAAAATTGGGGAACTTGGATAACTGTGTCACGCAACTGAAGGAAAGCGTGGCACAATTCGAAAAAAATGAGAAGACAAGTTCTCCAGTGCGACTTTTGGAATATGTACGCTATATGTACCTACTTCAAGGCGATTTCGAACAAATAGAACGAATTTCACGGCAGTTGTTGCAACAATGTAATGATAGTATTCCAATCGGCTCCTATTTATTTCTTGGTATCGTTGAACTGTCCAGAGGGAATCTGGCAGCGGCAGACTCTATGTTTCAAAAGGCAAATACTTTTGTTGCTGGTCGGTCACTCACAGATTTTGAAGAGTTTTGCCAGTGGAAAGCAGCGTAAGAGCTAGTAATGAAGTCTTTCATTGACTAACAAATATATATATGTATATATAGTGTCTTGATGCAACGTCAGTTTGCCCGAGTGGTTTCCGCAGAAATAATATGTTGTTCATTGATGTATCAGTCGTTGAAGAAGGACCACATCCAGCCTTGGATAGACTGGTTAGTAAAAGATAAGAAATGTCTCGAGGAACAGTTGGAGAAGCATCTTCAAAACAAGAAGAAGAATGCATTTTCGGAGGATGCTTCACCGAAAGTGACAAATCTCTTTTCCTCTTGGAAAAAGTTATCCAGAACAAATATTTCTACTGCTGTTCGTGGGGACGAAAGAAGTATTGTGTCGGAGTTGAGCGTATGCTATTATGCTTTGGTACGGATTTTCAAGGTTTAGATATTGTTTTATGACATTGAGTTATAGGGTACTTTTTATCGACTTGTGGGAGACTTGGTCACAGCTGAGGATTATTTAACAAAGGTTTGTGAAAATATGAATGAGGAAGATTCTTGGTTAGCAATGTGCAGTCGTTTTGAGATTGCCCTGGTCTATTGGGAAGGAAGAAAGGTTTCTATGGCATCTGACTACCTGCGGCGAAGTTTGGCTGCTTCTAGAAATGTCGCGTGTGGAAATCGAGCGTTCGTTTCTCAGATACAACGTTGTAAAAGAATGATGAAAGTTTAAACAATTTGGCGCCAATGAGACCACATTTTTCTTTGTCAATCTTTTTGTATTAGATAATTGGTCCAATTTGTGATTGGGCGAATTGACACGCAAGTTGTGAAAGAATGGCTGCACAACCTCGACAAGAGTATAGACTAGACCAGCGTCTTCGAAAACGACGAAGAAGCAACTTTGACAAGCCAAACCTTGCTTGGAAAAGAGGAAAAGGAAACGAGGACGGGCGGCCTACTGTTGCCTTTTCAGCCGAGCGGAATGAAAATTGTCGGAAAGCAACTGCTCATCATAATGAGCTCGCTTGTCAACCCAGTCTCCCTAGTAATTCTAAACAGGAAAACATACTGCGTTATTTCACTCAATACTCCGGTTCCAATATGGACGAAGTTGCGAGTGCCGATAATTCTGGGGAGAGGAGTAGGCACTGGGAGACCACCGAACATGAAGGTGTAGTCACCGATGCTAGTTGGGATTACGTGAGACTACAAACTTCGGAAGAGTCCTTTTTTGACGGCGCGTCTGTCAGCTCGCTATTGAATAGTCCCTTAGAGGAACCTTATGAAGAAGATGATATTGAGGACGACGAACCACTTTGTCCAGTAGCACAGGAAAGAAGAATATCGTTTGGAATTTCTGCGGATACTCTTTTGCAACAAGTTTATGACGTTTATGGACGTTGATGTGACTTCGAAGACACTATGGAGTTTTCGGAGTGAAACGCAGTGCTCTTGGATTTTTGAAGAATCACAGTAGGAGCTCTTTTGTTGAGGAAGAAGCTTTTACACGATGTGTGAGAAAAACAAGGTTACCAATGGTTTGTTGATATGAGTGTTTGTGTTAAACGGCTTCGGAAGAACTTTATTATTGGAAGTTTGGTGTTGTCTGCTTCACAAATGTCAACTTTTTACTTGTTTTGGTTATATTTATGGCATGAATACCGAGTTTTGTAGTGGAATGGAAGATTGAAAGAGTCGAGTGAAGAAACCTTTACGTAGTCGTAGTAACTTTTGTTATTTTTGGCAATTGTTTTTATAAAATGTGTAAATGAATTGAAAAATAATGATTCATACTATCGTTTTCTTCTGTCTTGTTCTGTATAGTAAATGGGTGACCGATAGAAAGAGTGAGTGACAATGAATGAGGTTGCTCTTCGTCTTGCCACAGTGTCCAATATGATGACATGACCCATGCATGGACAGTTGTTATTGCCAAGGCAGAAATGGATATAGACACGATTTTCTCGACAAAAAGTTACTCGAAAAGAGCGAAAAATGACAATAGGCGTGTGAAAAAAGTGCTGGATAAATGTTACGATAACGGAGGTAAATAGAAAAAGAAACATGAGACATCACGTCTTCATACGAAGCAAAGAGTGGAAGGAAAGCTTTGTTTCAAAAAAAAAAAACTCACGGGAACGGAGCAGAAATTGTTCATACATATCTGTTCTACTATCACCCAAATGTTGTCTGAATGAATAATTTGGAACTGAACGCAGCTATAAAAGAGTCTTGAGCCGAGGATAGAATTAGATGAAGAGTTTGATATTATTCTTAAATAAATTCAAGATCTCTTACAACAACAATGTTTCAACTAGCGATCATATCCAGACACCTACACCAGTCAGCGATTAAATATTCTTTGGTTTAAAAAAATTCTTTACCTTCCATTCCACCGCATCTAACAAAACCGACTGAATCCTGTGTCGGTTGATAGTAATTCTTTTGTCCATTACTTGTTCTCGAATCTTGTGTAAGCCATGTTTATGAACAAGTTTGAAAACTGCACGACGAATCGCTGGCACTGGTGGGGTAAATGAACTCGTAGAAATGCGATCTGCATGAGAGTCCATAAAATTCCAAACCGCATCGGCTGCTACTAATGCCTCAGAAGCAAATCCGTCTTCAGCATACATCTCCAACAAAGACAACCAGGGACTGACAGTCGCTGACTTCTCAGCACCAGAGTTCTTGGAAGAAAGGATAATAGCTATACGGAAAGCTCTTTCTGCATCGCTGGATCGCTGAATGCGACGAGCAAGTTCACCACGTCGCAACCAATCAACGGGTGGCCTTTTAGTTTGTTTTGCAATTTGGTCGGCATCTAATGATTGAGCGATATATGAAGCGTCATTTTGCATTTGCGAAGCTTGCGTTTCATTCTGACTGTTTGTACCAGATGAAGAAGCTTGATTAGGCTGGGAACTCGTATGGGATGTAGACGTCCCACTTGTGCTGCGCAAATTTTGAGCCATTTGTTCATCTTCCGCTTGCCAAATAGCTAAAGCTCTTAGGTCTTCGTACATATTATTCACGAGGAAATCTAACCAAGGAGTACACATTTTCTTTTTATGCCCTTTCGATGAATAAACTTCCAGGGATGCGTGTTTGTTCTTCAAAATGCGCTGTTCGCTACTTCCACCGACTTCTCTGACTTTATCTTCTTTTACACTGGATGAATCATTTCCTTGAACTTGATTATCTTCGGTTGCAACGTTCTTTGTCTGACCATCTGTTCCATTTGTCTCGGCGGATAAAGTAAAGTCTTTTCCAGGCGAAGGTTGACCTTTCGAAATTTTAGTTCCAGCTGTATCTGAAGAAGACTCAGCATTTTCTTGAGAAGATGAAGCAGCTTCTTGCATCTTCCCGACATCAGTTTCATGTATTTGTTCAGTTGACGATTCTTGTCCTTCAGGAAGATGTGAAATATCCGCTTCCATGATAAACGCATCTGAACGAGCATTCAATATTTCATCCCAGCCAAACTTATTCAATGCCTTTACCAATACTTGGTAAGCTTGCTTTTCAGGATCTGTCATTAGCGTTGCTGACAGTTCAGCAAGTGACTCATCAACTCCAGTCGCAGGGCCGATTCTTTCTTCGTGTAGTCGCTTCGCCAATACTCGAATAATGTCTGTGCCACCAGAAGTATTGGGCAAAGGCTTTGTCATTCGCTTTCTTGCAGGTAACAATTCTCTCAAAAATGGGTCTAACGTGGGTGGCTCCATAATTGCCGAGTTGAGTGCAATCAAAGACTCTACAAGATCTCCTTTTTCTACGTACAAATTAGCCAAGTGAATCCAGGCCAAAGTATCCTTTTCATTTACTTCCACAGCTTTCTTTGCTTCTACAAATGCTGCATCCAACTGACCAGTTTCCAAATATAGCTGAGAAGACATAAGAAGTGCAGCAGAGAAACTAGGACATTCTTGAACCACAGTATCAATAAGAGAACGAGCTGATGAGAAGTTTCCTGAATCTTTCAAGGCTCTACAGGCAAAATATTTTAGTTCGACATCTTTCTCACCAACTTCAGTTTCAAAGAACTTTTGCGCTTGTTCAAAGCGACTATCTTGAGCAAAATATCGGAATAAAGCTTCTGCGACAAGACAAGTTGCTGGAGTCACTTGACTAGGACTATCACCAAATGTGAGTCCTGGTCTACCACTACCAACAAGGGGCCAACGAGATACGATTTCACTCGCAGCAGTCAGGAAGCTTCTTTCATCTGATACAGAGTCAAGTGGTTGAAAGGCAACTAGACATGGATACAACGGGTGCTCTCCTACACCTTCTGAAGCTCTTAAGACTGAACAAACAAAGGTTTCTTTCCAAATTAAATCACTAGTTTCCTCCTCATGACCATCAGGAAATAAAGCGAGGGAAGAAACACTTCCTGGTACGTCAACTTTGACCAAGATGTCGCACTTTGAGAACGAATTGTATGAACGACAAGCTGCAGAAACTATTTTGTAGCCGCCTCCCTAATAACAACACATCTTCAGTGCTTGGGAAAACATACTGAAACTTTGCAATACTAACCGAGTACCAACTAGCGCCTTCAAGTCCGTGCTTGATCAAACGTCCTAAATAAGTAGAAATACTTGCAGTACTTTCTGCCTTTATACCTCGAACAAAGTGAAAGTATCCCTTGATTTCCGTAAGAAATTGCTTGGATCCCAAAAACTTACAGTACCTGGGTGACACCTTTTCCAACTACACCTCTCCAGTGTTTACTGATACATACTAAATCTGGAGGACCAAGCCCCGTAAAATTGGTAAGATGACGCTGTCTTGCTTCCGCGGCAAACCCTCCCGTGCCTTTTTCGATAACCTTGGAAAAGAATAGCACAAAAGGCGCTCAGTTGGCCGTTGTTCTCTTTCAAAAGCTCAAGCGTCTTGTACGTACCTCTGGAGTCCCGTGTAAAACATCACTACTCATTATCTTTTAGAAATGTCAATTTTCAAACTTGCGTTTCCAAACAACCCACAACTCTCCTTTTCCCCAAACTTAAACGATCCCAAAACAAGAATGCTGTTATGTTGTAGCAATTGTTAACTATGGAAGTTGATCTCTTCAGGGACATTAATCGAACTCTCACTGTTCTAGTATTACGTTGGTAAATGGAATAAAATGCGTATAGTATGTTGTACAGCATAAATATTCGCAAATCAATTATCTTACAACTAGGTGAGCTATTACTTGTAAGGTTTACAACAATTTTTATTCAAACCTACTTGCATTTCTACAACTCACATCGACTTTTATAGTATTGTATTTGGATAATAGAAATATATAAATGGCATCTTGCAACTCTATCCTTATATAGGTGCTGTCTATTTCCATGATGCCTTTGCAACGTGGCATGACCAGGCTTGATTTCACTCGACCTCTTTAGAGTAGCATTTCATCATTTGTGGTTTTCTGTAGAGTCTTGGCCGTTTTATGTTGACTTTAATAACGTATCGGAACTAAGGAAAAGTTTATGTTTGTTATATACTTTATATTTGGTATCTGTAATATGTCTCCAAGTATTTGAAAGCTCGAAATATGAAGTTGAGCACGTTAGAGAGTGCCTCGTCTTCTTCAGTACGAGGCTTTGGTTTCACAAAGACAAGTAGTTTGTCGTCCCTTGAAAAGAAAAGGATTCCATCTCTCAAACATTTAGACTTGGATAATAACGAGCCAATAAAGAGTGTGACTGTGGAGCCTAAAAGTGCCCCTTACACTCCTTGTTACCATCAAACGGTAGCAGAAATCGAAGGAGACTCCGACAAGGGTCAGGACATGGGTCAGTTGATTCATTTTTTAGAAGAAGGAAGAGAATTACAAGCGGTGACGACCCGTCTGAAGAACATAGTAACTGGTACTCCAAAGCAAAAAGTGTTGGCCTCATCGTCTTTTCGGCCTTTGGACCTTTCACATCTGTTGAATATGGACGAGAAGCTAAAAGAGGAGTCCTGCACCCCTATGAGACAGGTGAACTACTATACGAACAACTGCACAAAGATACGTCCCTATTTGTTTACAGGTGGAGAAAAGGCAGCTAAGGACAAGGATTTCTTGACGCGAAATAAGATTCACTATATCGTAGAGTTATCACATAGGAAACCCAAGTCGTCATATTATGATAGCTCTTTCGAATATCATCATTTTTTACTACGAGACCAAGAAAGTCAAGAACTCATGGCAGTGTCTTATCAAGTTGAAGCTATCGTAGACGAAGCCATCAAAAGGAACGTTGCTGTGCTTGTTCACTGTCAACTTGGAATATCTCGTTCCATAGCCGTCGTGGTAGCTTGTCTTATGATGAGAGAAGGAAGAAGTTTTGACTCTGTTTATGATGAAGTTTGTAGATTACGTCCAATATCTGCTCCTAATAATGATTTTATGGATGATCTTGCCCTTTTACAGAAGAGACTAGGTCAAGGCAACCGAGAGTTGCGCATTTACAAGTTTTCAGTTGAAGATAATATTATCCATGCCGAATATATTCCATATTATACTTCATTTGCTAACAAGTTATCAGATCTTTCCTTGACACTTTCAGAAGATGGAGTTTATCTATTACAATTTCCAATGTCAGAAGGTGTGTATTTATGGATAGGGCAAGTTGCAAAGTCTATCCTACTAAAAACTGCGATGACATTTGCCAAACGTTTGGTAAAATATGAAATATGTGGGCCACTTCATTCGCACTTGTCTTGTGGAGAAAGTGAAGAAGAAGATGTAGAAATTCTCCAAGAATATCAAGGCAAAGAAAGCGAATCATTCTTGCAGCAGTGGAAGAGAGCATGCTCCTCAAACTTGGTTTTTGAGGGATAGAAGCTAGCTCTAAAATATATTTTTGGCTTGGACTGCGAAAGTTTAGAATGGAACTATTCTATGTGAACGAGTTAGGAAGGGACATTTTAAAAAAGAACGTGAAAAATCAGCACATTTTCATTTAAGTGTTTACGTCAATAATGCGGTCTCATCCTCCCAATAGCTATTCTAAGTACTATGTGTACAAAACCATGTCGTCCAGTGGTTTCTTACTTTGAAACTGCTTTTCCATATTTCTAGAGATGAGCTTTTATAATAATTTATTTCTTTATAGAGAGAGAGAGCAATGAAGTTGCTTGGCAACCTTTTTTTACAAAATTTCAAAAGCGTAAAAACTGCAAATGTTTAGTGATTTTGTTCATTAAGCAGTTGCAAGTTTGAATTCAAAGTATTCTGGATTCCCGAATGAATGAAGGTGTTCTCCAAAACTGAGCTTAGAAACGAGGATGCCATTGAAATATTGAGGTTCATTCCTCGCTCATTTCTCATTTTCCAGAGGACTGAGATGGATTCAGACGACGTTTCCTATAGTGGAAAACGTGAATGGCACACACTTCTTTCTCTACTAACAAAGAACAATAAAAAAAAGTTACTAGATTTGAGTAAGGAAACTCTTAGTTTGTTGCAAAAGAGTCCAAAAAAAAAGTGGTGGGGAGTTCCGGGAATCGAACCCGGGACCTCTCGCACCCGAAGCGAGAATCATACCACTAGACCAAACTCCCGATAATATAGGAGGAGAAAATTTGTTGACTTATAGTAATTCTGTCAACTTAGCTGTTAGGTCTCTGCGTTGAAAAACATATCTAGTCAAGTGTATTAGAAGTTGAGATTAAAGTCTGCCATCGAAATAGTCTTTCTTCTCTATCAATGTAGAAAGTGTAAGGCTCCAATCATTTTTTCCATATGTTGACAGGGATCCCATTTTATGTTAGGAAATTGACTTTGAATATCTTTAATGGCACGTAGGTCTCTATACGTCGGTGGTCTTGATCCACAGGTTTGTGAATGAAACAATATTTGGTTGCTATTTATTACAGTTTCAGGTAACAGAAGAGATTTTATGGGCTGCCTTTGTTCCTTTCGGAGACCTCCTGGACGTCACTATGCCATTGGATAACGAGACTCAGCAACATCGTGGTTTTGCTTTTATTGAGTTTGAGTTGCCAGAAGATGCAGCAAGTGCCAAGGAGAATATGGATGACTCGGAAATGTTTGGAAGACGACTTCGAGTAGCATATACTCGTCCTTCTTCTATAGGAGCAGGGAAACCACGTAAGACAGTGTTTTCTACATTTTTGTCTTTTTTGTCATGAGTCACGTATTTAGTATGGGCTGATACTGATGAATGGCTTGCTTATCAAGAGAAAGAGAAGGAAGCAAATGAGGAAGAAAAGAAGGAAAAGGAAAAAACCAAAGAAAATACGAGTTGAAAAACTGAAATGGACGAGAAAATTTTACTGTATAATAAAACGAAATTGCCATGTATTGCTAATACTATGAAAAGACAATCCACAAAAGGTATAAAGAAACCGCTTTCGTCTATTTCTATAAAGGATAACTCATCTACTGCGGTGCTTCCCTATTCAGAAGCTGGCAAGTTTATTCCATCAAAGGGAATCCTATGTGTTGGCTGTCGAGGACGTGGATATCTGCAATGTCCGCACTGCAAAGGAAGTGGTATTGGACCATACCACTTTGGTTTCTTCGTGTAAGTGTAGATTCTCAATGGAAGAATATTTTGTGTGAACTCTTGATAGAATTCCAAAGTTTTGTGGTCTTTGTGGAGTAATGGGTTCTCTGTTATGTCCTGGTTGCGATGGTACTGGCTATTACGTTATGAGGACACCTGATGCAAGCTTCCTTCGAGATTTGCTTTTGAAATTAGGCTTACTTGATGAAGAGAAAGAACGTTTAAAGTTTCTTCCAACTTTGGATAATTTGAAAAGGTTAGGACTAAGATAGGAAAAACGAGGAAGAAGAATAGAGCGCCATAACTTGCTTAGTTTATTTATGAGGACAAACCGTACAAGTCCATCTTTCTTTCCTCTCATATTTTTTTGGGAGTTTATACTGCTTTGTATGAAAGGAAACTCTGTTGTTGTGCCCGATAAGTTTTTTGGGTGGATGGTGGCTACTTGATGAAGCAAATGTGAAAAATTTTGCAAAGTAAAGTTGTTTTCTAGTTACTCTTGTGAAGAGTTTGAAAATCTCGTTAATTACGGGATTTTCTGGAAAGAGGCCAAATGATGATGAGCTGCCTTGCAGTGAGTCTCTTACAGCTTAGCAATCTAAGCCAAGACTGGTCACGTGTGTTTAAGTTATTCATTCTCGCAGCATTGTTTTGGACTGTGTTTAAGTTTCTAAAATATGTATATCCATATTGGCGTTTTAGAAACATTCCAGGACCACCTCCCAAGTGGCCTGTAGGCAACATTTTTGAACTATTAAGGAAACCAGGACAGGAACACCGTATCTTATTACAGTATGCGAAGCAATATGGTCCTACTTTTCAACTTTGGTATCTGAACAGACGAACTATTATTGTTGCAAACCCTGAAGACGCCAAGTTTGTACTAGCAACGAGAAACTATCCAAAGTCTCCCATATTTTGTCGTTGTTTCTCTCCATTAGGTCATGGACTATTGACCTTGTCTCAGGAAGAACATCCCGTTCAAAGAAAGGCGATATCTCAGCGATTTAATGAAGAATTCCTTCAGTCACTTCATCATCATTTGACTGCAGAGTTGGAAGTCTTTATGGCTCAAATGGATGCCTTGTGTGACACGGAAAGAGTGGTTGATTTGGATGCACTGATTTCTGCGCTAACTTTAGATGTCATTGCTCGTACTGCATTTGGAGTTTCGTTTACCGCTCAAACTTCACAACACCACCCTATGCCTCATGCAGTTTTGACTTTGCTCGATGAGTTGGTGAATAATATGATTTTTTATCCATATCGCTTTTGGTTATCTCATATTACCCAAAAACGTTTGAATGAAGCGATAAATGTTATTCGTAAGTTTTGTAATATGGTGATTGATTTAAGACTGCAAGAGAGTCGAGAAGAAAAGTCTAATCGAGTGCGTGATTTATTGGATATATTTTTAGAGTCTGATGAAACAAGAGATAATGTTATTGCTCACGTAGCAACCTTCATGTTGGCTGGTCATGATAGTAAGTACATACACAGTACTAGAAACTATTTTAACTGTCATTCTTTACAGCTACTTCCCACACTTTATCCTTTTGTATGTATGAGATTGCACAAAATCGAGACATAGAGAGAAAGCTTCAAGAAGAGTCGGATCGATTCATTGTCGCGCAAGATAGAATAGTTCCATTTGATCAAGTTGGACATTTGGATTATACTCGAATGGTTTGGAATGAAGCTTTACGAACTCATCCTGCAGCTGCCAACACTTCTGTTCGTTGTGCAGATCGAGATGATGTATTACCTGGCAGTGGAATTCCTATTACCAAAGGCACGGGATTGATGGTTTCTTCTTATTTGATTCATCATCTTCCACAATATTGGGAAAATCCAGATCATTTTATACCTGAAAGACATACCAAAGAAGCAGTTCGACAACGAAGTCCTTATTATTTTCTACCTTTTAGTAGAGGTAGTAGAAATTGTATTGGACAATTTGTCGCCAATCATGAAGCTCTGACAATTTTAAGCACCATATATAAGCGATATGAAATTAGATTAGCAGTGGGTGCACAAGAAGTGGAAGAATATTTTCGAGTAACTATGAAGCCTCATTGTCGATTCTATGTACAAGGAAAGAAAGATCCTTCATTGGATGCTCATTTAGGATTGCCTGTTAAAATTTATTCGAGAAAATGTTATTCATAAAATGAATGTTTGTGTGTAATAAAAAATGGATAGACAGCGAAGATTGTACATAAATATTCATTCATTTTGTGTTGAACTATGGATAAGATTCAAATGACTCTTTCGACGTCTTCGATGATAAGTTCCTTTTCGATTTCTTTGCTTCTTCTGCAGTTTGTTCATTTCTTTTTTAATTAAAAGTTGATGTCTCTCTCTGATTTCTTCAATGTCTTCCATGAAAGCATCAGCTATTGCAGTTGCAAGTGATTTTATACCATCAATGACATATGAAAATATGAAAAATGATGCAAGAAATAAAATATGATCGTCAGCACAACGAATATAGGGAATATCATAAAGAGAATGAAATCCATTGTCTGTTTCGTCTCTTCCATCCTCCTTCTTCACTTTCAGTCCCTGATGCATCAAAGAACTGTAATAAGAATGCTCGAGATGAAGGTAATTGGCATACAAGTTGGCTTGTGTTAATCGAATTTGATGTGCTCCTTTTCTCAAATTGTGAAGAATGGGAGGTAACTCTTCTCTTCCTAACAAAAATTCTGTTAAACTATGCAGCATTTCATTTCCAACCACACCAAATCTTTTGGTTCCAGTATTCAGAGCACGATGTATCATCCAATAGAAGCCATTGGAATGTCTCTCTTTCATTTCTTCTTTAGGATTGAAAGTAGAATATCTACTCATTCCTTTCAAGGAATCTAACTTTTCCCTATCAGTATTGTCTGAATGATGTGAGGATACTTCACTCATTGGCGTTGGAGCTGAAGACAAGTCTCTCTCCATGCAAGTAATATCATCACATACTGCTGTACTTGAATTCAGTGTTTCCTCTGTAGGAATATTCTTGTTGATTTCCTTGTTGATATGATTCTGCGGTATTTCCGTATCATGGAAATGCTTCGATTCTATATCCGATCCTTGTTGGAAAATATCTCCCAATGCCGATAATGCAGCTTCTACATGAGGCGAATCTTCGGAGACGAAATGGTTTACGTGACTTGAAATCCTTTCTTCTTCAGTTTGTCTGTGTGAATTGTGCTTCTCCGTGTAAAATATTTGTGTTCCTATATGCTGAAATTGTTGTTCCATTTCATGAAAGAAATGAGATAGACCACCTTGCATTACTTGGGATGCTTTCCAAACTTCTTCTTTTCCTTTACGAGTATAGGATAGTATTTGTGCCAATTCCTTCTCAGCATAACGATGTACACCAGAATATAACGAACCCAAGACCTTGGATCCTGTTTGTTCAAAATAATCTTTGGATAACCATGCAGCAGTAGCAGTATTTCGAACAGAGGCATACCCAAATTCTCTCAAAAATGCTAATGAAGTAAACGGTTTTCCTTCCATGATACAACTGACTATGACTTGAACGAGTTGCTTCTTCATTTCTTGCAGAGCTTGGATGGATTTAAGAAGTGGTTTGATAAACAAATCATAATGTCCATATTGAAACTGACCAGTCAAAAATGGTTCATATTCTAAAACAGTAGAAAAAGCAGTCAATCTGGCAAGTAACATTTCTTCTCTTTCTGCAGTTACCGCAACTATTCTCGGAATAGCATGTAACTTGGATGCAACTCCATTCTGAACACTTTGGATCCAAGAAGCACTGGATTGTAAATCGCCCAAAATGGAAGCTCTCCAATCAATAAGATTCTTTTCTCGTTTGCCTTTTGACTCATTATCATCAATATGAGGTATTCTATTTATGAATCTATTGGATGTCGTGTTAGGCTCCAACTCGTTTTCCTTATGACTACAACAACTTGTTTCTTCTTCTACTAATAAAACATTCGCATCCTCTCCATAGTCCAAAGGTTTCACTTGAATGATCCCACTCACAACTGTACCTTGACTATGATATCCAACTGCCCTAAAATATCTTGACAATAACCAATTCTGCCAACTATTCATCTTTTCCATAGCAGTTGCTAACCGCTGTCTAGCTTCCATGAGTGATGAATGTGGAAATATAAATTCACTAAATACTATTGCAATAACAATTCCCAAAGAAATGTTAACAAAACGTGCCAAAGGATAATGCCACACAGCTTTGTATTCAGTTGGACTATATTGATAAAGTATCATTGTATATAATGTTGTACAAGTTGTCAACAAGGCTACATAATAAGGACCATTCATAAAATATACACACACTGTTGTAACAATTACAATAACTGCAGCCAATCCATAAGGTTCCATTGCGGAAGCTTTCCAATTCATCAACAAGAAACCAATTACGCAACCAGAACCACAACCTAAGATGGTGATCAAACCACCAATAAGAGTTCCTTCCACTGTAGGAGTAAAATAAATCATAAATGACATCCAAAGCCAAAGTCCATCAAAATTGGTAACATACTTATAAAGCGGCGTGGTCAAAAAGATAATAATGATAATCATCTCACCCATCCACTTTTTCATAAAGTAATGAAATTCCATACAATTCAAAAGCGCCATCCATTGAGAACGCTGTCGAGGAAAACTCTTTATAATATTAAACCATGTCTCGAAAGACCAAAATAAACTTCTCGTCCAACCAAATAAATTAAGATATCCTACCAAAAAGTCAATTTCTCGCTTTCAGTATAACAACTTTGCTTACCTCGTCTTAGAGATTTTTCATGACGAGCAACTATCAAATGGACCACCTCTTCTTCCACATGAATGCAGGATTCCAATATTGATTTGGATAACACTATGACAAACATAAGTGGCCCCAACTCAAGTGCAGTTGATTCAGCTCCTAAACGACTAGTGGTATCCCAGTACCTTATATAAGCACATTGAAGACGGTCTCTTAACCGATTCTGAATATCTTCCAAACGTAAAAGTTGTTCTCTTGTAATATGCATTACATTCAGTTGTTCCGACATATTCTTCATACAGATACATTCTCCAGTTTTCTGACAAAATGTGGCCAATATCGCAAACATTTCCTTCAATATCGGAACCATATCATACCATCTCATTAAAGTATCTGAAGTATACTTTCTTCTTCCTCCATCAATCACAGAACGCAAGGAATCCACTTTTCCAATCAAGTCTTCTGTAGCATCTAAAATACGTCCCCAAAGTGCTGTAGGTTCCTTCCTAAGCATTTGAGCAATATTGGGTTCAAAAGTAGAATAAGTAACCAATCTTCGAGCGCGAGAAATATTTGCTCTAGCTGCTATCAAGTGATGACCTTCCATGACTGATTCCAAAAACTTCAAACTATAGGAACAACCTGACATCCAACCTTGTTTGAAAGGGTCTATCACTTGTAAAGAAAATGAACCTGACGGAGAAGAATAACTATCCAATTGTGTTTCCATTCGAATAGAGTCTGTTTCTTGAAAACTATTTGGAACTGAAAAAGATCTTTCCATATTTTCATCATTTGCAGTGTCTTGGAATGCACTGCCTTGTAATTGATATACCGAAACTACAGGATCCAACAGAATGGAAGAAACTGAAGAGACTGAAGCTCCAACATTTCTAAGAGCATCTCTAATACAGATTTTCATGTCCCAAGCAGAGAATCGTGGAAAGACGAATATAGCTGGTATCAAAGAAAACAAAAGGGATAGACCAGAGGCTACCAAAGTAATTCGCATAGTATACAGAATACTTTGATTTCCTAGTGTTCTTGTGTCCAGCAGGTTGAAAATAAAGTTGATTTCTCCAGTATAATATACCATTCCTGCTACTCTAGGATCTGAGTGAAGCATAGTAAATAGAGCAGTACCTATCAACGCCACTACGATAGTTATACCAACGCTTTCTCGAGAAGCAAAAGCTCCCAAAGCACCAAAGCACGCACCAAATACCAAAGCAACTGCTGTTAGACAAGATGCTTGTATTACTATACCCAAGTGCAACTCTTGAACGAGGACGGTGAGGTTAATTATATAATAGATTACAGCAAGAGGAGCATCTGGAAACACTGAGAACAGTTTTGGAACAAAGACAAATAAAACTGCAAATATGATACCAAAAAAAGAGCGCACAGCCATTCGGAACGGAACGGAACGAAACCAACGTGCCAAAAAGTAGTGCCATCGCTGTAACTTTGTTGCCTTTTTCTGTAGCCAGTATTCTGTGGCAGATAAGTGCTTGTCAGAAACTTGTTTTCCATGAACTTTTTGAAAAAGTTTTAATATAGCCCAGTCCCCAAAAGTTTGTTCATAAAAGTTGAGACGCTTAGTTTCCATGCCTGGTTATGATTCAGTCAACCAAGAACATTCTCTCCGCATTCTAAAGAAATCCGTTGGTCTCTTAAAGATTTCCATAAGTTGTGTTTCGTATTCTCAACCGACACTTTGATTTGGACAGCTGTCTATCTTTGACAGCAATATTTGTGTTTGCTTCATATCCTTATCTAAGAAACTAGCAAGTTCATCTTGAGAATCATGTAATTTGAGTATGATATTCTTTGAAATGATTTTTCATTTAGAACTTTACCTCCCTAACATAGTAATATATATATATATATATATATATATGTATGTATATCGTATTGTACTGCATTGGAATTTGTTTCGAGGGATATCTATACACACAATATTTTGGTGAATGTTGCGTTGGGCAAGTTGGTTCTTATTTATTGGCTCCTGTTTGACCATATGGTGGTCAGGAAAGGAACATATTCAATACACATTGAAAGGCGTTTCAAATACGGAAAGACGACCTTCCTTCTGTGAACAGCTCTGCTCTATTCCAGGTTATCAAAGCGTGTACGTAGAGTGGAACGAATGGTCCAAGTTGACACAAAAGGAAAATATTTCAAGTGGTCCCCTCATTGTACTATTTTATTTGCCAACTTGTTCTTTTTCACGTAACTTTTGGCCAAAGATTGAAGCTTTGGCTAGGGCGTTTCCTTCTGCTTGTGTGGTTACTATTCGTACAGGTTGGGAGACACCACGTTTAAAAAACCACGTCGTGTATTCATTCCCTACTTTATTCATTTCAAAGGACGGACATCACTTTCATCGATATCAAGGAGAACGTGATTGGGTTCCTCTTTTGAACACAACACAAAATCTACTGGAGAAGAAAGCTATTCAAACAACTCTCTACTGGCCTATCACTTTGCCTGGAGAACTCTTCTCAGTTAACCCTCATATGCAGTATATGAAACACTTGTTCATTTTCGCAATTTGGTTAGGTGCTATAATAATGAAATGGCCTTTTAGGCGGAATCGAGACTCAAATATCAATACCTGGGAACATTATTTACTATAGAAAACTATTACCTAAATAACTATGATGAAAAGTTCATACGAAAAAGTCGGGTATAATATGTTGTATTTCAGCTTGTTTGTTTCCAGATAATCGAGTTTTGTTTTCCCGAACGAGTTTGATCCACTCTAATAAGGATACCTCTTGGAACATCGCCGTAAAAGACAGTTTCGATAGGGAAGTTTCTTGATACTTCTCAGTAATCTGCCTCAGCTGAGAAACTCGTGTTTTCCATTCCGTGTAAATAATTTGCAACTCCGTTTGAAAACGGAAACCCAACGCCAGGAGCTTTTCAATCTTTTCCATTTCCAGTTGATTTTCTTTAAACAATATTCGTTGTTGTCGACACCAGTTGGTCAAAGAAGGATTCTCATACCAAGCAATACTACAATGTCCGTGTTTCGAACAATACTTTGCCAACGCATCCAACTGTGTTTCCCAATGCTTTGTCGAATGGTTCCATCTAATCAATGTTATTTAGTCTTTTTCCAAGGCTGTTGAAGTTACAGAGGATGAATTCACAAACCGAAAACCTAGGCCAAGTAATTCTCTATATTTAGCTATACTCATTTTTCCACGTCTCCATTCTTCGCGAATCTTTTGGACCCAATTCGCCAAACCAGGATTCATCTCATAATCAGGAGGCACCTAAATACATCTTGTCATACAATGCTAAACTCAAGTGAACATAAACTTACATCACAGTTTCCGTAGATTGCTTTATATGCTACCAACTCTTTGATTCGAAACTTCCATTCATTTTGCGTTTCCTTAAAATCAAAACCAATACCTTTTAGTCGGCATACTCTTTCTTCATCCAATAAACCGTAGCGATATAAGAAACGTTGTTTGATTACCCAATTGTATAAAGGACGAAAAGTGTCATTTCGAACTCCTTTCTCGACTTCCAAGTGACCATATTTGCGTTGAAATTCAACAAGTTCCAAGAATTTACGATTCCATCTATCTCCTCGATCATCCCATACCATTCCCAACTTGGTTAGTCGAGAATATCGCTCTTGTGATAGCTTTCCTTTTCGGAATGAATGTCTTTGTCTAATGCACCAGTCATAGAGGTCTCGATATTTTGGTATTCGAGGTACTTGTGCCTTCCCATTCCATTTTATAAAGGCCTCATAACGCTCAAACATCTTTTCCCAGCTTTCTTCTTGACTTGGATAAAACTCAAATCCTACAATTTCCAAAGCTAACTTCTTTCTATCAGTTAATTGATTGCAACGGAATAAATCACATTGTTGCTGGGTCCATTTCTCAAGGTCTTGATTGAAGGTCTCATTACTTTGCAGTTTATAAGCAATCCACTTTCGAAACATGGAAAGCCAAGAAGCATCTATCGACTCAATGGTACTTTCCAACGCTATTACTTTTTGTGGATATTCGATCAACTCCTGTAGTTGATCCAGCCAAGCGACCGCTTCCGAAGATATCTCAAATTCAGAAGATAACACTAGCTTAGGGAACTTCTTTGGGTAACCTTTGATGTCCGTAACCTGAAAACCAATATTATATAACAACTTGGCTTGATAGAAACTAATATCTCCTTTTAAAATGCATACACTTTGTTCCATAGTCCATTCTACCAAATCTAACGATGGTTTGCCGTTTTCTTTGCTTACCGATACGTGTCCATAAATTGTATGAAATTCTAACAATTGAAGGAAATGAATAATCCATATAAATATTTCCCTATCAGTCCATTTGGTTGAAGCCTTTTTGGGTTCACAATCTAAAGGAGTATCGAGTGCCTTTTGATAATCTTCTTTTCTCTTCATAACCAACACGGCTGGGTCATCACCCAACATGGCCAACAAAGTCAGCCTTTCTTCATCCAGTTTTTCTTCTCTAATAGCTCTGTGTTGTCTACGTAACCAATTCAACAACTTTCTATCTTTGCAATTTTCCTTATCCAAATCAATATGGCCATACATTCTCTTATAACGATAGAGTCGTTTCCAATTGGTGGCCCAAGTCTTATTTCTAGGATTCCTTTTAAATTCTTCCCACTTCTTAAGGATTTGTTGGTCAGATAGATTGTTCCATTGCACATCAATCTGAAAGTCTTTTCTCAAATAACTTGTTTTATGTTGTTGAATACGCTCTGGTTTTCTACCTCTTCTCCAAGTAGGTAACAACTTCAAATGGGACAATAACTCCTTCTTTTCTGGAGCTAATATACCTTGTCTCAAAAAATATCTTTGTTTGGATAGCCAATCCAAATAGGCAACCTGTTGTTCCGTTGCATCTTGTCTCTTCAAAGAATGATTACTTAAAAACAAATCATAGACAACAGAAAAATTGTGCAGCCATAAAAGTTCTCGTTTTGAATGCTGTTCTGTTAAGAGTACTCGAAAGAGCGGAATCTGCCACGCTTTGGTTTGTTGCAATGCTTCTTTGCTTACTGTTTGCCTTTTGGAGGGAATTTTAGTTGTCACAGTAGAAGAAGTAATGGCCCTATAGTGCCAAGCAAACAAGAATTTATGTCTTGGAGGAAGAGCTATAATAGAGTTGTGCTTTCGAAGTTGACGAGGGAACAGGCAACAACCTGCTAAACAGTCTGTCCTAAATAGACGATAAACAACTCGTGAATTTGTATATATTTCTTCTGAAAACAAACCTGTGCATTTCCCGATAAACAAAATTGACTTTACACCATAAACTATTTCTATAGCTTCTTTTCAAGGTGTGTTGGAAACCAATAAAACCAATCAGCTCAGAATATCGCATTGAGGAAGAGGAGATGGAAGAAATCTAAAATGGCGTTGTTTGGAGTTTCAAGTTACGTGTGAAAGATGCTTGCTTATTCTGCGAGTATTCTTTTTTATGGAAACCATATCGAAAGAACTCATTGCATAGGTTGCAAAAGACTGGGTTCTTTGTGGACCCACTTGCAAGAAAAAAGCCTTATTCCAACCGTAAGAGCGAAAGCTTCAGTAGCCTACTACATGAGAATATTAACAACACGTCAACGCGAAGAAGATTCTGAAAATGACTTGGAGCAATTATCTTTTGTTAAATTACCACACGAGAAACTCCAGCCTGTGGAATATTATTGGTCACAACTTGAAACACAACTCACCTATCATAGTACTAGTGATTTACGTGTCATCAAAAGTGCCTTACAACTTGCGTACCAAGCGCATGAATTACAAAAGAGACATAGTGGAGATCCTTTTATAACCCATCCAGTGGCAGTTGCTAATATACTTGCCGAATTGAGAATGGACCGTGACACCATAGTTGCTGGTTTATTACACGATACTGTGGAAGATACAGAAGTTACTTTAAGTACAATTGAGCAATTGTTTGGAATGGAAGTACGTAGAATTGTTGAAGGAGAAACAAAAGTATCCAAGTTGCCAAAAATGGCAGATATCTCGATAGACAAGCAAGCTGAGAATTTAAGGCAGCTATTTATTGCTATGACAGAAGATTGGCGTATAATCATAGTGAAATTGGCAGATAGATTACATAATATGCGAACATTGCAATTTATGAAACAAGCAAAACGGCATAAGATTGCCAAGGAAACTTTGGATATCTTTGCACCACTGGCACATCGATTAGGCATGTGGCAAATCAAAGCAGAATTGGAAAGATTGGGATTTATGTACTTGTATCCTTCAGAATATGAAGAAATTAGACAATTGGTAGAAAAGAAACTTCCCAAATATATGAGAGTGTTGGAAGAAAGTCGCCAAGCTTTGAAAACTGCTTTGCAAAATGATGTTATACTCCAACAAAGTGTTGCTCAGGTTGAAGTATCTGCAAGAATTAAGGAATTGTATAGTCTTTGGAAGAAAATGCAACAACATGGTAAGGACATTGAGGACATTTATGATTTGGTTGCTTTAAGAGTACTTATAACACCAAAACCGATGCAATTGGAATGTTGTTCTTCGGATGCTTCTCAATGTAACGAATGGAATCGCAAAATGTTGGAAACCTTGGAGAAGTCTTTATGCTACTATACTTTAGGAATTGTACATGCCATGTGGCAGCCTTTTCCTTGTCGTGTAAAAGATTATATTGCATTTCCCAAAGAGAATGGTTATCAGTCTCTACATACTACAGTGATGGCCGGAGGTGCTCAGGCACCATTAGAAGTACAAATTCGAACTTTGGAAATGCATTTAGTGGCAGAATATGGAATGGCAGCGCATTGGATGTATAAAGATAATAGTGTTGTGATTGCTTCTAAAGCAACACGTTGGATGAGTACTATTGTGGAATGGGGTGACGAGATTGCCAACAGTAGAGAGTTTGTAGAGTTGGTTCGTAGAGAGTTGTTGGGAAGCCGAGTATTTGTTTTTGCGAAGTTTGAGTCCTATTCCGATCGTTGTTTGGAAATTTTCAATCTTCCTCGAGGATCAACTATTGTAGATATTGCTTTTCAGTTGGATAGTTGTCTTGGGTTAAGAATGACGTGTGCAAGAGTCCATGGCAAGATTGTTCCTTTTTGGTATATATTGGAAAATGCAGATGTCGTCACAATTGCTTGTAACTCTTCTGCAGAACCTCAAATAGAATGGATGGATTATGCAAAGACTCGCATAGCTAAGCGGAATTTAAGGTTATATTTTGATCAAATGCATACAAAGCAATGCATACAAACAGGCTTTCACATTTGGAATCATTATTTTGATAAGTATGGAATTTCATTGGAAAGCTTGAAAGAGAAGGAAAGGCACAAAATGGTATACATTTTAACAGAGTTTGATGACTGGAAACGATATTGTATTCATCTCACATCACTTCCTATAGACGAAAGGCATCAAGAATTGGAAGATATTAGGCTAGGGTTGGAGACCATTGGTTATCCTCTTCTTCGTTTGAATCCAATGAAATGTACGAATGTTGATTTTTCCAAGAATAGTCTAAGTTCTTTCTGGTTAAGAGTCTTTGGCAAAGATAGAAATGGTTTGCTTTCGGATGTATCTGCAGTTGTATCTCGATCTATTTCCTGTATAAAACAAACCAATTCAGTTACACAAGGTACAGAAGCCATGTTGGAATATCATGTGGAATCGACAAGTAAAGAAATAGAAAACATAAAGTGCTTATTATTAGAAATAATAGGCGTAGAAAGAGTAGTCGTGAATGATATTCATCAAATGGAATAAACAGATTGGATTCATTCTATTGTTATGATTGGAAATGAGTCTGTCTACAAGGATACGGTTTTATATAGGTGAATATTATGACGCTCTGACTCAATATGATTTTCAGCAACCACCGAAGCCTTGGTCGGAATTTTTTCAAAAGTTTTCTTTTCCTAAACCTACTTCTTTATATAGACGTTTAGCAATCAACGCCGAATATTTTTCAGCCAACTATTTAAGATTGTTTCTTATTACAATTATTTTGTACGCTATTATACATCCTTGGACACTAATAGTTTTATTATTATTACTTGGACTGTGGTATAGAGCAATATGGAGTGACAGACGAGTTTGGAGTTTTTCAACCCTTGGTTATCCACAGTGGAAGTTGAGTCCAAGGCTACGTTTATTCTTTTTGTTAGGGTTTACACTGATTGTGATAGGATGGTCTTCTTTTTTCCTATCTTTATTTGTTTATTTGAGTGTTGCTTGCGTATTTATATTCTTTCATGCTTCTTTGCGACATGTCACTTTTCGAGCCAAGTGGAATGAATTGAGACTGCAAGTTATGGACGCTTGGTAAACTGGATTCTAAGAAGAAATAAGAATTGCTTTTTATGAGTGAATACATAAAAATGGTCGTTGAGTGCATGACAAGTATAATAGTAGAAGAGTTGAAGAGACAATAGTCCTGCTATCCTCGTCCACGTCGATTGTAAACAAATAAGCTTGGACCCAATCTATCGAAATATATATAGGAACCATTCCTTTCTTTTGCTTTTTTGCTATCTGATGACAATAAACCTGCAATGGTATTCACTGGAGTTGCACCAGTTGGTAACCATAAACCTTCCAATACCATTCTTTCAGCAATTTCTGAAGTAGACAATGGTCGACCCGCCTTTTTTAACACATAAAGTGCCGCCAATCGACAAGGCCCGCTTACTCCCAATTCTTGAATATCTTCTCGAATATATTCTTTCATTTGATCCATATCCACAGAAACCTCTTCATGAGATCTTTCAGCTACCAAACGAGCAATTCTACTGTTGACATCATCAGATTTGCGACTTGCCCTTTTATTGGATGATGGCATAGCAGCTTGTTCATCTACTGAATGATTTGGAATAGTTGGATGGCTAGTTACTTTGGATGTCTTATTCCGATGCTCCCTTCGAGTCATTCCTATGAAATGAGAAGTTTCTTCTGCAGTCTTTTCGATGCGAATTCGTTTCCATTCCTTTGACATTTCTTGGTTAGATGCATGTTTATGACCATCCATTCTGATGATATCCATATCCTTTTTATCCTTTATCATGTGATTGTTCTCCGAGCTCTTCCATCTTCGAGTAGGTCTCTCTACAAAAGGAGTACATCGTTGACATAAAATATAATGTTCTCCATAATAATATATTTCTTCCCCTTGATAAACTTTGTCTGTAGGAACATGTAAGGCACAATAGGAAATAGGACAAGTTCTACACTTTCTTAAAACATTTTCGTTGCTTTCCACTGCTCCACAACTTAAACAGGCATGCCAAGGACAAATCCAATCGGAGCCTTCCACTATTTCTGACATAATACAGCCACGATGAAAGGTTTTACTGCATCTGGGGAAGCTACAAGTGATAGTTGCTTCCGGTTCTTTGCACCAAAAACATAACGCATTATCAATAAAACCTTCATTGGTCTTCTTATGAACGCCATTTGATTCCATACTTTTCTTCTTTGGAGTGAATTCTTCTCTTTGTCGGTATTCCCATCGTAATTGTTCTCTATCATTCAACCAACGACAATACTGTTGAAAATTGCTCTCGTATCTTTCAAGTATTCTCTCATCAGGACCAGCAATATGGTTCAACGCAAACTCAACTGCTGTCCTTTCCAGTGACTTAAACGTGAGTTGTGGAAGAGCTTCAGGTGTGTCCCAATTCCCAGCTTGAGCAAAAGATACCAAAGATAACAATACAAATTGATCCTTTCGACTATTTTTTAAAGTTTCCTTTGCCTGTACGTTGAATCGGACACATAGAGGACAAAACCAAGCTTGCAATTGAACCAATCCTGTAGCCACAGCATATTCACCCAATATTCGAGTCACACATACTTTGCAATAGGAACGGGTGCAACCAACACAAGTAAAAAATACTTGAGACCTTTGGGATTCATTATTGCAACAAGCACAAGACAGTTCATAAGCATTCCTAGTTGAGAACAACAGACCCTTATCAGCCAGCTCCATGCGACGTTTCTCTATTGATTCAAGACAATTTCGACACAATCTTATACAATGAGAGGCAACAAAAGGATGATCGAAGCTAAAATTCCAGGGAACTAACGAGAGACAAATAGCACAAGGGACTAAATGAGAGACGGGATGGCTGTCCACTTCATTGCCAAGATGAGAAGTACTTGGGATCCACTCTTCCAATAGCCATTTGGGTATTTGTGAAGACTCTAAGGAATTATCACAAATAGACATAATACTATTTCATATAAAGAGGCTTATCGTTTTGAAAACAAAGCTATAAAAATGTCTCTCTTTCTGAGACTTGGTCAACTCGAAATTGTTGAAATCAAAGTAATGCAGTTGAAGCATCTTCACTTGTCAGAGTGAATGATATGGATGCTCTTGAAGAGGTCAGTTGTCTAGATTTTGCCAATGATAAGAAAACTATTTTGGATTTTGCCAAAGGTATAGAATGTTGTTGCTATGGTTGCCAATACAATAGATAGGTTGATATTGCTATAGGACATCGACTTTCTAGTAGTGTTGCTTTACAAGTTGGAAAGAGAGATGGGAACAAGAACTTCTGTTCTTGTAAGTTGAAGCCAATTGAGAGAAATTCTTTCCAACTCTATTCTTCTTTTCTAGTAAATAGTCTTTGTTTTGAAACACGAGACGACCTTGTATATGACTCTTATTTAGTCGAACTCATCAGTGAAAGTGAAGGACTGTACTTTTGGTAAGTTGACTTAGTACAGATGCATTATAATTCCAATATATGTTCCTAGTATGAAGTGGGTCATCTCGGAATATATTCGCTATTCACAGAAGGAAGAGTCGCACTTATTTCCGTGCGTTATTTATATCGATACAACTGCAAGTCTTAGTATGATAAAGTGGAGTGACTGGATGAAGCAGCATGGCCTTCATGCCGATTCTATAAAACATTTTTGGAATGACTTTTATTATTATCGAGTTGTTGATGCTTATGAGCTTATGGCATTATTGAAATCTCTTCATATTTTTTTTCAGCAGCGAAACTCACACAATTGGATAATATTGTTAGATAACTTTAGTTATCCATTGGAGCCTTTTGAATGTCGAGGAAACTTGCCATACTTATTCCTTTATGAATGTTATCGAATAACTAAAATGTATAATACTTGGGTAAGTAATCTTTTCCATAAGGTACTTTGAAGTCTGATGGATGATCAAGACGTTTCTAGTTACGAATATATACTCTTCTCCATTTGGTAAGCGATCGTAATTTTTATTATGAGACAAAGCCAAGGTTTGACAACATATACAAGTATCTCCATTAGAACGTTATTCTTCCTTTTTCGATATACGTTTGTGGATACCCGATTCTTCTCTTTATACTATACAAAACCGAATCAAGATTATCAAATCTCCTCATACTCAAGAAAGTAATCATATCCAACATTGTCAATAAACAACAAACAAATGAAAGTGCCACCTTAAGAGCTTTCTTTTATTTCTTCTTCTTCTTCTTCTTCCCTTTTATTTCTTGGATCGTTTGGATCCGAAGTATCATAAAAAGCTTCTTTAGTGGAACCACAAGCAGGACACTTGAAAGAATCGGTGAAAAACTTAAATTCTCGGCCTTTTGCAGGAAACAAAGAGTAACCACAATTAGCACATTTGAATACGTGTAGAGCTGAGTTTTCTTGTTCCTCTTCCAAAATAGTCTTTTTCTCTGGAATCCTTTCCGTCTCCACTTCAGAAGTTTCGCCTAAACTATTCTTTCTTTCAGCTGCTTCCTCTTTCTTCTTTTTGTGTTTATTGGTATACAATCTGATACCCACAATAAAAACTGCTCCAAATACCCAAAAAGGAAGTGTTCCTAAACTATCAGACTTGAGACCCAACTTCACTTCACCTTTATCAGAAGAAGAGCTTGATAAAGCAACCGAAGTTTCTGTTTTGGAAGAATCCTTCTTGACGACTTGTAATACAAGAGGACTTGTTGGAAGAGAGGCTTGCGTCTCTGTTCTCCATCCACTTGAAATACAAAAAGTGCACTTGTGTTTTAACTTGTATTTTTTATGGTTCAACACAAGTCGTTTCTGGTTTGATGACCAATACGAAGAGACAAACAAAGTCAACTTCATCTACAAATGAAATGATAAGTTGAAAGAATGTTTTGTATTCAAGTAGAAAATGCCACCAAGTCAAGCTCTTCCAAAGAAGAAGGAATGAGAGAAAACAAAACTAAGAATTCAAGTGAAATTCAAACACAAGTTGTTGGTATACCTGTTTCTGGTGTAGAGTGCTTTGGTTCTCCTGGTGAACAGAGTTACACTGGTAAGACCCTTTTTCCCAAGGATGAAGTTACGGAAAGTCTGTACATAGAAAATATAGAGTTTAGTGCTGGTAATCCTTTGTTGGAAACAATAACTGGTGAATTGCACTTGTATCGTTCGGTAGAAAAAGGAATCTATCAAATGTCCCAAGTCTTGTGTGTTTTGGCTGTACCTGCTTACTTCACAGCTGCCGTAAGTCTCGTAAAAAGAGTTGAGAATGATTTTAAAATCTGTTTAGGACTTTTGTATGTTTGTAGGTCCTTTTGGAAATCATATTCGTAATATGCGTCTATTGAGAGATTCTCGAGCTTGTAATCGATATATGGTTCTCATTCAATTCGAATCACTAGAAAGTGCTGAAAACTTTTATCGGGGATATGAAGGCAAGTTATTTAGTAGTATTGGACCTGAGTGTTGTCGTATTTTGTCTGTATCGAGCGTTGTCTTTCGTAACACAACAAATAGCAAAGTAAGGAGAACAAACCATCAAAGATAATAGTGAGTTATTGATGGCAGCATATAGATGGAAACATTCCCTGATGTAGATACAACATTGGAACTTCCAACTTGTCCCGTTTGTTTGGAAAGATTGGACTCTTCAGTTTCTGGTCTAATTACAAGTCTTTGTAATCATACTTTGCACTGTAGTTGCTTATCCAAATGGGGAGACAATTCTTGTCCTGTTTGTAGATATTGCCAGGTACTAAGAAATAACAGTGAAGCATATTATACTCATTGGTTATGTTATATTTAATTAGGAACCAGTACCAGAATCTAATTCTTGTCAACGTTGTGGAACGACACAGTCATTATGGATGTGTTTGATATGTGGACATGTTGGCTGTGGAAGATATGTGGAATTTCATGCTTTAGTTCACTTTAAAGAATCCAGTCACACCTTTGCCATGGTAAGTTCTTTTCAATGGATTGACTTGGCGTATCAACACCTTTTAGGAATTGGAATCAGGAAGAGTGTGGGATTATGTTGGTGACAATTATGTCCATAGGTAAATAGGATATCATTATAATTATAAAAGTGATAAGAGTCTTAATGATAATAAGATTGATAGTAAACAAAACAGATGGGAAATTGGTGGAGTTGCCTTCGTTGCAAGAAGAAAGTCTAGAACGACCACATATTGGAGCTTCATCTTCCAGTCTTCAAGAAAGTGATACAAATGATAAGAAAAAGAATGAAAATGATGATTGGATGGACTCGATTCTCCAACAATACGACTATTTATTAACCAGTCAATTGGAAAGTCAACGAGAATACTATGAACAACAACTTCAACAAGTAGATTTGGATCGGTATGGTGAAGAGTATATTCTTATTGGAATGTTATTGATGTGAAGAATTTGTTTAGTAACCAGAAAATAGCCGAAATGGAATGCGAAATGAAGCAATGTAAACTAGAAACGGATGAATGGAAGAAACAATACAAACAATTGGAAAAAGAGAAGAAAGCTTTACAAAGACAAATGGCTGAACTACAAAAGAATCAAGAAAAGTATAAAGAAGAGAACACATTCTTACATTCACTCAATGAAAATTTATTAAGAAATCAGGTAAGAATAAAGTATTTAGGATGCATGATTTCATAGTTTTACCTTTTGTTATTAGATGGAATGGAAGACTAAATATACTCAATTGGAGAAACAATGGAGACAAGAACAACAACAAGTACAAGAATTGCAAGAAGAATTGCGGGATTTGAGGTTTCACTTGTCCAGTATGGAAACTATATTGAATGGAGAAAATCAGAAAGAATCTGTTGAAAATACGAGTGAATATTCTCATCAAACAGCTGAATGGAAAGGTGGTGATGTGATTGGTGTTGCAAAGACTCCTCAACGAAAACAACATAAAGACTCCCATAAAAGAACACCTAAACAAAAGTAATCATATTCAGTCTTCCTTTGGATGCAAATTTTCATGTAAAGGTAATAAACTATTATCAAAAAACTGTTTTTCAAAATACATTGCTTGAATGTAAGTTTGTAGTGCTTCCTCTAAATATTCTGTTTCACAATAATCCAACAATTCCTAAAACAGCAAGAAAGATAAGAATAGAAATCATATATCATTATTATTATAAAACTTCATACCTCTGCAATTCTTGTAGACTGTTGAAAGTCTTCACTAGCATAAAATGTTATCCACCACTGATATCCTGATGTTCTTGTCTATCTTCTAATCTGAGTCTTCTGTTGTGCCTCGTTTCTTAGGGTTGTTTTGTTGAGATTTCTGTTTTCGTGTCCAAGATCTTTCCTTTTCTGTTCCTCAAATGTATGCATAACAGTTTCATACAGGGAACCATTGCTGCCATACAAGCAAAAGGTGACCAGGACTTTTGCAAGTTGGCTTGTAAGAATCGAATATAAGCGTTAGTTGCACCGGTTGATGAAGCCTCACTGGGAACTAAAGACGCCAACTGCTGACGTTCTTCTGCAGTACTCTTTCAACAACACCTTCATAATCTACTTGAAAAGTGTTATGACAACTTACTTTGGCCAACAATAATAGTTTATGAAAAGTTTCAAAGTTCGTACATCTCAAAGCCAACTCACAATAGGCTCTCGAGAAAGTATCTAAGAATAGCACATCTTGACTTGAAAATTGTCTATAAGAGTGAATCAAACTTTTGCAAGTAAACACAAAATATTCCTTTACTGAAACAACTGGGACGATAGTTTCCCTGAAACCATATCCAAAAGCAAAGGGTGCTGCAAACAGTCGTCCACAATACTTTTAGACTTTATAAAACATACTTGTGAGAAGCGATAAACTGACTGACTACTTTGCATATCTCAAATACTTTGGGCCAACTGAATGGCATTTAGTTCTTGAGCTACTTGAGCTCCAGCCTCTTTGGGATGATAGTGCTTGACGAAGTTGTGAAAATGTCCTAAAGGTTCTAATATAGCATCAGCTTCCACATGAACAAATAAAGTGGATGAAACTCTCCAATGACTTTTCTGGTTCCTTTCTTTGGCCTTTTGTTTCACTTCTTCTGTGATGACAACTTCATGGAAGCCTTTCTCTAAATAACCTGCAGTCAAATACTCCAATTGTGCTCCAACTTGAATCAATAGACAACCATCAGGGACTTTACAAGGAATACGAATACCTTCACGAGTCCAAATGAAGAGTCCTGGATAACGTGCTTTGCCATGTAAAGTAAGAAAATTCAAATCATAGTGAAAACCAGCAACGACATGACCCTTTTCATATTTATCTACATCAACTCCTGTAGGTGCCAATAAATGAGAACCCTTTGTTAGTAATCGAAGAAAGGATTCACGAGGTAACTCCAGTCCAATTGCTAACATTTCTGCAATAGTAAATCCTGTACAGAGCAACTTCTCACCCCATTCGTTCATGATAGCTGGCCAGTCTGGAAAGCCTCGAGGAACTACTGGCTCAGCCACTAGTTCTGGATATTTACTACTTTCTGCTCTCTCACCGATTCTCCACTGAAAACGCCATTTACAGTCTTTGCCTTTAAAAGCTGTAGGTTTATGTTCTGGTAATAGCTGACTTGCATATTCCGAATTGTCTCTTGGCTGTTCCGTAAATTCAGGTGTAACACCCACCTAAAGAAGTATACATATATATATACATATTTCTACAAATGCTCTTTGGAAGATACAGTGAAAATAAACTTACTTGGTAATATAATTGTGGTCTAGCATCCTCCAACTTGATCTCTGTTGGTTGTTCAAAATACTTTTCCATCATATCTAAGAATCGTTCACTGTCTTCCTGTTTCACGCGTGGATCATAAATAGCTGCAGCACCATATTGTCTCAATACATTTGCAAGTGTACGACAATCCTGTTCACAAGTCGACAAGTTTTCTTGAAGGAACTTGCTCAAATCAATGACCGGCAACTCCATTGTTCCATTATCAATTGGAGAGATATGCTCTTGTTTAAAAGGTCGACAGACCAAGTTGTTATTTGGATATATTGGAGTGTGAATATTTTCCAAAGCATAAACGTTGCCATTTCTATAGAAACCATCACAACGTTGTAAATCAAATATTGCCCATGAAAACCTTTTTTAGCAATGAATATTTGCCGGTGCCAAGCGTTTCTACACTCCAACGAGGATCGGTAGGAAGGACGGAGACAGATTGTTCTTAAGAGACTAAAAAAATTGAAAAGTGTCATGTTCTTATTCCAAAGAAGATGTTTCAGAGACTGGCTCTCAATTTGGAAGACGTGGTGACTATTTCAATCTTTCGTGGATGCAATGAAGGTAAATAAGAAGGAATTTTTTTATTATGTTAGGCTGGACTTGTGTTGCATAGGAAAGACTTTTGTTGGCAGAGCGTGGTTATCTCATTTGGACGAAGTGGAATGGGATCCTACTGTGTATGTGAAGAAAGAAACAACGTGTCCACTCAATTCCAATTGGGAGTTAACTCGTAAGCTGTAATATCGATTGGATAAGCGATAGACTCAATAACTTCAATAGAATATGATTCTTCTGAAGTTGCAGCAGTTTGCTTGGCCGTTGTACATATTACGAGTAGTAATCCTTTTGCCAAGTCCTTTGTGGATTATTTGATAGGACAAAGAATATCTGTTGTTTTCAACGTAAGTGTATTTCTTCTTTTTTGGTTCTCTTAAAGCCTTTGAATCATTTTTTACTGGCTTCATTTTCTAGTCTGTAAACTACATTCAATTTCGTTCAGAAACCATTCAAATCGATATTTTTCCTTCTGAAACCTCGAAAACACAAGTAGGAGAATTTTCAAAAGTGACTCGATTTATTTGGTTGGACCAAACGACGAAGTTGTCAAGGCATCGGTTAGTTTCATTGAATCCTTTGACCTGGCAATATCGAGGATGGTATTCTTGCCATGAGAAAACGTTTCGGAAGATTTGTGAGTTTTTTGAGACAACCGCGGAAGAAAATGCCTTGAACGGTTTTATCGACGTCCAAGGAATATTATTATGTGGTCCATCTGGTGTTGGAAAAACTTGCACCGTATGTATAGAAAGGAAACATTAGATAATGAAAAATGAGTCATAAATTTCTCAAGGTTAGAATGGCAGCCAAATATTGTTCAGTTCCATTCTTTGAACTTCAAGGAAAAGACTTGAGTACTTTTGAATACTTTGGTCAAGCCGAACAAGCTTTAAAAAAGCTATTTTTTGATGCAAAGTAAGAGAATGTTATTTACTCGTTTGTAATTGTTCTTTTAAAACCAAACTTTAATATTTTCTTTAGAAGGTGTTCTTTAGCACTTTTATTTATCGATGAAGTGGACAGTCTCTGTCCAAAGTTTCATGAACATTCAGAAAACCTGAATCGTCGTATCACATCACAATTGGCTTGTCTTTTGGATGAACTCCGACAAGGTAAAGTATAATATCGATTCAGCGTTCATTCTTTAGAATTTTTTTTCAAGATACGACTAAGAATCGAATCCTTTGTATTGCAGCTACGAAGCATCCCTACGCTGTTGACCCAACTTTGAGAATTCCTGGTTAGTACATCTAGGAAAGGGAATGTGAAGTTCACATAGTTGAATTTCCAATAGGTCGATTTGATAAGGAATTGGTTCTTTTACCGCCTTCTGAAGAAGAGCGTAAAGACATGCTATCAAAATTCTTGCAGTTCTATCATTGTCATGTAGATGCACAACTCATATCTGAAATGGTTCATCTATCCAATGGCTTTGTTGGTATTGATTTTTCTCAAGTCTTTCTTGAAAGTTTGCGTGCATGGACCATTTCAGTCAAAGACAATCTTTCAGAGGTGTTATTGGAGAAGATCAAAAGTCACACACCTTCATTACTTCGAGGTCCATACACTTTAGGTTTGTTAAATTGTCTTGGATAGCAAAGTTAGTTTCTGATAATTTGGATATGATAGAGATCCCACTTGTTGGTTGGAATGATATTGGTGGTTATGAGAACGTGAAGCAAAGACTCAAAATGGCAGTGGAATGGCCAAGGAAGTATTCTTCATTGTGGAAACATTTTCATTTGGTGAGTATATCGTATCGAATGAAAATCAACTTGAATCATGAATTTTCTGATATATAGAAAGCCCCTCGTGGAATATTGTTACAAGGACCACCAGGCTGTAGTAAAACTACTTTGGTAAGATATCTACTGAAGAATATCGTTATTTCTATTGGTTTCTTAATTTATATTCCATTGAAAATGAATTAGGTGAAGGCAACTGCAAATGAATCTGGTTTGCCTATTTTATATCTATCCGGTGCAGAGTTATATTCATGCTTCCTAGGAGAGTCAGAAAGGTTCGTGTTAATTGTTGCTATTTTCAAGTGGTACTCAAAGGAAGTTGATTAGTATTCTGAGAATGGCATTTGAAATTGCCAGATCTGTATCTCCAAGTCTTTTATTCATTGATGAATTAGATAGTGTATTGGGGAAACGACAAGTGGAGACGGAAGGCAATTTAGTAAAAGAACGTTTATTAAGTACATTTCTTACCGAAATGGATGGCATTGTGTCTGCAGAACAAGTAAGAAAAGAGTTCAAATTCCCCTTAACTGCTAGACATATAATTGGGTAATAGGTCTTGGTCATTGGTGCAACCAATCGTTCCGATTTATTAGATGAAGCTTTATTGAGACCTGGTAGATTCGATGAAATTATACAAGTAGATCTCCCCGATGCTTCCAGTAGGAAACAAATATTTCAAATTTATCTTCGTGGTAGGTTCTTTGAATCGAGTTTGTGTTATAAAACCATATCAAGTGCATCTGTATTTTTCGTACATTAGGAACCGAATTGGATTCTTTCAATTGGAATGAGATACTCGAGTCGACTCAAGGATGGTCAGGAGCGGAAATTGCCAATGTTTGTCGGCAAGCTGTATTTCATGCCTTGCGTCATGACAAGACCATAGTGACGATTGGAAGATATTTGCTTTCTTTTGGACAAATTGAAATACAATCAGAGAGAGAATCATGCTGAATAACACACAGATTGTAGAGAAATGGGACGCCATTGTTAGGAAAAGTTCTCACAAGCGTTTAGTAGGAAAAATTAAAATCAAGAACAAATTGGGATTGCTTTCAGAGAGAAAAATGCAATGGATTGAAATTGACAATGAGACAGATGAAGCGATTCCATTTCTAGAGAAAAATGCTTTCCTTTGGCTTTTTGGACACATTAGAATTGCTTTAATTTGAAGTAGTAAATCATATTCTTTTCCTATTTCAGTTACGAAACGATAACCAACTTTTGTGCGCTCCGTCTCAAAGCTGTTTCTTTGCACAAGAACAGAATGAATGCAAAGTCTACATATCTATCTTTTCTATTATTTGCATCGTTTGCCTTGTTGACTCTTGCTCATGATGGCTATCAACAACCCTATGCTACAACATCATATACACAACAGCCTACTATTTATCCATGGATAGAGCCTTGTTCTACTGCATGTGCAGGATGTGTCTTTTGTTACGAAGTTGTAAGTAACTGTTTCATAAACATTCATTGCTAAGCATATTGATATGATTCCTAGTATCATTTTTACTATCCATTCGGTTTGGATATGCTATATTGTAACAACTTTGGAAAATACTGTCCTATGAAGTCTTCTAGTTCCTACATGAGCTATAGTGCGTATTCTCGAGGTTACCAAGCGACCTATTCGCCTTCATCTTATTTGCCTTCGTATTCTCCAAGTCAATACGGAGAAACAACTTCTTCGTATCCTGTCAACTATGAATATCCTGAATGGTATATTGAATGTTATCAGTATTGCTTTGATTGTCTTCTATGTTATATGGAGTACGGTTTCTATTACAAGGTAGCTTCCATTAACTACGATAATGGCTATGGAAAAAGCAGCTATCCCAGTTATTCTTCTTCGCCATACATGTCATCCTCCTACAGCATGTATCCTAGCTCTTATTAAGTTGCGATAATCATCGATAATTTCATCAGAATTTGCATGATGGTGTGATGATACAATATAACAACTGCAATCAATGACCAATGTCTTCACTCTTTATTCTATGACTTTGAGAAAATAAAGTCAAAGTACTTTTTCGGGTCAAAAATGCCCTATTGCTATGACTAGTGTACAATAGAAGACCGATATTGTTCAATGTTTTCCCAGGTTAAAATCACCAAATCTTGTACACGCAAAGGTTTCTTAGTAAAGGGACAAGTATTCTTAGGTTCTAAAGAGAAACAAGCCATTAGTCAACAGGAAACTCCAAGTTGAAACACAGACCATTTTGTAGTGCTCTTTTCCACGTACTGTAGCCTAAGACGTGTCCATAAGGTGATATTGCAGGTCTACGAATAGGTTCTAAAGTAATGGCATCAATAAACTCCGGAATTGGATTATCTCCATCTCTTGCATAGCCAGCAAAGACACTGTCTTCTTGATCACTGGTTTCAGAAAAATTTTGTGAAGAGTTCACTAAGCCTTCTGAACCAGAGTCAGCAGCTCTTAACTGTGGTCTGCTTCGGGTTCCATGTGAACCTGGTCGATATTCTTCATCATCACTACATTCGGTATCATTCTCGTTATCCTCATCGCTGCTATCTTCCCAAGAGCATTTCTTTTTCTTCTTATGCTTGGCATTGGATTTTTTGTGTTGTCGACGTCGTTTCGGTGCCTGAGATGTAGCCGTCGTACTACTATCTTCGAATTGAATCTATTCTCAAGTAGGACAAGGTCTTGAGAGATGCGAAACTTATTTTGTTTACTCACCTTATTTGAGCTCTTGAATTTGAATTTTGGTTCTCCTTTTGCATCAAAATAATAATTATCATCTTTTACTCGCCCTTCCTTCAACAGTCTTCGATAAAAGTTACTGCATTGATAACCAACTCTTCCGGGAATTCCAATTGAAAATATTCCCCATTCATAATTCTCACCAATTTTGCATTCCTTCAATCTTTCAAAGAACAATTTCTCTTCCTCCTTTGTCCAAGCACCATAACGTTGTTCTTCATTCGGTGCATTGAATCTATAATAGTAAGCATTAGGATTTTCATCGATCTATCAATCGTATTGAACATAAGAAAAGGGAAGCCAATCAAAATACTATATGATACTAACCGATTGGTATGCTTTGATTCGAGCTTCCGACCATCCATCCATAGAGCCAGATTCTTTCACCCTCTTCAAAGCATCATCTAAGCGAAGTCTTCCATCTTCCTTCTTCCCAATTCGAATTCCGCTAAAACTCACATGAGTGCACTTTCGACTCTTGCGTTGCCTTTTTAAACCACTCCTATCACCAAGCGTTTCAGTTGTATAGTCATTCATAGAATAGGATCGCTTTGCTTCATGCTTCTTTGCAATTCTCTTTCTTATAAGATGCCAAAACCCATCCGTGGCGAATTTACAAGCAGCTTCGTCTTCAGGGGTATTAGCAATAGTATCGTCATATCTTCTCTCTTCCTTGCAAAATTCTATAGATTCCAAGCACTCCTAGTCTTCATTTTCAGCTTGCACTTTTAGGCTCATCCAAAAACTCCCTCAGTACCTCGTCGGTCAAATACGGAAACAAGCTTTGAAGCTTATCTATTTTCCTTCGATTTTCTCTTTTTTCAAATTCTTCATATCTTCTGCGTTGTTCCGCTACTCGCATAGCTATTATCTTCATTTCTTCCTCAGTTAGCTCATCTTCAAAAACATTCTCCTTTCGGACGGTTCTTGCCATTGTCTCATCTATTTTTAATGTATATCATAATACTTCCAGAAACAGCGGCAAAAAGCATTCATTGTTACCTTGATTTTCTTCAGACTGGTTTTCTTTCTCCTCTTGAGCCATTCTTTTAAGTTCTTCCTTTATAGGGTCGACTCCACCATTTTCTAGCCTTTTCGACCAATTCTCCCGCAAGATTTGTATTATATAACTGCAATTAATGTCCTCTTGTAGACTTTTATATGATGATGAGCTCGAAAACTGCAGGTCTCAGGAGGAGCTGGAAAGAACATGGCTTGAGAGGCCGCCATCATTTTGATGATTATCAAACAAGGAAAAAATTTGACCAATTTAATATTTTTTGAGCGCCATTTGTTTTCAAAATTTTAATTTGACATTTATTTCTTTACCCCCACACACGGACGTATCCTTTTTCATTCTGCAGGCTGCTTCAAGTTTTCGATCCCTTTAGTTACTTTTGCTTGTTCCACATAGTCTCCGACTTTGAAATCTTGAAGATATTCTTGGCCATTTATAGTATAACCGAATACTTGAAAAGTTAGAGTTTTGTTACCATGATCTCAGTCTCCTGCAATCTTACCTGCGTATCTACCATCCAACAAGTTTCTTCCTGCAGGTGTTAGTTCTGGATCAAATAATAGCCAAAAGAATTGTGAACTGGCACTATTTGCGTCAAATTCCTCTCGAGCCTATTACAAAAAGTGTAAAATGCGTGTGCGAGTCTATTACATTTGAAATGAATATCAAACCATAGCTAATGTACCATAAGACGTAAAAGGAAGCACAGTTGCTGCCGCTCCTCTTCCATCATCTTCCAAAGTAATACCATAAGTAGGAGCCTACAAATATTTTATTAAAAAGTTGTTAGTGTATTCTTGCATGAATGCCTCTCACCTCATCTCCTTTGGCAAAAACTTCCAAAGGAATCAGCCTCTTACGTTTTGTCTGCGGATCTACAAAACCATCCTATTCAATGTTATACTCATGAGTTTAATACATTGCGAAAAAGAAAGTTACTAACATCCGGTCCTTCTGGATCACCTGTCTGTATGACAAATCCATCAGAACGAATTACTTTCATACCGTCATAAAATCTCCGATTAACCAAGTCAACGAAGCATCCCCCAGTTACTGGAGCTGAATATCCATCGATGACCAGTGTCACTTGACCCTTATCAAAAAGTTGACCGTCAAGATCAAATTTCTGATTGTTAGCCTTCTTAATAGTCATTTCAACAACTGCTCGTCCTTTCAATTGTGGCAAGTGATCGAACTCCTTAGGAACCTAAACGTATATTCGTTCAAGGTAATGAAAGAGTTGCAAGAGTGTTCACACCTCATACGGAAACTGCTTCACCATATCTTCCTCCAATACGGCAATATCTCTTAAGATATCGACGTTGAATAAGGTTATCTGCAAATCCACTCAATCTTACAATCTATCTTGTGTTCTAAGAAGAATCTTCTCACCTTTTCTGAGTCTCTTTGTGATATCGATTGTCTTAAAGACGGTAACTTGTGTGAAATGAGATTATCCAACAAGTTTCGAGCCTCTGTCCTTCTAGACTCCAGAATATTGGAGAGAATGTCATCCTTTTGTTTATCTAACAAGCTATTCGCCTGCTTAAATTCTTGTTCTATCTAAATAATAACATATTCATAGCTTTTACTGAAAGCGGCAAAAAGGCAATTACCTTGGACCAGGAGCGAGTTCTAATGTCCTTCGGTATCGACTCCAATGAATGTTGTATTTTTCGAATTGTCTTATTTTCAATGGGAAGTGCATTTCGCAATATGGCCTCTGGATCCTAACACGATAGGTAACTTTGTGGAATATAAAAAGTAGAAGAGAAACCATCACACTTTAACAACAGGTTCATTAGTGCCTGGTGCAAATCTATTTTTAGCGGCCAGTGCTGGAACACTGCCGAAACTCCCGTCAACACTGTTGAACTGAACTGGTATATAGACTCAGATCAGATATAGCTGGGTTTTTAAGGTGGCTATAAACATACTTGGAGAAAGCACTAGACAAGATGCCAGCACCAAAATGACAGTTGCTCTACTTTGTCTATTCCGTTCTTGACAAAAACTATTCTCCAATAGTTTTACAAGATTCTGTAAGCTTGTTTGAAAGTTTCTGGCAATACAGTTGATTCTTGTAGAAGAACAGTGTGCGTTGCTTTGTTTTCTACCACTTCTTGCCCCATTCCTAGTTCACAAGTAAATCATAATAATATCGCTGTGATATCCATTGCTCATACTTGTAGCCATAGCGAAAACACTTTGAGCTATATAGACGAGTACAACCCCAGTCACGAGAAGCCACAAAACAGAACTGATATGCAATCATCTCCCTTTTGTAAATGATTGGAGTAGGCAACTTGTAATCTGATTGTTTTGTGATCCATTGTTTTATTTTGAAAGTGTCGGAAAGATGAATGCTTTTATGAGTGCTGTGTATTCTTTATCAGAGTGTACAAAAACGAAAAAAATTCACAGCGATAGCGGTTCTCTTTGTTCTTCAACAGTGAATTCCTGTTGTTTTACCAGAGCAAGTTCCTTTAAGAGGTCCCCCACTTGTTACAGTTTTACAGTGTTCTGGAATGGCTTTCAGAGATGTCCGGTTTGTAAAAAGCCTTGGCATATTCAGTCAAAATATAAAAGAAGAAATTGTGAAGACTTCAACAGACTAGAGTGGACTGCTGTCGACACTGGTTGGACGTCTTCTCTTCAAGATACTCTTGAACTTCTAGCTGCCACAGTTGCTATTGTTCCTGTTTTCAAAAGGTACTTTTTGAGCCAATTGTTTGTGTATTGACACAAAAAATATTGCAGGATCAATTTATCGCCAGTTCTGGGGTTTCTTCTTTCTGGCGTTATTTTAGGACCACACGGTTTCCGTTTGGTCAAAGACGTTGAAGATATTAAACACCTTGCAGACTTTGGTGTTCTGTTTTTGTTATTTGAAATGGGACTAGAATTATCTATTGACCGATTACGGAAACTCAGAAAATATGCTTTTGGTTTGGGTTCCTTACAAATGTTGATTACTGGTTCCCTTTTTTGGTTTATATCTCACTCTTTAGGTGCTAGTATTCCCGAAAGTTTCGTCATTGGTGGTAAGTCTGTGATACATGTCGTTGTTCATCGTATAATCGAACTTTCGTAAGGCGCACTTGCCATGTCTTCTTCGGCATTTGTATTGCAGTTGCTTGGAGAAAGAGGAGAGAGACAGAGCAAAACTGGGTTGGCAACTTTTGGCATTCTTCTTCTACAAGACGTTGCAGTTGTTCCTTTGTTGGTAGTTTTACCTCTGATGCAAAATTTTCGGTCAGTTTGTATTGATATTGATAAATCGAGTCTTATACGTGATCCCAACTATAGTCATCTTTCTCTTTTGGAAGTGGAGCAAATGTTGCATATGTTGGGAATGACTTCCTTGAAAGCCTTGGCTGTTTTGAATAGCATCGTAATCGATTTTTACATCTAAAAGAGTAGATTATTCAGTATTGAATTTAGGTTTTGATTGGTGGTTTTTTATTAAGGCGTCTTTTCCAATTCGTATCTGGTTCGGGTGATGCCGAGGCATTCACAGCAACTGTATTATTAACTGTGCTTGGAACTGGCTGGTTGACTGGACAGTAAGTACGCATTTGAAAGGCGATCCTAGTTTCTTTCAATTTTTGAAGATTTGGACTATCGATGACTCTTGGTGCTTTCGTTGCTGGAGTACTGTTAGCAGAAAGCAATTTTCGAAATCGTATCAAGGCGGATACTGACCCATTTCGAGGTCTTTTATTGGGCCTTTTTTTCATCACAACTGGAATGAGCATTGATTTGCATTTGGCGTTGGAATATCCAATACAAGTAAATCTGCATATTTGAGTAATATTTGTGGATTGTTTAGACTAAGTTACTGTTGTATGAACATAGTTGTGTACTTTAATCGGTGCCATTATCCTGATCAAGTCATTGGTTGTCATCGGTTTATCACTACCATTTGGCTTAAGTCTTTCCGAAGCAGTTGAAGTTGGACTTTTGCTTGGTCAAGGTGGAGAATTTGCTTTTGTTCTATTTGCTTTGGCAAGCAATTTGGTTTGTTTTGTCTATTGTCTTGCCATTCGACATACTGATTGAAAGCGACCAAGGGTATTTTGCCGGAAATTGTCAATGATCTTCTTATAGCTGCTGTGGTCTGTAGCATGGCTTTGACACCTTTTTTGGCAGATTTGGGGACAAAATTGGTTAGTTCTTTACTAGTTCAATTATGATGGGCTGCTAAGAGACTTTTTGTATCTCAGTCATTATGGATTGCAAGGCAAAGGTCCGTCTCTTATTCGTTTACCGGTGTTTCTTTGGAAGATACTTTGGAAACTCCTGAAGATAGCAGTTTCAATGGTATGATTCCAAATAGAGTAAAAACAGAAAGGAAACCAGTCGTTCTTTGTGGTTTTGGTCCAGAAGGAAGAATGATCGGCCGTATGTTGATGGAGAAGAAGATAACATTTATTGCTGTTGATAAGAATAAAAGTGTCATAAGAGATGCTTTGGCAGAAGGTTGAAAGCCTCTTTTAAAACCGACTTTTACTGGTTTAACTGTATTTGTTTGATTTAGGCCTTCCTTGTATTTATGGTGACTTGTTTGATCCGAGCTCTCTTCGTTCCGATGTGTTTGGCTATCCTGATGTTTTTGTTATAACAAGTGACGATGTAAGTGAAAAATATCTCCTTTCCTAATATGGTTTCTAAATGGTGTATGTTCAGATCGTTGTGGCATCGAAAATATTCCAATCGATTCGCAGCACATTTCCTGAAGCTCATACGTTTGCATTGACTCCCTCTGTAAAACAGAAAAGGCAATTAAGATCTGTGGGTGTTGAGTTTGTGTAAGTTATATATGAAATGTACTGTTTTTGTCGAACCGATTCTTGAATCTCCAAGGTTTTCAGAAAGCTATGAGGCTTCTATACAAGTCGGTGGAGCTGTTTTAGAGTTTCTTGGACTCACGAAATCTGATGTTCTGGCGTTGAAGCGTTCAGTAAGAATTTTCGAAACCCAGTGTTTAGTAATCTTTTATCTCATATGTACATGTAGTATCGAACCAGTGAAACTGTGCAGGAAGAATTTGCCAAGGTGGAAGAATTCAGCGAACGTTTGAGGAAAATAACGCAAGAAGACCATCTCCTTGACCAGAACAACCTTAGTCATCATCGCAGCTATAATATGTCAATTGCAAGAAAGGATGGAGCTACCGAAATCATCAATGGATCTTACCAAGTTGAAGAAGGGGACAGCGAAGAGACAGCTGTCCATTTGGAATCGAATGAAAAATGAAAGACGCGCCAATTTTACCATTCGTGTCTCACCTAAAGAAACTATGAGGCAATATGCATCTCATTCGCATCAAAGAGAAAGACCACGAAACTATAAGCTACAGTCAAGCGACTTTTTTAAAGAGAAACAAATAGGTATATATGAAGGCTTGAAGTTCTTGAGCAAGAAATTTTCCCGTGGTCAGCCTTCGAGTAAAGCTCTCACTCGATTTTATGAAGTGAGTTTGAACTTGAACGGATTAGTAGAGAAAGAAGCACCGAATCAAGAAGATACTGCAGAGCGTGTTAGCGAAGTTGTATTTATTCTAGGCACACTAGGTGTTTCAGATTTGAAAACGAAAAGGATTGAAGGGTTATGTGACAAGCTTCTTGTCAAAGACGATATTGCAGTTTCTATTCTCTTTCTACTATTACAGTTGACGAGTTATGAAAATATTCAGAAGAGGGAACAGGAAACTTCTTTGGAACGATTCTTCAAACGAAAGAGCCACCGTCGAACGATGACACTAGCAAAGGATACATTTAGGAAGGAAGCTCTCTATGACCTTGTTAGCGAGCCCAAAGACTTGTCCAAATTTCACTGGAGACATAATAGAAAATTTAGTTTGCAACTTGAGACTCTTGCAGAATCGACTGGAGTCTCTGAAGAGCTACAAGATCATATTGGATCGTCATATGCTTTGTCACTGCGTTCACAACCATTTCGAAGAAATGCCGTCACAAGTTGCTCGAATAGTCACTCTATCAAAGACGTTGGAAAGGATTTCGATGAAAAGCAAAATTTGGAAGGAACTTCAATGACCCTTCCAAAGAGTATATTTGATTTTACTGAGAAAATGTATCAAACTCTCTATTGTAAACATTTTGGCTCGAGGTCTAAAAGCTGGATTCCTCCCAATCATCCATTGATATTTGAAAGTGCAATATGGTCATTAATTTCTAACCCGTCTTTTCTGATGCGAAAGAATCCTCTTGGTGGGTTTGAACCTGTTGCTGCACGTTTACAACCTTGCGCCCGTAGTATACTTGCAGAGTTTGGTACAATCGCAACGAAACTATTTGAAATGGGTACAATAATTTCACATTTAAGGGAGAAGAACCATCCAATTTTTCAAGGTTTTGCAAAGGCGTTGTGGGACGAGATGGAGGGATATAGCAACAACATTTTGCCTCTTATAAGAAAGACCAGATACAAAGTCCACTTCGATGAACAAGAAAACCTTCCCATATTTGGTCTAATGCAACGAGTTCGAAGGGTTACTACGCAATTGCATGAATGTATGGCAATTATAAAAGCCCTTATGCCCTATGGGGAAACAGATCCTTATGAAGTACTGCTAGGACTGTATTATTATCAAAAGGAGCACATTGTGTCTGACAAAAAAGAGAGCCTTTATGGACGGTTGTTCTTTAAAGTGCTCATTTCATATTTATTTTCTTTACGAAGAATAGCTCTCTATGGTAGCCAATTTTGTTTCAACGATGATGACTCTAATAATAATTATAATAATTTTGTTCCGCAGGCGTCGATGAAGTTATTTGAGAATATGCTTCCCATGAAGATCAAATTTATGGTTGATAAAGCTGCTTATGGTGTGGATATTTTGTGGTCTATCAACCCACAGCATCCATTTTTTTCTAGCAACCGTGAGTCACTTTGTACAGTTCCCAGCTTTGACTCTTTCGATTTCCATTCCCTTGAGCAGCAACTTGAAGAATATTTTGAGGGTATTTCGAAAACACTGATGGAAAAATGCAACTCTATACACCATCAGAATACTTTTGTAGATACAAAATCTCGTGAACATGAGCGTTTTATAGAGAAAGAAAGTACTTGTAAGAAAGTTGAGCCTGACTCTGACGATGAACTGTCTTGGCTATCTTCAGAGTCGGATGACTTGATGGAGCCAACTGGATTACATGACGAAAATGTTACGAAACTGTCGACACTAGATTCAAGTAAACACAACTGCAGTAGAGAGATGTCGCGAAATATCCTTTCAGCAAATGTATCTTCGTTATGGGAAAGCTCTGTAACTGTCAAGAGCAAACCAACTTCTGTAGAGTGTGAAACTATAGATACACCGTTTGATAATTTTGTCGCAGAATTGGGTTTGTTGTCTATTCGAGGTATTTATTATCATGTGCAACAGTATCTTTGGTGGCTTATGGAAGAAGAAATCGAAATATTTGATCATTTTCGAGCAGTGCGTGATTATTTGCTTTTGAATAGAGGAGATTTTTTTCTGGAATTGTGTCATTCTGTATATAGCAGTTCTTGTAGCGAATGGTTTATGGGAGGAACTGAAGCTGAAGCTAGATTACATTTGGCCTTTGAACAAGCTATTCTAAGCTCATCAGCATCATGGGATTCTCGTATAAGATACTTTGAATTTTTAATGGACAAAGATGGGAATTCAGACAACACAAATGTGTATAGTCAAATATTACTTCAATGGAAGCCTTCGAATCTCGTTGAATCGGCACTTTTTGATTCTTCTACGTTGGAAGTTTATTCGCACATCTTTCATTTTGCTTTCAAGTTGAAGAGTGCAAGTCATATATTACGCCAGCTTTATTCAACAATACCTCTTATTCCGTTGCATTGGCAAGGTCTTCAAAGGAAAGCACAGATATTACGATTTCAGTTGATGCAATTTGTCAATGCACTATTACAGTTTTACGAGCATGGTTTACTTGAAGGAAGTTGGTTTCGCTTTTTTCGAGAAGCAAACAAGTGCAATGATATTTGGCAAATGAGGAATCTTCATTTACAGTTTCTAGATGAAGCGTTGAGTTATATTTTTGGGAACCACAATCCTCTTGCATCCGATGTCAATCGCATTCTTGAAGAAATTATAATTTTCGAACTAGACACAAGGAGGGCTCTTCGTAAATCGAACGTATCAAACATAGCCGTTCTTGGTAGAAGAATAGAAGGTCTATCATTTATGCTTTACCAATTCTATGACAAAGTTCTTTTGTCGGACAAGAAGATGAAAGTTAGAACTGCGGAGTGGACAGTACTGATAACTTACTTTGGTATCAATGGGGAATGAACAAAGTATTTTCAGGTTTTTAACACTCTAGTTGTATTTTGGCTGTTTTTACAAGAGACGTTTATTTTGAACATAGATGATATCAGTTGAGACTTTTTTCTCACATAAAAAATTTAGGATGCACTCAATAACCTTTGGTTGAAACAGCAGACTATTATGAGTTCCTCGTACAAGTAACCGATAGTGAGGTTGACCGAGCATCGTTTCTTCAACTTCTAAAACTCCATCATTTCTTCCTTCCAGTAGGGGATTTAAACGACCCTACCAACTATCGTAAGATGGTCGCTCATAAGTTGAAAAATGATCTGTTTACCATTTCCGCTGCAATGACTAATATTGAAGTGGAAGATGGAAAGTATGGCATGTCGTCGAACTCTAACGATATGGACTTGTTATTCTTTACGTTTCAAGACAATAAATTTACCTTGAACGGACATAGTCATGAGCTGTCGACCTGTACAGTCACCGACAATCCACTTGGAAGTGGTTTCCATCCATTTGGGTAACTTTCCTCCCAAATCTCTGGACTGCAGATATCTTGCAAATTTACTACCTTTAAGAGGTGGTGCTAACAAAACAAGACGTCCTGATTTAGCGGTTTCTGGACAATTTGGTTGCGCTAGAGCCGTGCGAAGTATTATCGCACCAAGCGAATGCGTTACAAAGTGAAAGGTTCGCGTCTCTCTCGAAGATAAACTATTCAAAACGTCTATTAGGTTGCGTGCGTGATTGATGATGAAGTCGTCTCTCGAAGGATAACCAAAGTTCGAAACGGAGAAGCCTTTCCTTTTTAGTATTGTAGCTAAAGGTAACAACTCAATAAAACTGAGTAACGACTGTTTTAACATATTAAAGACCCTGGAATACCTGATATCGGAAGCCTAGGAAACCGTGTAACAGCACAACTCGATCTTTATACAACTGACTAGAAGACTCTGTAAATTGTCTACAGTGAATCTTGCATTTTAAGAAAAGCTTTTGATAAAGCCAAGTTGAGTAAGGTTGAAACTTTCTTAATATGCATATTTCTTTCCATCCAATCATTGCTTCCATTTGGTTTTGGTAAATGCATTTATCTTGTGAAGTTGTTTTATTTGGTTTTGTTTGTTCCGTTCACCGTTGTCATGTGGGAAGTTTGACACATTCTTTTCGCACAAGTCCTTTTGTGGCTAGACCACAGAGGTCGTTTATTGAAGGAATTCGAATATGTCAAAGGAGAAGTCGTAGGATATTTAGGAAAATTGCAAGAATAGAACATTCTGTTTTATATATGAGCTCAGAAACAGATTTATATGGTCATGATAGGAGAAAGAACAAGTCCCATGTACGTTCTAAGCCATTTGCAACACATTCAACAGCCGAAGATGGCTTTGTTTTGGAAGAGGAAGAAGAGTGTGTCGAAGATGCCGAGAGTTCAAGTAGTTCACGTCTTCCTGGTTGGTCTTTGCCTTTGTTTATAATATACGTTTCTCATTCTTTGTGTGCTTATGCAGTATTGCTATTAGACAGACCAGTTCGTATTGATCAGAAAAGGAGATTCAGTTGGAACGATTTCTTTCTGGTGTTGGTGTTAATAGCTGTTGTGTACGCAGTTGTATCGACTTTTTCTCACGTATTTACTGGAATATCTCCATCGGAACTTGCCATAAGCACAAATCCAAAATCTCTGCCTTGGCAAGTATTCTTGTTTTGTACTCTTCTATCATTAGGGTTTACTTACTTGTTAAATAGGTATGCTTTGCAGAGTACTCTTCGCATTTCTTTAGCATATATTGTTTCACTTCTTTTTGCTCTTGTTTATGCTTATCTCGCCTACAAAGTAGAATTTGCAGCACAGTTTCTATTATTGGTATTGGATATCCTTCAATCAATTCCTCTGTTATCTTTCCTTCCAGGAGTTGTTCTTGGTATAATCTACATTTTTCCTGGACAGAGAATAGGCGAAGAGATTGCTGCAATATTGTTATTGTTTACTAGTATGGCATGGAATATTGTTTTTTGTTTCTATCAAAGTCTTTGTGGCATTCCGAAAGATTTGAATGAAGCAGCGGAAATATTTCGTTTGAATCCTTGGAAACGTTTTTGGTTATTAGAATTGCCATCAGGTGCTATTTCTCTTGTCTGGAATTCTATCATTTCAGTAGCTGGTGGCTGGTTCTTTTTAATAAGTATTGAATCTTTTATTTTGGGAAATCAAGACTTTCGCATTCCGGGTTTGGGAAGTTTCCTGGCTGTGGCTGCCAACGAAGGAAACTTTCGCTCTATCTGGTTTGGTCTAGCAACCATTATTTTGGTTATTGTTGTTCTTAATTATTTAATTTGGTGGTAAGCTTCTTTTCATATGTCTTAATTCTTCTATGTCTCATGACAATGATCATATAGGCCTCTGATTGCGTGGACTGAGAAATTCAGCTATAGCTATCAAAGGAATGCAGAAATAAGTCGATCTTCTGTACTCAACTTTTTACAACGTTCATCTTTATTACGCAGCTTTCATGACCGATTCTTTGTACCTTTCTGGGATTGGTTTGTGAACTTGCAGTTGAAACAAGTTGGAACAGAACCCTACATGTCTTCCAATGTAGTTGAGGTGGATCGATGGAAACGAAACCTTCTGAAGGTCATTCCCTCTCTATTCATTGGAGCATTTTGGATATTTACTATTATTGGCGTCTATGCGGCTTCAAATGTATTGCGCAGTTTAAATTTGCTTATTTGGAAGAAGTTGTTTGTAGCATCCTTGTTGACATGTGCAAGAGTAGTTGCAGCCCTTGCATTATCGTTAGTAATAACTGTTCCAGTAGGAGTCATGATTGGGCGGAATCAAAGACTTTCTGCTTATTTACAACCGATAGTGCAAATTGCTGCTTCAGTTCCAGCTACTGCATTATTTCCTTTTCTTGTATTGGCACTTACTAGGATTGGTGGAGGTTTAGAGATGGGTTCTATAGCCTTGATGATGTTGGGTACGATGTGGTATATTTTATTTAACGTTATTGCTGGAGCACAAGCCATTCCTTTTGAATTCTTCGAAGTCGACCAAATTTATGGAAAAGGTGATCGTTTTCTTAGATGGAGAACTTTGATTCTTCCGGGAATTTTTCCTTATCTAATCACTGGTATTGTGACTGCAGTTGGTGGAGCATGGAACGCTTCGATCGTATCGGAATATGTAAATTTTCAAGGAACACTTGTAAAGACTGAAGGTTTGGGAGCTATCATTTCTGAAGCAGCAGCTACTGGAAATTATCCATTATTATTAGCCAGTACAGTAGTAATGAGTGGTTTAGTATTGTTGACGAATCGTTTGATTTGGAATCCATTATATCGATTAGCACAAGAGCGCTTTCGTATTTCTTAGATAAGTGAAAAGCATTGGATGTGGAATATCGACTTGTTGGCTCATATAACTTTGTTTGAAGAAGAAATTTATGACTATTTATTCTTGTTTTTTCTATTTTTAGGTGCAATTACTTTTCCACTTTTATTGGTTGTGGATGCTCCTTATGGAAAGTTGTTTTCTTCAAGTTGGGGACCGACCGTTCGAACAGATGTTGGTTGGATAATACAAGAAGCTCCTGCCTTTTTCTTGTTTTTATTATTTGCTCTCAAAAGCTATAGTCGTTTGCAAGAGCCGGCATATATGTTGTTATCCTTGATGTTTTTGGGACATTATTTACAACGTGCGTTTATTTTTCCTCTCCTCATGAAAACACCAGGAAAACCAACTTCTTTGATAGTTGTCCTATCAGCTTTGGGTTGGAATGTGATCAACGGGTATTTGGTTGGAAGAGGACTCTTTCATTTTGAGGCTAAACTTTCCAGAGATTGGTATCGAAACCCTATTTTTATAGTTGGAGCGTTGTGCTGGTTATGTGGTTTTATTATCAATTTGCATAGTGACCATATTCTTCGGAATTTAAGGAAGCCTGGTGAGAAAGGTTATAAGATTCCTCATGGAGGTCTTTTTCGTTGGGTTTCTTGTGCAAACTATTTTGGAGAAATGGTGGAATGGTCTGGTTGGGCATTGGCTTCACAGTCTCTAGCTGGAGCTTTGTTTGTGTTTTGGACGGTAGCTAATTTATTACCTCGGGCTATTCGGTATCATCAATGGTATATTCAGAAGTTTTCTAGTTATGTTACTTTCAATCGAAAAGCTTGTATTCCTTTTCTGATATGAAAATAATAAAAATGTCATTATTTTCATTTTCTTATTCATTCATTTGTTTATTTTCTTGTTAGAATGGATTCATTGGAAACTGCCATCTATGAGAGTCTTGACCCACTCACAACACAGGATAAACGTTTAAGAGCTTTAGAAACACTTGAAAAGGTATTTGGTTTATTTTCGTTTATTCCAGTTGGCTAAAATCCAAAAACACACTCTATAGGCAAAAGCAGCGGATAACAGTTGGCAGTTATGTATGGAAAAGCTCTTTGGAACCAGAAAAGTAGAGGTTCAGTTCTGGTGTTTGCAAAATTTGAGTGATATTATAAATAGTTCGAGTTGGAGTAATTTAAATACATCAGTCAAGTTGTTTGTGCGTGAGGCACTGACTTTTTATTATTTTGGAGTACACTTTGAAGATTGGGACGGTTGTGAGGAAGCATTGGAAAACTGGAGACATTGGAGAAAGTTATTCTCAGAAACAAGTTTGGAAGCCAGTGTTCCCAACTTTGTGAGAAACAAATGTGCTCAGTTAGTTTCTTCGTTGGTTGCTCAAGAATATCCGCATTCCTGGCCCAATATATTTCGTCGTTTGTTTTCCATACTACCTAAAATAGACAATATGAAACAGACCTGTTTTGCAGCGGATATTGAACTGCTTCATAGATTCTTTCTGATGTTACATTCTTTGGACGAAGACTTTATTTCTCTCTCTGCCATACAGCGATGTGGTGAGATAGGGACAAGACTAAGGGACGCTCTTAGAATTGATTGTATTCAACAAGTTGTGAGTTTGGCCATTCAACTATCTCATCTATATGATATGACTAACAATTCAAAACTGGAAGAAGTTTGCTGTTTGTCTTTGGATATTTGTCGAAGATTTGTGGAGTGGATTGATATTTCTTTGGTGATGGATCAAGTATTTATATCCACAGTATTTTCTATGATGATTCATTCGGGAAAGCAGTGTGCTCAATCCATCTCTGCTCGTATATTTTTGGAAATAATTTCGAAAAAGATGAACTTGGAGAGAAAATATCAACTTTTGCATTCACTCAATCTTAATCAGTTCTTGAATCATTTATCCACAGCTCTAAAAGAAGCGTCCACAAATCATTCTGTCGAGGAAAACCCAAGAACCGTAGATTATTTAGAGCAGCTTGGTTATCATGCCTTTGAAGTTGAAATTGTTGCTTTGGTAAATGTCATTGCTGCAGAAGCTCTTGAGTTGATGAAAGCTTTGAAAAGGCATTCATTGTCCTCAGTGGATATATCTCAAGTAATCGAGTGGACTCGTAATTGTTTGCCAATCATCATACAATGCTTTCAAATAGAAGATGAGAAGATGGGTCGGGATACTTTGGAGTTTTTTATGAGTTACATTAACAATTGTAAGGATCTATCTGATGATATTGGCTGTACTTTTATTTTATCCATCATTTGGGACCAACTCATATTAACCGAAGAGAAAACTTTGACAGAAGAAAAGCTTATCCAACTTCAAGAACAGCGAGGACGAATATTGACTTTATTTAAGAATATTTGTCGTGTTTATCCTGCTTTGGCTATGGAAACCATACAGAATCGTTTGGAACAACTGCATCAAGTACAAGGTTGGGATATGCCTATTTTAGAAGAGATGGAATGCATATATTGCATGACAAATGCATTTGTAGAATTGACTCATAAGACAAAAGAATGGGATTATTTCGTATTTCGAATTTTGTCCGTTTTACCTAAACTGGAATGGTTTTCCGTATGGAGTGATTCAAATGCGCATAGTCGACAATGGATAATGGAACAACTTATCATCGCATACGATAATTTATTGAGTCATTCCATGAGTCTAGTTGAGTCGGATATGTCCTTAACTTACAACGTTCTTATTTATTTGATGGATGAGAGAGGACTGCGGAATCCTTATTCATCTAAACTTCGCAATAAGGCAGCATCTAGCTTACTGAGGTTAGCACGTCCTTTGAGACAAATCTTAGCTACGCATTTCTTTGAGCTTATAATAACCAATCTTGAATCTGTCGTTCTACAATCGAGTCAGAATATGCATGCTTCACATATTCTTCAATTGGATCGAAGTGATCATATTGGTTTACCAGAAAAGCTGTTTTTAATTGAAGTTGTTGGAATTGTCTTGGGAAGTTGTTGGGATTCGGGGTTTTCCAGCGAATGTGAAATGAGGCTAGAAAGTTGGTTGTTTAAATTGATCACTACTTTGGAGTCTTGTATAGGCACACAAAATGTCTCTTTAGGTTATTGTATAATGGAAGCGCTAACTTGTATTGCTAAAGGGTTTACATTAGATAGGCAAGATAGAGAGGATAACAAACCATCTCATGGCAATCATCATGCATCGTTACAACAAGAATGGAATATGTCCTATTCCGAACGAGTGGTTTCCAACTCTATTGATTATCTTACAAGTTGTTGGAAACGATGCTTTCCTGTCGTGTTTCAATTTTTACAAAATTATGGCTCTTTATCAGTTACCAAAGAGAAATGTTTGATATTTTTACACCGCATGGTGGAAACACTTGGAGAAGAAGCCCTTCCGTTTATTCAGTCTTCATGTTTGGAGTTGATAGCTTTACATACAAACCCTACGGAACTCACGGATATCTTTCTTTTGATCAACCAAATCATAGTAAGACTGAAAGGACAAGCTCGTTCCTTTTTATTTGCAATATTTCAACCACTTTTACAGAGCTTTTGTCATTATTTCCGATCTAGTAATGAATACTTGCAATACTTTATGGAAGATCCTTTACATTCTCGTAGTGAGATATGGAGAGAAAATATCGAACTCCTTAAGACATTTCATTTGTTTGTCTATCATTTGGTTACTCAACATTTGGAAGATTTACTATTGCTACCTACTCATCAACACTTTTTGTTATTTTGTTTGGGAACTTTAGTGGATGCAGTTTCTATCTCCACTCATAATGTGACTGTAGATTTCCTTTGGACGGAATGTAAATATGCGTGGATAGTTGTTCGAAAACTTGTCTTACAACCTAACGCTGATACTCTGAACCTCGAATGTACTGGTTTCAGTTTGAGACAGTGGATTACGCGGACCTTTGTTCCTTTAAGTCTTCTTTTATTATTTCGATTGGAGTGGAAAAAGTCAAACAAGGTAATAATGATAATTGTATTGAGTACATCCAATGAAAATAAGATGATATAGGTACATTTAGGAATAATCGAAGAAATTGTCGAGTTTTATATGGCGTGCACAACTATACCTGATTGGGAAACGTGCTTTCATCAATCTCTTTCCGAGTTGCCACAGATTCCTTCATCGACATGTCAAGAGCTATTTTTGGTTTGTAAACAACAAGACAAGAAGACCCTTTATGCATTTTTGATCAATCGATTATCCAAAGAATGACCTTTTGAAAACTTCAATTGAATATATATATATATATATATATATATATATGTATATATATGTATGAACACATTTATTTCATGATCCACTGATACAAGGTTTTTCCAAAACAATGTTCAAAATAAACTTGTGAGGACAAGTCTCTCAAGCCATGTCTTTCTCGGGGAAACAAATAAAAGGTATACGGTTTTCCTTGTTGAATAAGAGAGTCAATAAGTTGAAAAGTGTGTTGTGGATGGACATTCTCATCAGAAAGAGAATGTACCAAAACAAGGCGACCTTCTTCATGAGGAAGTTGAGCAATCCAATTACAAACAGAAGACTGTGAATATCCTTGAGAATTCTTGGTTAACAAACCCATATATCTCTCCGTATAACCACTGTCATAATCTTTCCAATGGACTACGGGAGCTCCAGCAATAGCTATTCGAAAAAGATTGTTATGTTTCGCAAAGAGCATCAATGACATATAACCTCCATAACTCCAACCAAAAACGGCCGTTCGCTTAGGGTCTACAAGTCCCTGTCCAATCACAACTCGCAACGCAGCAATCTATCCAAAGTTATTGAGAAACTATTATATGCTATTGTTCTCATATTTACCTGATCATCTACTTCTATTTGACCTAACCTTTGATAAATTTGAGTTTCAAATTCATGTCCTCTATTCAAAGTCCCTCTGTTATCTAACATCATACAAATGATTCCTTGAGATGCCAAATACTGATATTTCAATTGAGCAGTTAATCGGTAATCGTTTGAAACCAATTGTACATGAGGACCACCATATACAATCAACAAAAGAGGATAACTACTATTTGAGCCTTGGATATAATGGGACAGAGAACGTATATCGATAGTTTTAGTCACAGATGCTCGTTGTATTTGTAAACTAGATGGTAAATACAAGCATCCATATAATATGACATCCTTTTCAACTTCGAAATGAAAAAGTAGTGGAGGATTTCGTGGCTATGATACAAAGTCAATTCATTTTAAACCAAAAAATGAAAACTCCAACCTACTATTGAGAATTCCAAAGAGGGATGTATCTGCCGATTAGCTATTTTCCATTTGGTTATCAACTTGAACTCATTGGGTGTCTCTTCCTTATCCATAATATATGTTTCTGGAAACTGTGTAAGACTGGTAGACTGAATCACTATTCTATTCGAATCTTGTCTAAAACAACATTCCATACAGTTCGTATCCTATCCATTGATATGTAATCAAACCATGTAATGAAGAATATACTAAACTTACTCCATCTGTTAGACGTTGCACTATTCCTGGTTTCTTCCATAGATACAGATGCTTTTCTAAAGAAGATTGACATACTCCCATAAAATAGATGTAGCCTTTGCGGTGGTCAACGTATCTGATGGAAGTAATCAAAGAAAGAGAATGAGCATCATCATCTTCCATTGCATTAACTGTAAGTGGTTGATAAAACAATTGACATTCGGAAAGACTATCATGAGTTTGAAAGCGGACTTGACTATAATACAAATGCGCGTATCCACTAACTTCGGAAATCATCAAAAAGTTAATTCGTTGAGGAATTCTTGCCAAGTGTTTAGATTCGATTCTTTGTTGAGGACAAATGATACATGCATGCATCCTATCAATAGAATCAACATTATCATCGTATTTCATCGCAGCAGTCAAATGTTCACTTGGAGCACTCAACTCTGTATCTTCATGAAGAAACAAGATAAAGTCGGGAACATTTATCCATTTTGGTTGTATCTCTTCCCAAAGCACCACACCTTCTCCTAAATCGGAAGTGATATCAAAAAGAACAATGGCAAAGTGCTGCTGAGATCTATCCAACAATGCGAGCCAAAAGTAACAATTACTATATGAAGAAGAAGAAGAATACTTCAAGTCATCTCGATCTTTCCCATGAGAGTGAATGTTCAGCTCATTCGAAAATGAATCATCTGTAAACCATCCAGCACGTACAATATATTCTGCCCAAGGAAACTGTTGATAAATGCTTCGTTGAGGTTTCCAGAACTTTATATTGCTATTCCTATCCTCTTTAGTATCTGAAGGAAATGTAATATTCTCTGAAAACGGAAGAAATAAAACTCGAGGCTCTGCTATGGCATTTGGATCACCCACACGAGGATAACGCAGTTCTCCACATAAATGTCAGTTTACAAGAAATAATTTATAAGAAAAACATCATACCTTCTGCTTCCATTCTAGTATTCCAACAAATTCCTTTATGAAGAGGAACCATGGATTGATCGACTTCCAAATATAAAATACAATAATAGGATAAGTTAGTGCTCAAATAAACCAAACTGGGTGACCACCTGGACGAAAGATATTCAAAGATATTAAATTACCGTATAAAATGCACAAACCAATAACCAGTGAAGCGATCAAACTCTTCTTGCATAATATATTCCGCAACACCACATGAAACATTATGTTCTGAAAAGGTCAAGCGAGTTTCTAAACTATCGTTTACACATAATAACCAAATATCACCATCACGAATAAAACTTATATAACGACCATCAGGACTCCATTTTGGATCTAAATATCCTTCCTATTGTTCATAAAGCTTCAAAAATGGGACTTAAAGATATAAAACTACTTAGTACCGATGCTTGATAGGAGTTGAAGAGTTGAAAAGCTTCATCCAATGAAGAAGAAGAACTGGGATTGCTATAAGAGAAAACATCCAAATGTGTGCCTTGTGGTAATAATAAGCGTTGAGTAGAGGGATGAAATAAATAACAACATAATCCTTCGAACTAAATAGCGACACTAAGCTCTTCCAAATCATTCCAATAAATTACTTACTGAACGTCGCTGTCTTTCTTTTAAAAGTTCCTCTTCTTTTGAAACTTCTTTGGCATTCTTTATTTTTGAGTCTTCTTCTGAGAGTTGCTGTTTCAAGGAACTTTGTAAACTTTGAGAAAGAGGTTTCCATTCCAAGTCTGCGACACTAGATGGACTAATATTATCCTTAGATAAAGCAACATAATATAAATGGCTAGTAGGACAGTCTATTTCAATACTTGCGTCAATCTACAAAGGTGAGGTGAACAAACAACTCTACAGATAACAAAATCACTACAACTCACACCAAGAAAGAGCAAGAACCGATTGTCCAAGAAAGCAAAGTTTCTCGGAATATTCGCACCATTTTGAGCTTTACGGCACCTTGTAAAGTGACTAAGTTTCGGCCTATTTTCAATAATGAATGTATTTTAACATACTTGACAAGATCTTTCCAAGTTTGCACACGTTCCATTTGAAATTCCACTTTGAATAAAATTATGTAATGATTGACTTTTGGTTGCTTTGTTTCGTTTTTTTGGTTTTCCAATGTTGTTTGGTTAGTGGTTTCACATATTCAAAAGCTTGTCGTTGGATAGTACCTTTTAATGATACTGTATCTTACTGGAAGAGTACTGGAACTGGAAAAACAATTGAATCCACTATTCAGAATTCGCTCTTCTCGGTGGAAAAAGCAAAACTTTGTGAACAGCACAGCCTTGAAAAATTGGCAGAATGTCTATTTGAGGACCCTGATATCGTATTCTGGACTCGATTTCTATCCGGAGTTCAACTTGAAAAGTTTTATTTGCTGTTGACTGATTGGTTTGAGAAGAACAGTCAGTGTCCTAAACTTTTTGTCGTTCATGTTCAACACGGTTTGGGTAATAGACTTCGTGCTCTTGCTTCTGCTCTTGCTTACGTAGAGCTGATACCTCACATACCTATCCTTATTTGGGAGTGTGATCACCATATGGGAGCAAAGTGGGAAGATTTGTTCGAAGATTTATCCAATGTAGTGATATCACCTGTAGAAGATGAAAGTCTTTTGAAGAATCCATTTGGTAATTTCTTTGTAATTGATTATATGAAGGTGACTACCAGGCAAAGATATCCATTGCCTTTGGAGTACACCATCTCACAGCACATTTACTGGAAAAGTGCTTATTTATTACATGTTGTTGGTTACCAGTCAGCGCAGATAATCCGTCGCTTTCATTATTTGGTAAAGTCGCAGTTCTCTAAACTGATTCCTATTCAGCCATTGAAACAAGTCATTTTGGAAAACTGCCCAAGAGAACCCTTTATAGGTTTCCATATTCGACAACGTTTGCTTCATGAAGAGAAATTCGTTACGAAGAATCCTCAATTGGAGTATGGTTATTTTTCAGCTCGTATAATAGACAAATATAGAAGTAAGAATAGAGTAGCTTACTTTTGTACTACGGCATCAACGTTGCTTTCGTTATATCCTTCCATCTCTATTTATACCGCAGCAGACTCATATCTTTCGTATGAGCAATTGTTTCATTGTGTACAGAACAAGATTGCAGTGGATCATCGAAGATTATTGCCACTTTCTATCTCTACTTGTGAAAATAGAAGCAGACTGTGTATTCAAAAGGCTTTAGTTGATTTGTATTGTCTTTCTCAATCTAACTTGTTGTTTGGGAGTTTGTGGAGCTCCTTTACGGAAGTTGCGCATTGGTTGAACTCGAATGATCAGTCTCTTGTTTACTTGCACACAAATTTATTTTTTAGGAATGGAAGTTTTAGGAATGAAACTGAATTTCTCATGAATGTCGAAGAGAAATTGACATTCATTTTGTCGTGAGTTTGTGCAATACAGATGAAATGGAATATTCTATTCACAACACTAACTACATAAATGGTGCCATGAAACGACCTTGTAAGATATTGAGATATTCTATTCCTAGGTCTTACTTGAAAAGCAATATTTGATTGACTTGTTGCAAGAGTTTATCGACAGTGCGGTATGAGTAGTCGTTGGAACAGAACAGAAAAATGTGTAATAACAATCTCATTGACAACTCAAACAAGCCATATCACTTTTTTTGTATGATGAATGGACAGAGAATAATATGTCCACAAAGAATTATTCATTTCGAAAATGATTAAGCCATTGCTGTGATTCTTTACATTTGTTAGTAAGTAACTTCTAACGGACTTAAGTCTATCTCATGAAAATTTAAAAATGATCAAATAGCACACTCTTCAAGGCACAACTAATTGAGTTTCAAAGTGAAAGGTATTCTTTTTCATCGATTATCAGGAACAGTTGTAGATGACTTGGTCATCCTATGTAGCAAATAATAGGTCAATGATATAAATCCATTTTATCACTCCCAATTCCTCAAACATTCGCAGTATTGTAAAGACTAGATATGTGTCAGAGTCCCAGTGTAATGGTATCATTCAAAAGATTTTTTAAAGTCTTTCAATTTTTGTCTCATGGAGATTCATTTTCTTTCTGTCTCTCACGAAGAGTTGAAGACTTGAAACTCTCTGGTTTTTTCTGTCTGCTCATCTGCAATCCATTTCTAAATCTCTGTTGCACCGTATATATTCTTTGGTGAACATAAAAAAATGCAACAGACAAAAAGCCTTAGAATTCAACGTTGTAGTTGTAACTGTAAGCAATAATAGCTCATTGTTCTTCATAGTTAAAAACTCATAAAAGCTGCAGGATTTCAAGAACTTGAAAACAGCGTTGCAACCAAAAAAAGGAAATTCGCAACAGCCTTTGGGAAAACTTCTATGGGACTCTCACCTGATCTATGAAGCAATGTCAAACTATTTAAAGGCACAGTTTCTTTTGGATGAGGACTAAAGAGTGGCCAAAACTCTTGGATTCGACATTGAATCAACGAGTTTCTTCTCTTCTAGCAATTCTAGTCTTCAATCTTGAAGCTTCCATTTCGCTGAACTAGTCCTCCAACCTGCTGCTTAACTTTCAAAGGAGCAACATAAGCGAATATCGAGTGCCTCTAAAAATTTGCAGCTTTATAGACACATTGCAAACAAGTCTTCGAAACTTTGCGACTTTAAGAGTGCTACCGAAAGTCTCTTATCCTCCATTCTACTTGAGCAATGCCACATTCCCTTGGGTCATAAAGTTACGGCTCCAACCTCAGCATGTGTTCATCTTTTGGCAAAATTGTGTTTATTCTACAAGTTGGAAACGTCTCGGAATCCAATCAGTATGCGTATTATGTAATATAAATGATAACAAAGCTTTGACTTTGTCACACAAATATGCATAATGAAAAAAATTACCTCTGCTCTGTTGAAACTCTTTGCAATCCGAACAAAATTTTCACAATATCTTCCTCCCTTATTTCTGCATGCATTAAGTCTTCGAAAGTGATATATTTTAGAGCAGAAGCAGGAAGACGCGGGAGCTTTGAAACATATTCACGAACTCGATTGTTATCAAAGCCCACTCGATGAAGAAAAACATTCCAATCAAATGGCGAAGACAAAGAACTCGATGCTGCAACACTTTGTTCGCCTCGTGCGTCTCCTCCTTCCACTTGCATAGCAGTTTGAAGCTCTTCCATTTGCATCCTATTCTCCTCATTTGTTCTCGGTCTTATATTTCGAGTCACTCTTGAAGTAACATTTGATTGCTCCGTTTCCAAAGGTGAAAGATATTCATTGGACATCGACTCAAAGACAGTTTTACACCATACTGAAAAGTTTTTAGAAAACTCTCCTCGGTTTGCTTTCCCAATTTTCCTCAATGTTTCGACATTATCTCTTCCCAAATATATTTCAAGGTTCCTTTGAGAAACAATTACCAATTGCAGACATGATCGACTACTTTCATTCAAAGTTGATCCCGAAGAATGTTGAGTCACCAAACGACTTGCATCTTCAACAATATTATGTTCTTCGGTAGAGAAACCTACAGATTGATCATATCTAGTACATACTACCACAAACTGAAAACGAAGTTGAACAGATGAAAAAGATTCGTCATTCAAAACGGAAACAACTCCTTTGAAAAATTTTTCTGCTTCTTTCTTAATATTTTTTTTCGACAATTTAGTTTTGTGATAAAATTTGAATGAAAATCCAACAACATAACGTGTTTGTCCATTATGGAATACAACATATGCATCAGGACCACTCGAATTGCCCTCTTTTGGAACAAAAATACCACAATGTTGTAAATATTTTCTATAATGGACAGAAAATGAATGAGAGACATTTCTCAAGATGGGTATATCATTAGATTTTGTTGATTCTATAGAATACGAAACATTGTCCTGTTCAATAAAAGAACCCTGGAAAATTCCTGGAATAGCAGAATGTACAATCTGCGAGGAATTAGAATGAAGAAAAGTTAATAAGCGAAAGCGAAAGATCTTCATAAATACAAATTCAAAGAAGACTCCTTTTGCTGTTGAAGTGTCGGGAATATAACTAAACGGAGATAAAGGAAAAAGTTCAGTAGCCTCACGGAAAAATTTATAGTTGCTATGAGCTCGCAATATAAATTCACAACAACCAATCTTGAATTCTTCGCCCAAAACTTCAGAGTAAAACCCAAAAGTTGCAACCAAATCCATCAAATAAGTTGTCGTTCCACATAGAGTAATTGCAAAGTTGATTGGAAAAACTGTCCCGAGCTGATAATTGAAAAGAACAAATTGATATCGAAGAAGGGTTGCAGAATCTAATATCTCCGGAACAATAAACGTTGTTGTCTTTCGTACTACAGAGTGAAAAATATCATCTAACACACTTTCCATATTGTCATCGTTGATAGCAGGTTGCGATAAGTTTGCAGCTTTCTCTTCTCTGCTAGGGCTACTAAAGTATTCTTTACAATCAACGGAATACCTCCTGTCTTCTTTTTTAATAATTCTGCGAATCGATGTTGCAAGCCATCTGAGGGCAATAACCAGTCCTTCAAGGTCTTTCCATTATAAGTTGCCAGCTCAAGATATTCATTAATATCGTTGAGGTTAAAGGGATTCAGTCGCAACATATCGAGGGTGATGCTACTGGAGCGAGCATCAGACATGCGGGCTGAGATTTGAGATGTCCTGCCTGCCAAATAGACGATTACCTTCCCTGTCATCAACAAATCACGTAAAAAGCGGAAAAAATTCCGGAAAGGTACATATTCTGCATCGGGCTCGATAAATTGTTTCATGGTAAGTTCACTATAGTATTTGGTGAGGTCACTCAGGTGGCTAAGTTCGTCTATCATCAAAAATAAATATTGTTTCTGAAATTGTTCGAGAAGCTACTTGATAGCTCCTGCAATATTAGGTTTCTTTACCGTCCTTTCAGCTATCTGAAGAGCGTCCGTGTCTTTTCCATTTTGTCGGTCAGTGTTACAAAATTATGTTATACATCAAAGCCTTTCGAAACCTTGGAAAAGGAGCATGAGAAAAGCTCTCTCTTAGTTCTAAGATAACTGACAAAGTGTTTTCCGCAAAGTGTTTCCAAAAAAAGTTCTTCGCCTTAACTCCTCCCAATGAGCTCGTGTTGCTTTCAGGGAAATGGCCAGGGCGTCCCTCCGTCTCCTTTTGCTCTTCTTCTTCGGCAAATTTGTTCAAAAACTCTAAAAAGTGTACACCGACAAAACTCTTCCCGGCTCCGAAGATATGCGGAGAAAAAGAAACAGCGGGACGTATGTCATTCAAGTTTCCCTCAGTTGGAGAAAACTGGTTCAAATAAGTTAGAATAATAATGTAAACATCTTCTTTTCTATCTATTAATGGTACTTTTGTCATTCCAGGCAAACTTTTGCGTATCTCTTGACTAGTCATTTTCCACGCCGCCAATCCAAAATCAGTGAATGAGTGATGATGATAAAAGGGTGATGAAAGCGATGACCTAAAAGCTTTCAAAGGAGCCGAGAACAAAACACTTGGAGGAGGACAAAGGAGTTGGAAGGAGTGTATGTTTTATTGTTCGAGCGGTTGCTTTATTTGGTGATTGGTAGAACTGATCTCTTTGACACTTCTAGACTCACAATGACAATAGAGAGAAAGCAGGAATATTTTCTTGCTTGTCATAACTAGAAACTTTCTTTTACAATAGACAGGAAATAGTTTTCTATGAGTTTTTGTGGTGAATTAGATTGATGGGTACTCTTTCTATGGCTTGTATACTGTAAGAGAGTTTTTCTACTATCTTCCACACTATCTTACACGCAAACTCCTATATACAAGTCTAATTAGATACAAGCTTTTTGTAAGTTACAGACGAAATACAGTGCGAAACAGAGAATTGCAATGAATGGGAAGTCTGTTAGTTTGTAACCGTTCGTAGTACAGTTTATAAATACAAAAATATCTAAATGAGTTTGGAGAAGAGTATAATGAAGATTGTCATACTGACTTGTCATTAAATACAAGCTGTTATTGATGTAATAGCTACACAAGTTGTCTATCCTTTGTTTGACTTTTACCAAGTTGTGAATATGTCTTATATAAGGATATCAATTAAGGCTTCAAATATAGTAACTATAATCGTTCATTTTCTGCACATCGATGCTGAAAAAAGAGTAAAAGATTGAGCCAAAAAATTATTTTGCTAAAGAAGAAACCTTGTATACTTGAGTCAAGGTCGAGTAGTGTACCAACTTGAAAGCTTCAGCAATCTCCAACTGAAAGCCACTCCATATTGAAGAACTTTTACCCAACGTGACTCTTGGCTGAAAGACGTTGTAGTTCCTAAGTTATCGGTCAAGTGATTGTTGTGGAATGACAATAGTTCAAGATTGGATATGGTTTCCTTTGACTAATTAGAAACAATTCTGTTCCACTCTCAAAGTTGTCCTTTGCAATGCAATATAAATAGAACTCCTCTGTAAATAGTAATTTTCTGAAATAGAAAGTTTTTTATCTGAGTGTCCAAATGGGTAGAGTCACTTAAGATGTCTCTTGTTCTATCGATAGTTGAACGAAGTTTTTTCATCTTTGCAACCGGGTTACTTTCGTTGTCTGAGAGTCGGTGAGTTTTCAGTCTAATTCACTAAAACAGAGTTTGGATATATAGTGTCGTGACTACTTTTGAGATAGAGTTTGAATTGCAAACTTAAATACTTTTTTTAGTATTTGTTCTTATCTTTGCTATGTTTTCTCTTGGTTCCAATACGTTTCATATTTGTAGAAGCCATTCATATGAATTCCAAGGCTAGAAATGCAGTTTGAAAAAAACTTATTAAAAACGAAAGGAATCTAAACTTTTATGGAATTTCAAGAAGCTAAAACTCTTTTTGAGACCGCAGTGCTGGTTCTCAAGTTGGATGAAGCCTCAAGTTTTTGCTGCCATTCCCTTCGTTTGGTTCTAAAACCGAGGAAAACTCTCTTTTATCTAGTCAACAGTCCAAGTGAAATGTACAAACAACCTTTTTCGTTTCAATCTTTGAAAATTATAGTAAAAAAGTTACTAGTCTTTTTTCAACAGACTAGAAAGACAACATAGCAGACACTTGAAGAATGTTTTGAGATATTCTTTCGGTAACCATTTTACTAAGTACTTGGAAAAGAAAGGATATTTTTCATTCTAGTTGTATTCGACATGTATGTATGTATAGTCTATTCATTTTGAATCATTGCTACAACTCTGCAATATTGCAAAATTGACACCAAAAATAGCCTTCAAATGAAAAGCTTTTAGTTTTGAAACTTGTTCAAAGGTTTCTCCGAAATATTTGAAAGATTGCACTAGTGTATTAATAGAATCATTCTCCTGCACACAAGTGCATATCATCAATATCCAATTTCTATAAGAGTCAACTCCTCCTCTTTCTTTCTCCTCTGAAATATTTGCAGACAATAGTGACTTTTGATATTGTGGATTCTGCTGAGAGAAAACTTATTTTCAAAAAAGTTCAATTCAGTCCAACTGAGTCTATTCTATCGATTCTCTTCTCGTTTTTCATCATAGCATTTAAATTATAGTTGAATTGTCTCTTCCAGGTAGTCGACTATATAGTTGAGGTGTTTTTGAAGGTAAACATGACTGTTTAGGTTTAAAGGTTTTCACTGCCTTCTCTTGAACTTTGTAAAAACCACAAATTGTGAACATATATAAGAAAGCAAACTATATAAAGTACAAAGCTGCTTTAGGGCAAGGATAACCCCAATAGAGCTCTTATTTCTTCCAGTACGAAGAAAACAAAACTTTTAAAAGCTCTGCAAATTCAAGGAAAGATTTGTTTAGCTCCACTTGCCTCCTACTTTCTTCCCACTCTCTCAAACATCAGCTCCTTGAATAAGTGAGTCATAATACAAAAGTTATTCGTGTTAGACACTAGGCAGAAGACTCTCGCGAAATATAAACAGATGGATACACTGGTGGAGGCTTCTTTTTAGATATTTGTAACAAGAATCAAAGACAACTCAAAGTTTTGTATAAACAAACTGTCTATATATACAAGAAACGTTCATTTCCATTAGGGACAAGTCAAACATAAAGAAAGAAGAAAGATATAGTCTTATCCAAATTGCTCTAAAAAGAAGGAAAATGTCTCTTTCAACTTTGTATTATTCAGCAGAATAAAATTGTGCAGAGTCAAATTGATATTGTGATTATCCAAACTGGTAAAGGTCTTGTTCTTTTAAATATACTGGATAAATTTCGTCTCCTAGTGAAAAGAAAAGAATATATACGTAGAAATTATGGAAAAATAAGAATCTTTCATTCTTCTCTTGGCAAAGTAAGAAAGAAAGGTGAATCTTGAAATATATGTGCAAGGAGAAGCGAGAGCATCACCACTCTTACTGTTGTTATACTAGTCAAAACTCTCAAAAAGTTCTTTACGTGGAGAACGAACCAATAGCCTTGAATCGTTTGAGGTTCGATCCTCCTTATCGTAAGTAGTTTATGTACGAATTTGTGTCTAGACAAAAGTATTCCCAACCTTTGGTCAGTTTTTTATTATTGTCCTGTCCTCTGTATACTTTCCAATTATACTTTCCAATTCTAGAGTTGAGTATACGATTTATTCTTCTTTATAACTCGTAATCGAACAAAGATTGCTCCTTGAGCGTAATTTGCATGGAAGGGAAGGTTCTAGTTCTCACAATGCAAGCCAAACAGAGTTAGTGTCATTGAAATTGGAAAATGATCATTTTGCATCTTTAAGGAGTTTTCCTTAATTTTGAGTGACCAACAAAGAAAGGTTCTCAGATCGAGAACGAGTCAAAAACTGGTTGTAGCAAAACCCGTTCTTGATTTGTTATCAAAATAGGGTCACAAGTAGTTTGAAATTTACCTTGCAGAGACAAGATTGATCAAACTCAACTCTGTTAAAAGGCTACATTGTCGCTAGGGAGTTGCGAGGACCTTTGTTACGACACTGTTCTTCTCTTTTCACAACAATACTGAGATGTGAGATTGATTGTATCTAGCACACTTATTGTTCCAGTAGCTTTTTACATATCTCCAAGTGGAATATTTTCTTTCATAAAACTCACTAGTCACTCAAAATAATATATCTCCAGTGAAAGGAGAGAATACATAGCATAACAATCCAATTAGAAATGAACACAATGGTTTGATTGTTGGATGGAAAGGAATGCTCAGTGAGTGTTGTCAACGCTGTGGACCTGGTTCAACTTTACTTCTGAAACTTTTCCGAGTTTAATTTCCAAGTCATTCTTCGTTTTAGTTGGACAAGTGAATTTCTATTATCTACGTTTCCTTTTAAGCCCTTCAAATGTTTCTTTTAGAACAATCCATCGAGTCTTGAGCTCGGAGTTCCACGTAGACTGTAGTTTCTTTTTAGTATTTACAACTTTTATTATCTCTTTGGAGTTTATGTACTTTATGCAACACTTGTTTTTATTTCACTTTTGGTCTTGTATGGAAATTTGAGATTAGCGTTGTCGAGAAGAGAGCAAAGACAAAGGAATTCAAGCTGTGGTTGAGTGTTGGTACTTTAGTCAACTAGTTGTTTCTTAAGTTTGTTTATTTCTATCGATAATTGTTTCAGAGCAGTTTTGCGTATGTATTAGCAGTTGATAGTCTAATCTTGTAGTCTGTTGTTGAGAAACAGTCTTTGGGTTGATATTTCAAAGATATTCTGCAAGAACAAGAAACCAGTCAGACACTCAGTTGAGTGTTTTGTTCAGTACACAGCGTTACTTTCCGTATGATAGTTTTTTGTCTTCTATATGACTCTTTTTACGATGGAGAAATCGGTCTGTAGCTTTGCAACAGGTTTTTGAGTGTAAACGATATTTGCACTTTTTGTAAAACAAATTCATTTCTCAGGATAACGTAGGAAGGTATTTTTAATGATTGTTGTTTATATTGTTGTGCTTTTAGATCAATTCTATTGATTCAAATATGTCTTTTGAAATATTATTTGCGGAAAAACGACACCCATAAGGTTTGACAGTTATTGAAAACGAAAGCTGAATAGACTTGCTTTTTTATAGCAAGGGAAAAGTTTTTAGTTCAAAATATACTCACCTTGTCGGGAACCATGAAATAAAGCAAGCAAAAGAGCACTGCTGAAAGTCATGGTTATGTCCACCTGGTAAAATGTTTTGACGATGGCGACTGTAGCTATTAGTCCGTTTTGAGAAACGCCTTTGTTTTTATGAATTACTGGTTTTACCGAGGGTGAAATATGTCTAAAAGGATATTTGAGTAGTAAGAGTGATAAAGTTGGAACTAGTATTGATGGTGTTTCTGAAAGGCATCTATTGCAATTCGTCTTTGGTCCTTATATAGTTGGAAAGGAGGGTAACATTAGTAGTACGGTATGAATGGGAAACAAGGCGACTTGTGTGAAACAGTACTTGCATGTCAAGAGTGCTGCTGATCTGTTTTTTTCCCAACACACTGAAAGTCATGCTGTTGAAAGTAGTGGTAGTTGTAGCTGTCAAAAAGTGAAAAGGAGACTTCACATTTTGCGCAAACAGGTTGCGTTTGGATAGTATACAAAGTATTTCTGAAAGACATTCATGAAGGATTGGTTGAGCTTCTACAATATTACACGAGCGCAAATATTGATGCAGTCGTTTCCGACTAGAGTTTTGGTTTGACTCTGAAAATAAAGTCCAACTTTTGGTAGATAATTCCTAGAAAGCATACGCAGACGAACAAAGTAGTTTGCACATTGGCACAAACCATAAAGCATTTTTCTATTATCGCTGCAAAATCAAACCATTCGCCACTACTTGAAATTCAATCACAGCAACAACAACAAATATGAGCCCAAGCCTACTGCAGTATGGCACAGTCATCAATTCTACAAAGAGAATGGTTCCTGCTTCTATCTTTTACTCTTTTCTTCGTTGTTGGCATGAGCGGAGAATTGCAATTGTTTTATTTACTTCGAATTGTAAAATGACAGCAACGACAACGACAACAAGTGAAAGTTATACTGTAATACTGAGTGTTACATGGAATATTAATAATAGTTTTTGTGATAAAAGTACGAATTTGACATATTTTTTACCATAAAGGAAAATTGTATTGTTGACGTTACAAAATAAAAGGGCACTATTTGCACACTTACGACTATTCCTGTACCTTACTATCAGTAGGACTACATACGGTTCTGATTTTGAACAGCGAATAGGGTATCGAGTTGCTTTTACTGGTCGATTTTCGATTTTGCTTGTATCTGTTTGAGACTAATCTTTATCTTTTGATTCTTGAAACGAACTTATTTGTTATCTTATGATAGTATGATGAAGCAACTAGTGGTCATTTCTTTTCCGAAAACGTCGACGTACGACCTTTCCGTTTCTTTTTTTATTTTCATTGGCGATCTCATATCATCTCGTTTGTCTTGTGCCTTGTTGTGTTGCGTTTGGTTGGGATGGGTGACTGCAATTGATAGTCCAAATGATCCATTTGAGACAATTTCGTCAGTTGAATCAATTAATCTTTGACAAGTGGATTTGCAGTATCGTGGACGTGTACAACATACTGTTTTATGTGATCTAGAATCTACTACTGATTTATCTGGATATATTGTGATGTTCTTATGTCGAAACTACACTTTTTGACTATTTGTGCTCCAGAATATTTCCATCTTACTTCTTCGACCCTAAGACCAGCTTCATATGGAGTAGTCATCTAGTCGATAAGGATAAAATAATATCTCTATTTCTTTTTTTGTCTTCTTTATCGGTCGTAATTGTAGAATGGTGACGATCTTGTTTTTTAGAGTTGTAATATGTTCTTACAAGAAAAGGGATGAATATTATAGAAAGTAGTATTCAAAGACTGCGGGATGATGTCGATTCAAAGAAAGAATCAACTATATTGCTGTTAAAGTTCTGTATAAACGATCTGCTGAGAATAGAAATTGAACTTGTCTTAGTACGACCTACTGGTTGTTTTCCCTTGTTCATATGAATGAATTGTCATAAAAGACAGATTTATGTTTTCCATTGTATATACTTTTCGATTGAATAATATAGAAGGGTCATTTGAAAGAACTTCAAGGAAAAGAAGAAATGAATGCTTCCCTGGTTTCACAGGGTTAGAATATTAGACCTATGATTTGCAGATTTTGAGGTTGATCCTCACAAAAAGCAGAATCAATTCTGTGATTTTTACACAAGTAGCAGCAAAACACAAACTTCTTGTCCTGTTCTAATTTCAGGATCTTTTTGTATCTCCTTTGCTGCTTGAACTTTTTACAACCTTTGGTGGTTTTCATTCCCTCTTAATCTCGGACTATTACCAGAATTGATTCAAGTGATAAATGACAATGCATTTATGCCGTACCAATACCTTGTTTCTATTGATGAGTTGAATTTGAATCTTATTTCAGAGTGATATCCGAAACAATTCTGGTTACAGCTTTATTGAAGGAAGTAATGATCACTTGCTTTAGAGTACTCTGAATCTTAACACTTCTAGTTAAATCTCAACGGGATATGGCACAATTATTCTAATAGATACGTAAAAAAGGTCTTCTCAACGTATCTAGAAACTGGTTACTGTTTTATATTACTTGAATTGTATACTGAATTCAATGATTTACCGTTCATTGGAAAGAAAGTAAGACATCTTTTGATACTGTTCATTTAATATGACATTTTGTGTAAGAGTTGGTCATTTGTTGATTACTAGTCGAATATCTCATCAAGAAGAAATTCTGTTTCATAAGTAAATGAAATGTCCTCTATAGTTGATTCAACTTTTGAATTCTTAGAGATTATACTGAATTTATCGAACGAGTTAGTCCTTATTCCGAGAAAAACTATTTGCCATATAGTATTAATAGTAGTATTATTACTAAGGATACCGAGGCTTAGGTAGATGAATACTTGGTTTGAGAAAAACTTGGTGGTGTTTGATTGTCCAATTATTCCTCCGCGATACTTGCACTTTATTTGCGATACCGGATATGTATTTCTTGATCGTTTCATCCTAGATAGCTTCGCGACTCGACTCAAGCCGTGAATCGCATTATACCTTTGCAGCGCCACGAATATTTGCTACTAGTTTATATATTTTGATATTAACTAGTTGTTTGTTTAGATATAACTACGTTAACCTGTACTTGATTCAATTGATTACTACTTGTTTTGAAGTGCTTTTAGTTATATTATTTCGTTCCAACCAAGCATTATTGGGTGCGCTATATTTATTTCGTAGACAAGAGTCAGGAATCAGATTTCAATCTTTTTTCAAGTATTCGCATTTTAATGCGTTGCTTGTTAGAAACGTTCAAAGTTGGCTATTGAAATATAGCCCTAGCAATGAATGGAGTCAATGTGTCGACAAGATAACGGCACAACTCGATGCACAAAAAGTTGAATCAACGTTTCCATTCAAAATCAATTGTTTGATAGTAAGACTAATATACGTTGTTATTTTTTAGGGGTATCTACGAGAGAGTTGGTTGAATTGTCATTATGTGGACATTGGGTTATCCAATAGAGTTTCTGTTAGATAGTGTTTTTATAGGATGGCTTCTTTAAGGTAGAATTGATACTCTATTGACTACTAGTTGTCGAGTTGATAAAGACTTTGTATCTTTGCACTTGAAATCTTGCTGTTTTATGTACGGAGTCTTTCTATCCGAAGCAGTGTTTTGTGTGGTCTTTAGGTTCCCTGTAAGCTTGATTCAGCGTCGAATTGTCCAAGATTATCTTGAATTGACTGAAATAATTTAGTCCTTACTCTAAAAGGATGATTTACAGACTATTATTTGGATTACTTAAAATCAAGTCGAAGATCAATTCATGTGAGAATCACTGGGTAAGAATCCGAATTGCAACAAAGCATCAATTTTCCCTTGATATCTGTATGCTGTGTGCACTATTAGGGTAAGCCGTTGTCCACAAATCAATTTTGGTACATTTGTGGATTGACTTCCATATTGAATGACAATGTATTTCTAGAATATTGAGAACATGTTACTATGGATGGGCATAAATCAATCAGCATCCACTATTCTTATATCTGTACGGAATTCAATTGAACTTTGTTTGAATCCATTGATTCCTATGAGTATTGGTGAGACCGTTCTCGCTTTACTGCCTTGGCACCAAGCTCAACTTGCGTCATAGAATCATTATTTTTTTTGATAAAGATATTGTTCTAAAAGTCTATTGTTTGTTTCTATTGACTGGTCGGAGAGTATTCATCATCTTGTTATCTTATCTTTTCAAGAAAGTTGCAATTACTGAACACTAAAAACTGAACTTTTATTGAAATGAAGTATGATAGCGATAAACTATGCTATTCATAGACTACGGAATCATTTGATTTAGAAGAAGATTCAACTAGATTATAGACGATTGGTCACAAAGGAGTTGCAAAATGAAGCAACGTAATCTTGCTGATACAAGCTATTGAATCTCTTTTTTCATGTTTATGTTTTTTGTAGTACCAGATGAAGAAAATGATTCCTTTCATTTCAACTTTTATACAACTCGTTGAACAAAAGAATACACCAATTTGCTTTGGAAGAAAATGGATGGTGAAAGATATAAAGTGAAAAAAGAAGGAAATGTCTTTCTAGTTTAATAGACTACAGAGATAGTATTATGAGCCAAAAGTCTTGACTTTGATTCTCATTAGAAACATCAACGATATTCTGGTCGTCATTAGTAGAAAAAATATTCCCTACTATTACCTCATACTGGTAACAGTAGAACGTTTATAGTGCTTTGTTTTGTTTACCCATTCTACTGATATGCATGACCTGTATTTGAACACCATAAAGTAAGAAATAGGCTGTTGAAACAAAATGGTTAGTGTAAGTTTATTTCATGACATCCCTATAATTTTACAAATTGCCCAATGCTTCAAAGACCTGAATACTTTAGGCAATCTTTGTCTTTTTCACACTCTCCTTATTCTTCTTCTTGCTATTCTTTTTTTTTATCAAAAATGAATATCATACTATTCTCACTGATAGAAGACAGTCAAATTTCTTTTCAAAAGTTACATTGTAGAATAAAGCAAGAAATATACAATTTTACTTGCAGAATCATTATTTGCATTTCTGTAGATATTTAGGGTTTATATAGTTGTAACTTTCTTTACTAGTTTGGAAAGTGTAGACAGCAACATA